TAGACTGTGGAGCAGAAGGGGAATTTATCGACTGGATGTTCATACAATGAAACTCCATCCCCACAGAATGACTCCCAAGACCAATCAAAGTCCGCAACATCGACAGAACTCTAAATAAACAAGGTCAGATCACACACTCTTGTAATTTATCCTTTCATATCAAAGGAATTCCCATGGAACGACGCTTCCTCATCACCTCTCTAGGAGGAGAAGACATAATCCTGGGAATCTCCTGGCTAAAGAAAGAAAACCCACAAATAGATTGGACTAAAGAAGAAATAACCCTGAGAGAACGAAGTGCTTATATCAAAGACACCGAAGAAGAAGACTCATTCTTCAACGCACAGGATTCCCTAGAAAATGAATGGGACCCTGCCATGGAAAGTATTCTGTATTCCTCCGAAATCCCTAACCCCCTTGACACAGAGCCTGATTCTGACGAAACTGAAGAAGAATTAGACCCTGATGAATTCTTGATTGCTTACTGCAAAGGCGATCATGTCATAGGGACTTACAAAATGGAAAGTTTCAATACCCCTCTCACTAATGAACATATCCCCACCGACCACAGATACTTCTCAATCCATGGAACCTTAGTCAGGAAAGCCAACAACATCTCCCAAGCCCTAGCCCAAGACACCACCAAACTGAAAAAGATGTTTGAAGAACTCATACCTGAGATCTTCCGAAAGTATAAAGATGTATTCGGAGAAGTAGCTAATGGAACTCTCCCACCAGAACGCAAGTTTGATCATAAGATCGACCTCAAGGATACTTTTGAAACGCGTAAATGCAAAATTTACCCTCTTAACCCCATGGAAGAGAAAGCCATGAACGACTTCATTGACGAAAACTTAGCTAAAGGTACCATCATCCCCTCCGAATCTCCGCAATCATCTCCATTCTTCTTCATCGGCAAGAAAGATGGTTCCCTTCAACCCTGCCAAGATTATTGCTATCTGAACGAACACACGGTTAAGAATAACTACCCACTTCCACTAATCTCTGACATAATAGATAAGCTCAAGAACGCAAAGATCTTCACCAAGATGGACATCAGATGGGGTTACAACAATGTACGCCTCAAGAAGTCCGACCAATGGAAAGCCGCCTTCACTACGGCTAGAGGATTATTCAAGCCAACGGTAATGTTCTTTCACATGTGTAATTCACCTGCCACCTTCCAATCTATGATGAACAATACATTCGGAGATATGATCCAAGAAGGATGGCTTATCATATACATGGACGATATACTGATCTTCTCTGACAATTACAATACCCACCAGAAATGAACTCACCGTGTCCTAGAACGACTCCATGAACACCGTCTATACCTCAAACCAAAGAAATGTACCTTCAATGTAGAGATCGAATATCTCAGCATTATCATCAAACCAGGATCGGTAGCTATGGACCTGGCTAAACTGAAGGGAATCTCCGAGTGGGAAACCCTGAAGAAAGTCAAGGAAGTCCGCTCTTTCCTCGGATTCGCTGACTTCTATCACCAATTCATTGCTGATTATTCCACGATTGCCTGTCCCTTAATAGATCTCACGAAGAAAGATATGCCATTCAAATGGAACAAAGAATGAGACTCCGCCTTTTGGAGATTGAAATCAATCTTCACATCAGCTCCCATTCTCCAAATCCCTGATTGCCTCTCTCCCTTCGCCATCGCTACTGACACCTCCCTATATGCCACTGGAGCAGTACTCCTCCAGAAAGACTCCAACAGTGAATGGCTCCCTTGTTCATACCTATCCCAATCCTTTGCCCCAGCTGAAAGAAACTACCAGATCTATGACCGAGAACTCCTCACAGTCATCCGCGCACTCAAAACTTGGTGCCATTATCTCTTAGGATCCTCCTTTCCCGTAGAAGTCCAAACCGACCACAAAAACCTCACCTACTTCCGCAACGTGCAAGATCTCAATAGATGCCAAGCACGCTGGCAAACATTCCTCTCTCAGTTCAATATATGTTTCAAATATGTACCCGGTAAAGATTTAACTATTCCAGATGCCCTTTCTTGTAGACCAGATCACCTTCCTGACGATAGTGTCGAAAAGGACAACTATAGTATTTGTTACAGGGACCCTCAGACCCCTATTGTCTCCACCAAATATCGCCATCACAACTGTGTTACAACACGTGACAGATGACATCACCGGCACATGACTAAACTGCAGAGCACAGCATGACAGCTGTTGGAGCAGGACAGCTCTGGAACCAACCTAGACCAGGATCAATAGAAGCCGCGCGCTTCTCCCTTATCGCCTCTACCGATACACCAGTACTGACTATCATTTATCCTATCGCTTATCATGACAGATAGCGTTATCTGACTTGAACACCTACCGCTGTGCCGGTACCATACCCTGGACCCTTACCATTGAGCCCGTGCTCTTATCTCTGAGTCCTTATGACTCACATAGATGCTTACCTAGTTAGGACACTTTCTGGCTACCCCAGCCTACCCTGAACTTATAGGACGATACCTATATATACCACAGTAGTTAGACCATGTATTCTCTAACTTGATCTTCACTTGTGATATACAACTCTAGCTTCTTCTTTGAACCTTTAGTCAGTCATTCTGGATGGACAGCCTCCATTCAGTCTTCCTTCGTCCTAGTGCTCCAAGAAGCGGACACAGGATTGACCCTATCAAGTGCACTGTTGGAAAGCCAGGCTTTCCCATAACAGTATTCAACTTCTCCCCAATTTTATGTTCATCAATTCCACTTCTCTCTCTGATCGTTTATGTATCTCTTCTTCCATTGACCTGGTAGTACAAACTGCGCTAGATGCGCTTCATAACCCCTCTATACCTCCTCCACTTCGCTCCACACTTTCTGACTGGAAATTGTGTGATGGTATTCTTACTTATAAAGGACTCACCTATGTACCCCCAGGCAACCTCCATCGTGATATCACCTCCCTTCATCATGACTCACCCACCACCGGCCATCCAGGACATTACAAAACCCAAGAACTCCTATCACACAACTACTGGTGGCTGGGCCTCTCCACATTCGTAAAGAACTTCATTGATGGCTGTAGCATCTGCCAACAGAACAAAGTAAACATGCACCCATCAACTCCCCCTCTCTGTCCTATTCCCGCTCCCATTTCTAACTGCCCCTTCACTCACTGCTCTACTGACCTCATCTGCAACCTTCCACCATCCAACAGCTATGATAGCATCATGGTCGTGGTAGACCATGGCCTTTCGAAGGGGGTAATTCTCACTCCATGTAACAAAACGATAGACACTGAAGGTGTAGCAAATGTCTTCTTTTCCAAAGTATTCTCTAGATATGGACTTTATGATAAGATTATCTCTGACCACGGACCCCAATTTGCCTCTAGATTCCAAATCAAACTCGGAAAACTCCTCGGATACAAAAATTCCCTTTCCACTGCATTCCATCCCCAAAGTGATGGAGAGACTGAATGAGTCAACCAAGAACTCGAAGTCTACCTCCAGATCTTCTGCACTAATGATGTGACTGGCTGGGCATCCATGCTCCCTCTCGCTGAGTTCGTCCATAACTCTCGTCATCACTCCACTCACGGTACCTCACCATTCTACCTCATGATGGGATATCACCCCAAACACCTCCCCGATCTCCATCCCAAGAGCAATATTCCCAACATCGAACAACAACTCATCATCCTTGACAAAGCTTGTGACAAAGCTTTAGCCGCCCATGAACTAGCATGCAATACTATGAAACAACGTATCACGTCTAAATTCACTTCCTTCCTCAAAGGCGATAAAGTATGGCTCAAATCGAAAAACCTTCATCTTGGATATTCAAGCCATAAACTCACTCCTAAACAAGAAGGACCATTCATCATCTCTGATGTCCTATCCCCAGTTACTTATCGCCTCTCCCTACCCGCGCAATGGCACATTCATCCCATATTTCATGCCGCACTTCTATCTCCTTTCAAAGAGAACGACACTCACGGTCCTAACTTCATCACACCACCACCAGACCTTATCGATGGTGAAGAAGAACAAGAGATCGAGGCCATTGTTGGTCACTGAGGCTCTGCCTCATGCAGATACTATAACGTTAATTGGAAGGGATTCCCGAGTTCTGAGAACAAATGGATGACAGAGAAACAGATGGGTAACACTTCCGACATTCTTCTTTCTTATAAAAATGCACATCGTCTTTAAATGTTTCTTTTCTTTTGTAGTATTCGTGGACTACTACCCTTACAATGGGGGTAATGTTACAGTTCTCTTTTCCCCTATTACTAATCCTTCCATGATGTTCCATATCATTCTATCGTACAATTCCTGTTCCTCTTTTCTCATTCACTGTTGCATCATTGTATGACTTTCTCTTCTCTTTATTATATTCAGACTCCGCTTCAATCTCTCTATTTAAATTGTTGTCTTACCTTTGTACTCTTTAACTTGACCTATGCAGACCAGGGCCTGCAATCAACTGCTTTACTCACACAACTTAGCACTAGGGTGCTACTAGAACTTTCGACTACTTTTGCTTACTAAGACATCTGACAACACCGAGCGTAACAGTGCTCCTCTCCCTGTGGCGCATGCAAGTGGCTCTTTGCAGCTGGGTACATTGGTGCAAGCTGCATCAGGACTGGGAGGTTCATCTTCGTAAGGTATACAAGGCTCCCATAACAATTCTCAGCGCGGCAGTGTCTGTTGGATAGTTATGTGGGCTTCTCATTCCTCCCGTGAAGTCTGGAGTATTCTTCCCGCTCGCAATCAAACCCGTACTCCTATGTCATTTATTGTTCTTGTGCTTGTTCACTTCATTCTGTACTGGTGTTGTCAATACTTGGGTTGTTCATCTATTTGGAGCATGATGCTCCTACTACCACGTTCGGCTGTACTGTAACTTGTAAACTGCACCTAGTTAACCTGCCCTGTAGGTCGCAAAATAGCTTCAATCCGAAGTCAACATGCAACGAAGTTACAGCTAACATAGTCTCCTGTAGGCAGACCAGTAGAAGGAAAGTAGTCGTTCCTTCTGTATTCGGAGCTAACAGTACTTCGCAAGTTGGGCGAGAACATACGATGTGAAATTAACGAAACACCCACCACACTCTAGATCCAGGCCGCGGGAGTCAGGCTCGGAGATAACTTGTACAAGCCAGATTGCGAGTCAGGCTGCGTCATATTCCATAGCTGGGTTAGTACCTCTCGTCGGAGCTGTACAATAACGGGGGTGCTCGTATTGACTTTTAAGATTGAGGTTCGAGAGCCAAGGTAGTGCTAGGTAGTGCTGGGTATGACAAATTTCATATGCGATCAGTCGCACTTCCCACAGGCAACCCACAGAAAGGGCTTTTTTGAGGCTAGAACCGACGCTTGTGACTTTCAGCCACGTTTTTTTTTTGAAATGCATGCATACCCGTGAGTCAGTCATGACCCCATTGCAGATAAAGCTTGTCGAGACCGACCGGTTACTGTCTGGACTTGCCAGGACTCGGAGTTATTTCCCTTTGGCCATAGCGCCAGGGTGCTCAACACGTAATGGATGACCAAACGTTGCTGGGGCATGATAAATCTGCGCATCATATCCATACAACAATTCCATGAAATGAACCAAGCACCACACCTTGGACTGTATCTACTAACAGCAGACTCTTCCTCCAAACCAATGGCTCTACAATGCTCACTTTGGAATTTGGAATTACGGTGCACTGGTTGGCTGGTTCCACGTGGCAGCCGTTCAAAACCGACTTCAGTGACTGAACCGCTGTAAAGTATATGAGATTTATAGAGTGCAGTATTTCTGTATGATGATGGCATACCTGCTGAGCGCGATCGTCGACTACCGGGAGGCAACCATCCAATCACTAAATTTCTTAACAAGTTCAGTGAGTCAGGGATGAGCGAATTACATTCATCCTTGGTGGTCAACGCCCTATCGTCGAAACTCTCGTCAGCGTCACTTATGAATGGAGTCCAATTAGATCCACAAGGCTAAAGCACCGTCCATCCTCGCCGCCCATCCTGCCGGGATGTTTGCCCGCGCTGGCGGTGAGGGGGAGTTACAATGAAGACTATAGTCCGTGGCCCCAAAAGCAGTCCAGCGAAAGGGATGGCAGCGCAGGAATCCTGCAAGGGAAATACCTGGTTTTGTGAAACGGTGATGGAGCCTGTGGTTATGCTTCATCAGATGCTGAGCATTTTGGTGAGTGTGCGTGGACTAGCGCATATATATGTATTAGCGAAGAAGGAACACTCTATAGATTAGGTAGACCATAGAATACTCATACAGGTTTATGATTTGTTGTCTTTGTGAATGAGTTTCATTTGATCAACCACTATTTTCACGATATCGCGCCATTCTGTCATGGCACCGAGTCCTTCGAGAAAGGGTCATATTATCTGCAACAGCAGGAAGTAAAAGTCAGAGCTACGTACCAACGTCTCCGCATGCGAGATTCTTTCCAATTGGGCCAATGACATGATAACGAACGACGTCCCGTATGACGCGCAAATGTTCTGCCGTGAGGGGATGCTCATACATGAGCGTATTCATCGCCGGAAATACGTAAGTCGGCGTGGTAGGTGCCAGCGCACGAAGGAGAGAGGTCTAAGCAAGAGATTTATCCTTGGGTACGATATGAATGCTGAAAACATACTGCGAGGTTGTCGCAGAGTCCGTGTGCAATCTTTGAGAGTGTATTTGCCGAACAGGGGGCGACAAGGACAATATCAGCCCACCTCCTCAACTCGATATGCAAGATTGGATCCCCAATCTTGTATGATCCCTATCATGGATGTTGAAATGGTCAAAATCCTGTGAAAGCGCGTGTATTCACCGACCACTCGTCCTCGTCGCTCCACACGTGGGCGCCCGCTTTGACGACGTCTGCAGGGTCGTAAAACGCAAGCGACTCCTTCGTCGCAACCACTTCTACTCTGACATTCTGGTACTGCGTGTACACACGACATGAGCAGGAGTAGGATTCCAGGACAGGGGACAGACTTGGAGAAGCTCTGCGACGATGAGAGGAGCTTTGATAGATGCTACGCTGCCAGTCGTTATAAGCAACACATGGTTGTGATCTAGGAGGCGCTCCGTTTCAGCAACAAATTGGCGGCTCATCATGAGTCCCGGTGAACGTTTGAATTAAACAGAGCCGCAGTAAGCAGATAACTATAAGTTATTATTTATTTATTTTATATCATCCCTCCTAATAGAGCATCTAGATCCTTCAAGTTAATCTTCCTCTCAGAGACTTCTTTGAAGGTCTTTATTGAACTTCAAGGTTTTCGTTAACTGTTCTATCGGACCGTACAGAGGATTTGAAAATACGACAAATTATCGGAGAGAGTAACGATAACTCTTCACTCGTCGAACCTGGCAGTGCCACGCATCCTGTCACCTCACCTTCACCTTTTCTGCCGCCAGAAATCCTAGCCCTGATTTTACGCCCAAGATGGAAGCGGTGCGAGAATAGAAGAGCCTGGAGAAAGATAGTGGGTCATATTCTCAGCTGCAGTCGCGTATCAACAGCCTGGTACGAGGCTGCAGGTGTGGTTCTGTACAACGATATTCGACTGTCTCGGCGGCTATTGCCCCACTCACGCCTTCCGTTTCATGCATCGTTTAAGTATCAAAAAGCGGTCGGAGGAGCTCGCGACACTCGCTAGAGAGATTGTTGCGTGCTGCCCGGAACTTAGGTACCTTGCAGGAGACTCTGGCTCCCTGTGCTCCACCAGCAACATGTCCCTCCCTGAGTACCCATATTTGAGGGAGCTCAAAGTATCTGGACAGAACCCCCACCTCCTTGCCCCTCTTCTCCCTCGTCTGTGCAATCTCGAGTCCTTCAAGATGATTCAGAGCCACGGTGATGGCGATTTCCTGGGACAGTTTTTGCCACCTCGCTTCGAGCTTTCGACTTTCTCGATATCTCAGACAGAGTTACCTCATGTGTAAATGGCTACTCGAATCCAGTTTGCAGAGCATCGAATCCTTGGAGGTGCAGGAAATAGGCGTGAGCCAGCTGGGCGACTTGGCCGCGGTCATTGGAGGTTTTGTGACGGGGATTCACGTCAAAAGTTTAATTGGTTGCCCATCGTGGGACGACTCAACAACTATCGTAGTACTATCTAGGTTCGCAGGCCTGCGAAGACTTCGCATCGACGGAATTATCTTCAAAACAGAATACTCGTTTGATCTGCAATCATCATTGGAGGCGTTTACGATTACCAAATCCTTCCTGTCCATGCGCATTGTGGTGGAGCTGCTATATATGCATTGGCAATCCTTCCTACAATCGCTAAATGTTTATGGTTTGCCATGGTAAAACGCCGAGTGGATTGTGACGTCCGAGCAGTGGATTTATCGTAGGAACGAGTTGCGCGGCGCGTGTGCTGCCCGCGGTATCCAGTTGAATTGGTTGTCCCTAGAATAATACTGGTATGTGGGCCCCACAAATTCCACGGTGTCTGCTTATACAGCTCCAAGCTTTTATCGCAAGACACACGTTTTTACCTTCGATTATTCATGAGTAGAAGATTGTTGACTTTGATGTCGAGATTCCCTGTGCTCTCATGTCTATTAGTACGATACAGTTACTTTCTGAGCGTAACACAATGGTTCGAGTGTGTGCCGACCATACAATTGGCAAATGTCACAACCATATTTCTTATTCCCGCACCGTCAAAATGCGTGGTGTACATCGTTGTCGAATCTTACGTGCAGAGTCACTTCCTCCTGAAGTTCGGGTCGTCCCTCTCATCCACTCGCAAGCGCATGTCTTGTATTTTATATCGGGAGTCAACAACACTATGGCGATTAAATGGTGATACCTTCAAGTCCTATTTGCGTGCCAGTGCTACCACTTGCTGTAGACATGATTGTGTTGGGCCCAATTGATACCCTTCACCCCACAGCCTTTCATCGCTTACAGAATATTAACTTGAACGGTAATGATGTAAACTACACGTACCGCTCATAATCTAAATACAATCCAAGCATTTCAGCCGCGGTCACTCGGTGAGGAAAACATAGCAACACCCAACGCCAAAACCTGCCAGTGCATGCAACAAATCATTCATATCGACGAACACGCAAAGGTACTGCAGTACCATCCTCTCCAACAATCCGCGGACGAGGTAAAATCCCCCTCGCAACCTCGACCTGAGTGTCTGGCCCATCCCGCATTTCAAACACAAAATTCTTCACCAGAACCAATAGAACCATCTATATCGCAGTTAGGAAGTTTGAAAATAGCTAATTTGCAACGATCACCTTGAATTCTGCGATTGCAAAATCTTTCCCAAGACATGTCCTCGGGCCGTCGAGAAATGACAGCAAATGCCTATGACCTTGGACTTCCTTGGCCTTCCCACTGATGCCCTCCTCAGCTAGCCAGCGGTCAGGCTTGAATGTCTTTGCGTCAGGTCCCCAGATGGAGAAAGAGCGATTGATGGCCTTGACTGAGATCAAAATCTCTGACCCCTTCGCTACAGATATACTGTCAGTCATTTTCCCGGACGCAGTGCGCACAGGTTCGCTTAAGGGAATAACGTCATCTGCGGCTGCCTGTGGATATACTGTCAGGTCTCTACTCACATCTAGACATGCGAACTCACAAGTCTAATGGCCTCGGTTACCGGAGGATGGAGTCGTAGAATTTCATGGACAATCGCATCCAAGTACGGGAGGTTAGCCTTTAATTGGTCATATGTCGGATCAGCACCAAACGCAAGCATTTCTTCTCTGAGTCTGGTTTGGACATTGGGTTGTCGCGACAACTCGATCAGTGCCCACTGATGATTCCATAAATAGTGTGCAGATGTCGTTGAATAATAGACTTACCGTAAGACTGACTGCGAACGAAGAGTCAGACAACATAATAGCAGCGGAAAAGAAATAGACTCACTGGATGTCGTCTCGTAACCCGCAACAAGTAACACCTTCATCTGCAGGACGTCAGCTTGTAAACCGTCGCTGGAATAGTCTCCACGAACCTGAGCCACTACTTCCTCCTTGGACAGATGAAGGGAATCCTGACCTTCGGCTTTGACTGTCGTCGTGGCGTAAATGAAGGGACTTCAATAGATGTATTAGAGAACGTACTCAATTGTCCAATAACAGACTTCTCTTCTGCGTCTTTCATGCTCGCGTCCTTCTCCCGGCGACTGCGAATCAACAACTTGTTGGATATTTCACCCATGGTTGCGCCAAGTTTCTTGGCCAGATTCGTCCGCTTAGTAGGCATCATCTTAAGAATGACAGGAAATGCTTGCGCTAGCAGAATGGCAAACTGGTTCACTGCTGAGGCCCGTGAGTTGTTCACAAACGTGTCAAACACTTCAGTTACGCTGGCGTGCTTCCCGTCGAGCGAGCCAAAATCATGGGAAAAACCAGCGATGCCAATCGTATCTAGACTGATGTGGCCTCATTTTCAAGGCAAATAGCAAAGAAATTCATCGCGTACGAAATGTGATTCATCCTTGAAGTCGTTTCAATGAAGACTCCTACGTTCTCATGCTAGAAAAGCTACGCACCACTTTTGAACTTCGATGACAGCATTCCCATCCTTGCTCAAGTCTATAGTGATATCCCATGCACCTTTGGCCTGGAGAGTATCAAGTTCAGAGATGCTGTATTTCTCAGATCGCAGATCTTTACCTTGTATGCCGAGTCATAAAACACTGATGCGAGTTTCCGAACAGCCGCGTTACTGAAGGCTGGCGTGAGGGCCTTCCGCTGCCTAATTCACAGGTCGTTGATCAGTCTCTGGTGCGAGGACAATAACAGAACAGAACCTCCTGTGGCTTCCCCCCTGAGACCATAGCAGCCCTCTGCCGACCTGACAAGAGGTATTAGACAGACGAGATTAGAAGAGACGTTGCCATACCAAGATCTCTACCAACATCAACCCAAGGGGCGTCTGCACGTAAGTCCATGCGTCTCGGGCAAAACAATGTGCTACAGCTTTTGGGTCGCATAGCACGATTCTCGTCTGTCCGAGGACGCGCGGAATCATATACACTACCCCATATTCCTTCGCCCAACATTCATACATTCCAGCACTATCTTTAGATGAGAGGAGGTCGTTCGAAACGCCATATAGGAAGCTGGAACGAGGTGGACCTCGCAGTCGAGTGGTCTTCAATCGCCAGCGAAGCGCTCTTAGAACTTTGACAAAAGCCCACAGTGCTGCAAATGAGCAAACAACATTGAATGCGCCAGCAGAACGCATGGTTGTCCAGAGGGTTAATGGAGAGCCAGGTAGTATAGAGATGGTAGATGTTATCATTCTTGTGATGAGCTCAGGATGAAATGAATTGGAGATTTATAGCCACTTGTGCGGTGGCAGAGTTCACCGGCAGTCCGGCAGCGATAAGGTTGTCACCGACCGCACCATTATTATCGTCAGCAGTGACTATCCATGGAAGCCGAAAATTTTGTTTCACGAGAAAGTCGACCTGTACCCTAAGTGGGCCAAAATAGTCAGTCAAGAAGATGCCGCATAGTGTAAATATTTTAATAACTCATTCAAGCTCAAACGTGATACGTCTGGCTGGCAAAGTTACAGGTACGCAGCCTTACGCGGAGACACGAAGTTGAGATTGCGCCGTGGGGCTCTCATGCTATAGGGCCACGTCTGGCCACGGACCGGGGTGCTGGCATGAGTTGTGAAAAGAAGGGTCCTGGTCCTGGATATATCGATGTGTTGTCAACTGCAGGGAGTAAGCCCAGAGGGCACAATATGTTAACTATTGAGAGACCTACGCCTAGTGAACATTGCTGATGAGTCAATCGGAAGTGAAGTCACTTTTATTCGAGGTATAGTTGGGGACAAGCAAAGTCATCACGTTTGGACATCGATTTTTGCTGGCTTCTCACACAAACTAAAAAAGGCTAAAAAAGATATAAACGCTCTTTAGACTATATACTTTATATCGGCACGAGCCGATTCCCTGTAAAAGTAATCATTAATCATTATGTAATCATGACCCACCTTATTGTAATAGGATACAGCAGAGACCTGGAACCTTGTCCGGAATATGACAAGGAACACTGAGTGGATCGGACGAGAATAACAGGATGAAACTGTGGATTCTTAAGTGTTTGTACTAATGGATATGTGGTGGTAGGTAGGAGTCCCGAGTCTGATCTGAGAGATAGTAAACTCGCCGAATATAAGGGGATAGATATGATAATGTAAGCGTTTTGTAAGCAGTCAGCTTACACCCTTCCAATCTCTGAAACATTTGCTTCGGTGTGCACGTCTTTTTACAATGGACCTGCTTCATCAGACCTCATTAGCGCGCTAGACGTCTTGTCTTCATCAGTCCTCAGTGGTGCGTGCATAGTATAGTTTTCATCAGTCCTCGTGGTATGTGTCTTGTCATACTCTTGAAGTATAGCGGTATCTTCAAGCTCTTTTCCAGGTACCCAGACGTCCGCTTCTGGACTGTATCCATGCCAGTGCACGAGGTATTGATGGCCACGGCCACGAGTGCGATGATCCAAGATGCTTTCTATTTCCCACTCTTCAGTGCCGGTGCTTGTCACGATTGGTCCCAGACGTTGAAGCTCTCTTGAAGGGTATAGCTTCGCATTGTTTGGGACATGACGCTTGAGTTCAGAGGCATGAAAAGTGGGGTAAATGTTAGTATGATCAGGTAAATCAAGTGTATAAGTTGATGACTCAGGATTCGCAGAGACTACGCTGTAGGGTCCGTCGAATCGAGGCATAAACTTGCCGACACATTTATTGTTTCCATTGAGGTATTCTCGATGTTGATGTGCAGTGGAGAGATATACGGACTCGCCGACTTTGAAGGACGGATCATCACCACGATGCGCATTAGCTGAGTATGCTTGGGTGATGCGTGCAGCGAGGAGAGCATCGTGGGCATCTGTGACGTCTGTCTTCAGCGATACAATTGCTTGTAGCGCATTTGCAATATCATTGGGGAAGTTTTCACGTATGTTGGCGATGTGTTCGGGCGTCAATGGCGGAATGAGGCGAGGGGTGTGGCCCAAATGAAGATGGAAAGGTGTGTAGCCTGTGGAAGCATTAGCTGTTGACATCAGATTGAAATGTATGCGAGGCAGGGCGTTGACCCATCCAGCTTGGTGCCGATCTATGAAATATCGGAGGGCCTGGTCTACTGTTTTATTAGTGCGTTCGCTGGCTCCATCCGTTTCAGGGTGGTATGCTGTTGACATTTTTAGTTTGACGCCGGTTAAACGATGCAGGGCCTTCCAGAACTTTGAGGTGAACAGTTTGTCACGGTCGGAGACAATACTTAATGGTAGGCCGTTTTCACAATACCAATGGTCAAAGAAGAGGTTAGCGACCTCACGAGCATTCATGTTCATCCTACAGGGCACCAGTTGAATATCTGCACCGAGCCTGTCTGTGATTGTCAGGATCCCATTGAAACCATGTTCCACTGGTAGTGGTCCGATGAAATCCATGGCGATTGATTCGCCTCGAGTATCAGGCACCAGAAGAGGGTGGAGCGGGCCAGTGGGTTTAGTGGTGCGGCTTTTGTTGCGTGCGCATTTGGTACATGCAGGTATGTAGGACTCTTCAAGGTTGCGTCTCATGTTTGGCCAATAATACGATTCTCTGATTGCAGTGTAGGATTTATCAATGCCGAAGTGTCCGAGCTGGTCATGTGCTAGTTGAAATATTGTTTCGCGGAGGTGTGTCACTCGAGGCACTATCAGTCGATTGTTGAGGTAGAGCAGTCCATCGGAGGCACGTAATCCTGGGAGTGAGCCGTTCAGCTTTGTAAGTTTTACGCACCAGGGATCTGTTAGGTATCCTGATTTAATATTGTTGTACAGTGAAGCATTGGGTGTTACCGAGAGCACTAGCACTGACGGCTTGATATGTGAAGACAGGTTTGAGGGCATGTGGACAGTCTTCACGATGTATGTCGGTGTCTTGTTGTTGTTGGGAGGCAAACGGGAGAGAGCGTCCGCGACAGTGTTATCCTCGCCGCGAATATACTGAATTTCAAAGTCATATTGCCCAAAGAACTCCTGCCACCTTGCTTGGCGTCGTGAGAGCTCTCGTTGAGTCAAGAAGTTCTCGAGTGTGTGATGGTCGGTGTATACAGTGAAAGGAGTTCCTAATAGTTTGATTCACCACTTTTTGAGTGCGCACACTATGGCTAACAGTTCCTTTTCATGTACAGGATAATTGAGCTGTGCCGTGCGTAGTTGCATGGAGTCAAATGCCACAGGACGTGCCGTCTCTGGTGTTCGGCCGACACTCAACATTGCACCTACTCACCAATCGCTTGCATCGCATGTCACGAAGATTCTATTTTCACCGAGATTGTCATGGTCAATCGTTGTTAAGCAATCGCGGCTGACGACCAATCGTTTGATCACATCGAAAGTGTCCTGGTGCTCGTGGGTCCAACCAGGCCAGTCGTGTTTGCTGGTTTTCATGGTCAGTGGAGTTAATAGGCAAGTGTGGTCCGCTAGGCTAGGTAGGAACTGTTCAAGATATCGGACAAGACCGAGAAATGATCGGACGTCCCCAGTCGATTGTGGTATGGGCCAGTCGAGTATCCATTTGGCTTTAGATGCATCCGCTTCGATCCCGGATGCGGAGATGCAGTGGCCGAGGAAATCAATTTCAGTGCAGAACAGGGAAGTTTTCTTTGGTGAACAGAAGAGAGAAGCTTTCCATAGTGCGTCTAAGACCAACTTTACATTCTTTGCATGTTTGGCCACCGTTTGAGACCAAATGATGATATCATCGAGATATGCATGACAAATCTTGCTGATAAGTCCACACAGTGCAATGAACATTCGATGTTGGTGAGTTGCGGGGGCATTCCGTCCGCCTTGTGGCATGATGGTCCATTCATGTAGGCCTTTTGGTGTATCAATGGCAATATACTTGATGTCGTCGGGGTGTATGTGCGTCTGGAAGAACGAGTTTGTCATATCAATTTTGCCAAAAATTTTACCTTTTGCACAATCTCACAGGATCTCGTCAATGCGTGGCAGAGGGTGATTGTCGGGTATGGTATTTGCATTTAGGGCGCGGTAATCATTTACCAATCTTGGCAATACGGTTGGATCCTTCTTGGGTATAAGAAAGGCTGGTGAGACGAACGAACTAGACGAGGGTCGTAGGCGTCCCGCAGCAATATGTTGATTTAACAAAGTATCCCATGCTTCGCGGTATTTTCTCGGTGTATTGTAGCATCTGCATTGAATGATTTTATTAGGATCTTTCAGGGTGATGCGATGGACGATGTCCATTGGTAGCTGATCAATGTGTGGGATGTCGTCAGGGAATCGGTCTTCATATTTCCGGCGCATCTCGTTGTCAAGGCATTGAAGGTGTTCTTTGTTCGCTTCGATGAAAGCGAGGGTGTCAATTCGTTGACGTAGTAATCCAACAATGTTCAGACTCTCTGATGTTGTATTTTCGTCCATGTTTTCAAGACAAGTGTTGAGAACGACCTTGAGTTCGTTAACAACGTCTTTTCGAAGACATTGAAGGTCGTGTCGCGAAGGCGTCTGAGTCGTCACACGAGGCTTGTGGATGGGGGGGATTTAACAGATCATAGTTGGAATCTTTGACGATACAAGTGCGAGAATCATGATCTATAACAAGACAATTGTGCGATAAGAAAGGTCCTCCGAGGAGGAGTGGAACTGCAAGGTTCGGTGCGATAATGGCGCGAATTGTTCGTGAAGTCCAGTCATGATTAACAGAAGATGGAGACAACAAAACGTATTCAGAAAAAGAAAAAGAAGAGGAACAATTGTCCATGAACGCAGAGTTTGCTTCAATCTTGGTGTGCAGTTTGCGTCTCCGCAAATTGAGCTTGTTAACGATGCTTTCGTCAATCAGAACTAGGTGCGACCCATGGTCAATCAAAGCGTCGATACGTTCAAAAGAGTCGGAAGAAGGCCCCGTCAAGAGACAGGGCCATATAAGGTGGGTGGTTTCAAAAGGGGCTATGCACATGTCATCCTCGGAATCTGAACCGTCGAGCACTGATGATGGCATTACAGCACTTACTGGTCCAACCACTGCGACAGTCTTAGTCTTTGGTTTTGCTGCGACGGCATCGGATTCCGTGAGCATCTTGTAGGATGATGCTTCGGGCGCGCTGTCTGTGCAATCCTTGGACTGGTGTGAAACGTAGAACTTGTGACATTTGAAACAGCCCTTGTGCTTCATTAGTAATGCGTGTTCGCCTTCTGTTAGAGTACCGAGGCGTGAGGATGACGGATTGTATGTTTTTGAGGATGAGGTTTTGTTGGTGGTGGAAGGCGTGGCACGCTTGGATCTGTGTAACTCTTTGGCGATCTTTTTGTGGGAGGCGAGATCTTTGAGACATTCGTCGTCGAGATGCTTGACCTCCTCAATCCAATCCTTCAAAGTAAGATCGTCAGCGAGCTTTGCACGGAATACTGGAACGCTAAGTTCATCACAGATATTGGCTTCGAGCTGGTTCCTCAATTGAGTCTCGGAGAGATATGTTGGGTTGCCATATAGTAGTGCGTTCTGGTTCTGTAGGTCTAAGGCCCATTCATAGAACAGACGGTTGCCTTGTTGTGATCCCAAGACCTTCTTATGCAACTTGTTGGCCCAGTGGCTTTTGAGCCATGCAGTTCTGAGAGCGGTCATATATTCTGCAAATGTTCCTGCATTGAGGACGGCCCATTGAGTCAGATACCAGGTGTGTAAGCAAGGATCTAGCATCCCGAATGCTATCATCTTGACCTGGTCCTTGGCGTCGACTGACTTGTGCAGGAAATATGTTTCACATGCATTCTCCCAATCGTGTGCGACTTGGGGCATGATTTCACCCGCCATGAGTTTGGGCGGTTTGCTGGGAGCGGATTGCTCAACGACAGCAGTCTTGGTCATTTTGCAAGGGTAGGGGACTGATATATGCGTGTGATCTGAGGAGGAGTCTGAAGAGGAATCGTAATATGTTTTAGCGGGAATAACACACGTGTTAGGTGTGGCGTTTGAGGATACCGGTGTCAGAGGAGATAAGGGTGGTAAGGGTGGTTCGGGTGAAGGTTGTTGTCTTTGTTCTCTCGCACGTTGTTGCGTGGTCAGAGAGGTAGAGACGGTAGGTTTTCTTCGTTTGGAAGACAGGTTGGCGGGTCAGGTAGTGGGCGGGCAGCCTGGCGGTTCAAGAAGTAGTCGTTTAGATAAACAACACGAGTTTCGTTTCTGTTAAAAAAAAAGTGGAACCTTGTCCAGAATATGACAAGGAACACTGAGCGGATCGGACGAGAATAACAGGACGAAACTGTGGATTCTTAAGTGTTTGTACTAATGGATATGTGGTGGTAGGTAGGAGACCCGAGTCTGATCTGAGAGATAGTAAACTCGCCGAATATAAGGGGATAGATATGATAATGTAAGCGTTTTGTAAGCAGTCAGCTTACAAGACCCTGGCTTTGATTTCACAACCGCGATGGAAGCGAAGCAAGCGCAAGATAACATTTGACAAGGCGAATGTCCTACTCAGCTGTAGTCTCGTATCAAGAGCCTGGTACGAGGCTGCAAGAGCAGTTATATACAAGGATATTCAACTGTCCCGAGTCGAATCCCTTCACCTACTCCGTCGTACTGTGCGCCGGAGCTTTGGCGGATATTGCCCTGCTCGCGCCCTCCATTTCACGTATTATTCCAGGGACTATTGTTCGCTTTCAAGTTGGCATTTCTCAGCCCAGTTACATAAATATGTGACACTCGCCGGGGACATATCCCTTCCTGAGTACCCATATTTGAAGAAGCTGAAAGTGTCTAGGCAGAACCTCCGTCTCCTTACCCCTCTTCTACCTCGTATATGCAATCCCAAGTCCTTCGACCCAGAGCTACTTACGAACGGCACTGAGGGCGATCTGGCGAACCACTTTTTGCCGCCTACTTTCAGGTTTTCGACTCTATCGATATCCTATACAAAATTATTCCTTGGACAGTGCAAATGGCTGTTTTCATCCAGTTCCCAGAGCATCGAGTCATTGGAGGTATATCAAGTTGACGCGACCCTAGGTTACTGGTCAGAGTCATCAGAGGTTGTGTGAAGATGTTTTACATCAACAATGCACACGGAAAGTGCTATGGCAGAGTTATCTGGGTTCACGGGCCTGCAGATATTTCGTCCCGACGGGTGGCGGATCGAGAACCTTTTGTTCGCTAATGTACGATCATCATTGAAGACGTTCGAATTCCGCTTCTCCGTGTCGACCCACTGTGGCTGCTACACTCGAATTGGCAACCCTCCCTACGATCACTCAAAAGCTCCCTTGGTCAAACCCGTGCCCACCCCTGCCTAACTCAGAGGTGCTCAAGGCTTTTCGGGCTGCGACTAGTGCAGCTGAAGCGGAAGATAATCAGCGGCATGAACTCAAGGATTCCGCTGACGTCTGGTTAACAGCGTGGAAAGGCAGAAAATAGCCAACATCCGCGCATCGATAGCTAGCCTCAACTCTGTTTCGTGGCAAGAGCTAGGATGGCAGAAAGTAGGCATGCATGAGCTTGTGTCGAATACTACTTTTGCTTCCTTGTCAGATACCAGCAAATGTTGTCTTTCTCATACGCTAGCGGAGAAGACGAACACTGAATGATTGCCGGGGGTGTTTGGTTCGGAGGCGTGGAATGTGTTTCAACAGTGATACATATTCAGTACAAGGATTCGCCCTGTAGTAATGGAAGGTAATGTGGGGCTATATATCACTCTTGCCTCGAGCTTGGTTATAATACGGATGCCGATTTTTCAACTCTCGAGCCTCAGCTTCAAGGCGCCTGTCCGGTTAGTTCCGGAATCAAGTCGGTGGCACGCTCCAGCACCACGTCACATTCACGACACGACTTATATGAGTCACTTGGTTTTCCTTTGGACACCATGTTATCATTCAACAAAGGACTCAACCGTCAGCATCCTTGAACAAACCGAGGGCCTTTCAAGTATGCAACGCTTCGTGACCCCTAAGTTGCCAGACAGGGAACGTCACTAAAGCTGACCTTTTACTGCGACGTAGTTTTTTAGCCTTTGTCCTGGTGACAATAGGAAACGATACCTGGTACCTGGTACAGGACTGGCTATGCAACAAACGCCCCGTGTGCGACCGTTCATTTGATACTTGGGAAAGAAAGTTAAGCGTGAGTTTTTGCCCTTGATTACTTCACTCTGTTCAAATTCTTCCCAGCAGGACGCTTCCTGATCATAACACACACTCCCAGCATTATTAAGTACTGAATGTGAGTTTCCTGCGAGTTCTCAGTTGGTTGGACTTGTTCTGGCTGTAGCACTGATGACTGGACCTATCAAAGGAGATTCCACTTCCGACATGACCGGTGAACTTTGAGCGTCATGATCCGATTTGTTAACGACTTTCAAATCATTTTGCATCATATCTCTTTTTTGCAGGCATGTGTTGCGACTCGATACCTGTGTCGAATGCGTTGTAAAGGTATTATGGTTTCTCGTCTGTGTGCTGCTCCGCTGCAGTATTCTTATGTGTTCTCTTGAATTCTGAGATTGAATCTTCCTGGCTGGAGCGCAGGTACCGTGGATCAAGTAAAGAAGCTGCGTTATCTTTATCTCGGTTCTTATAATAACGGATCATGTGTTCAAGCTACCAGTTGAAAAACTTCATCGGATTCGCAGCAGGGCAATCCAACTATCCAGCACACTACGTGGCCTAGCACGATGTCGTTCGTTTCCGTGCCGATCACAGAACAGCCTGCAGACCTGAGGTGGGTTTATGGATGCCTATCATCTGATACGTATGTGACATCTTAACAACTTAATTACGTAGCTTAGCAGATACGGAGCACACGGAAATAACCCCCAGAGAGAGGGATTTGGGTGGACAAGAGGGACAAGGATGCCAACACCTTGCCGAGGGTAGTCAAGCACCCCCCGCCCGTTCGTGCTCAAATAGCAATGACCTTGTTCCACTCTTCCGTGTTCCAGACGAGATCCTTAGGGAAATCTTGAGGCACGGCGTTCAGATGGAGGTTGATGGGGGTGGCAGCAGTTTTCAGAAGACAATGTCGCACGTGTCTATGCGATGGCGAACTGTAGCCATCTCTGATCCATCTCTCTGGACCCGTGTTCCTGTGTGCCCGGAGGAAACCCTACAATTCCTTCAAACGCGTATTCATCGTGCTGTGGATATGCCGATTGATGTTGACATTCATCCTTGGCCGACACAGCTCACCAGATTTGCACCACACCTGTTACTCCCTCAACTGGACACCATTCGCCAGTGCGCAAGTCTGTGGCGCTCACTCACCATTCGGTGTGGAAAGACGGAACAGATGTTCTCTACTGTTCTGCTCTACTTCATGGGCCACAGGACGTTTCTGCCATCCCTCGAATGTGTGAGGCTGTATGGATGGGATGTGCAAGTTATGCCTTGGTCACGGGCACTCTTCTTTGATGAACGTTGCACTCCAAGGATTTCTACCCTTAAGGTCGACAACATAAAGATATGCACCGGTAGTCTCGATTCCCAGAATTCTAGAATCACCACTCTCATTCTCACAAGAGACGCAAAAGCAGAGATGGTGACTACGGCCCCTAAAGATTTCTTTCGTGTTCCCTCCTCGTTCTCTCTCGCCTCATTGGTAATCCACGGTCTCGTGGTCGATATTCCTTATGTGTCGTCCACCGACGGTCATCAATACTCCACTCTCCGCACCCTAGACATCCACGGCATCAATTGCGCGCGTTTCTCCCCGCTTACCTTCACTCTTGCATTGATGTTTCCTGGTGTCACGCACCTCAATTTGACAGGGCCACGGGCTGCCCCCTCGTTACTCGAAGCTGTACGACGAGTATCTGCAGATGAGATATGGCCGGGCCTTCAGAAGCTCGTACTGAATGGTTTTGTTGCCCATGAATGGTCACAAATCCATCGTTACCTTCAAACATATAACAGAGGCGACTGCGAAGTTAGCTAGGACACCCCAAGGATGGTGAGTTCATCCCGTTGCTGATCGTGGAGGATAGGACGCTAAAGGTAGCAACGTTCAAAACAGACTTCGCGGTGCTAAATCCCGTCGATGCTCCCAAACATCCGCTGTAGAGTATGTAGTATAGTATATATGTACGATCGCTGAGCACAACATCCAATCACTACATTTTTTAAACGAATAAGTTCAGTGAGTAGACCGGATGCGTGAATTACATACGCCCTTGGCGGTCGATGTCCTAGTGATTGGCAAACGCTCCGGATGGCTCACTTCACAATCTCTTATTCTCATGCTTGCCCCGCACCGTTAAAGTGCGTATGCGTGCAGGTTCCTCCGTCTTCGAACCTTTACATGCAGAGTCGCTTCCTTGCGAAGTGCAGGCCGTCTCTTACATCCACTCGCAAGCGAACATATGTGCGACACGCGTCTTCTATCCTATCGGGAATTGGACCCGACGGATGATTCAACAACTTGACTTACAGTACTGTTTGCGTTCCTGTGCCACCACATCCTGTGCGTTGATTCTATCTTTCGTTTCAATGTCAAGCTACACATATCTTTTTCAATCCGAGTACAAGGAAAACATAGCAATATTTAAACCTGCCAGTGTAATCATTAATACCGACGAACGCGCAACTTGGTGCCGTCCTCTCCAGCAACCCGCGGACGAGGTAAATTCCCTCGCATTCTCGACCTGTCACCTGATATCTCTATCCCGCATCTCAAGGTATGGTCCAGTAGTGTGACGGTCATGATTAGAGTGTAACATATTTTCTAGAGGACGCGACGGGATGAAGGCGGGGACAGCACATCCGCGATGTGTGTCATCTCGTTATTATCGGAACGCAACATCACATCTATCGATCTCAGCAATTCTGGTGGGTTCAGATTTTTAAATGAGCGCAGAATGGTGACGTGATCCGATATAAACAGCATCGTGGGCTATGGAGTAAACCATGAACAGGAACGTTAACGGTCACTATATCTTGAAACATGGTGGGCCATGCTTGGTCGGCATCGTGATGTGCAAACCCCAAGCTAGCCGAAATGCTGTATGGCAATATGAACCTGCGAATCGACGATTAAATATACATAGCGCCGACTCATGTAATCCATGCCTACGAGACACATAGAACTCGCCCACCTTGCCAGCTTGCCCCCAAGCGAGAATCCAGCGGACCAACCAGTGAGTGTTAGACAGTCCAGCCCCATAATTGATCACGAACCGCATCAGAACCCCATTGGTAGGCCAGCCGCCTTCCCGCAACGAACTATGACTGCTAGATGGCGAACACACGAGGAAGCTTCAACCGCAGCACAACCCGGGAAACCCATTCTGGGACACATATTTGAGGTACATGAGAAGGATATATGGAACTTTGTCTTCTTGCATGACAATGACCATATTGTAAGTGGTTCTGAGGACGGCACGATGTGTAAGTGGAACTGCAACGCAGGACGTGGACGTCTTGTGGGATTACCATGGAAAGGCAAGGGTGGAAGCATATACGCACTGGCGCTGTCACCAAACGGCGAGACGATTGCATGCGAAAGGAAGGATGGGAGCGTTCAGCGGTGGAACGTTCACGGGGAGATGATTAATAGCATCCGGACGGGTCAGAGCGCTAGCTATAGCTAGGGAGTGAGATCGCTTTCGTGGTCTCCCAGTGGAATTCACATTGCCAGCGGGTCCGAAGATGGATCAATCCTCATCCAAGAAGCAGAAAGCGGAAAAGTCGAGGTGGGACCGATCGAGACGAAGCAGGACAGGGTGTGGCACCACCCTCAGAACGGCATGCACGCTCTTGCATATTCACCTTCGGGTGACAGAATTGCAACAGGCGGGTACGCTACGATTTGCATCTGGAACGCCAAGACTGGTCAGCTTGTTATCCGCCCCATCAATGACCTGGGGGACTTTGTGTCATCGTTGGTGTGGTCGTCGGACAGCACTAAACTCTATTCCGCGTCCGACAAATTCGCACGTGTTTTCGACAGCAGCACAGGTACACTACTCTATCACTTCCAGCACAGCGTTCACCTGTTTTCTGTTGCACTTTCACCTCAGAACGATATACTGGCATGTGTAGGCATAGAAGGTATTGTACAGCTATGGGATATAGTATCCTGTCAGCCACTCGCCCTGCCGTTTGGCCAGGTTCAGGATCGCGCAACCCTTTATTGCGTGTCGTTCTCTCGAGATGGGACATACCTGGCATATAGCGGAGAGAACAAACTCACTCTCTGGATGGTCGAAGACATGGCTCTTCGGCTTGCAGCACCCGTACATAGTCACAGACAAACTATACAGCAGGAGACTCGATCCGAGTCCCTATCATCGTCTTGCCTCGATGTCAGTACTTTCACACTTGATTGCCTGTCTTGCCTTGCTCATAGCACTGTCACAGGCTGATGCTACTGGGGGTGATGACATCATCGAGGAGGCGCACGACGACCCATACGACACCTTTTTCCAGGTAAAACTCGTGTTTGTCATGCGAACGGCCTAGTACTGACCATAATTAGTCTTCCCAGCCATCTCTTTCTTCCGCGTTATCTGTTCCTCCCCGGCTACACCCAGCCCGACGCTTCTGGAATACCATCTCTCTACATCACCCCCCAGAAAACAAGTCCGTTCCGTTGCAAGACCGCCTCAAGCGCAAGTTCTTTGCGTATCGTGCTCGCTCACACTCGCCGCAGCCTGCAAATACCACACCTAAGCAACCAACGCCAGATGGGGCCGGCCGAGCAGAAGCAGAAGACAAGGATAGCGCTCAGACCCCTCTGCCCAATGATTCTTCCTGCGAGCTTGACGACAAACAAAACAGCAAACTCTGGAGATTGCTACAAGCTCGAGCGAAAGATTCCGCTTCGGCCGATGAGGCTCCAGCAAAGAAACGCAAACCCTCTCCCAAGGTCGTTGAGGTATACGCCGTACGCGGGTTCCAGGTAAGTTCTGGTTTCACCTTGTTTAAACACTTGTTCTCACCAGGGATGGATACAACAGGGATATGTCGCGCTGACACGGAAACGCAAGGCGAAGTCATTGGCAGCGACGTTCGCTCCTGCCACTGCAGCACACCCGGCGCAGGCGGGGTCATCATCGCAAGGCATGGCTGGACACGGAACTCAATATTTGCACGCCACTGGAGGTCCGCTACCGCAGGCGTCCCCATCACACTTTGTCACCAGCCACAACTCAGACTCACGTTCAAGCATCGAAGGCTCCTGCAACAGGTTCCTCGACAAGATATGTTTCCCCTGTGGACACTTTCATGACGATTCTTGAATTCTTCGTGCGAGTATGCCAACTGAATGTGGGTTGGACCTGCTTTTTCTGTCTTTTATCGTTCCTTTAACAATTGATTCGTACTATGTTCAGCTTCATTACTTCATTCTGTACGCCAGTCGTCGTTATCCATTCGTTTGGAGCATCACACACCTTCTACTACCGCGGTTGGCTATACACCCACCTAACTAAGACCTCCAGAAGCAAGGTGTCGGCGGCTATCTGTATCTTATTCCCCATGTCACAAAATAGCTTTGAGTTGTAGTCAATGGCATCGGAGACACTTTGCGACATACGGGGGTTGACCTCTCATTGACCTCTCCGAGCCCATGTTGATCAAAAACCGTTGCAACGTTGATCACATCACGATCCGATTACTATTCTACAGAACACTATGACTAGAAGCTAAGGAGAAAACATGTATTATCGGAGGTCTTTAAGTCTCCGCCTGCACGTATTTTCTCCTTAGCTCGACCGCATTCATCCACTACCGCCGTCGCCGTCCACAAGTTACAACAGAGAACACAGCCTTCTGCCATTCGTGTGTCGTTGCTCAGCGTCTCTGTTTCCCACCGTCGGCTACGACGGGTTTCCATCAGACCATGAACCTAGGAGCATTAAGGACAAAGTTATTTTGCATTTTGCTGCTAGCCAGTTGAAGTGAAGGCGGAAAGAGCATATTTCAATGACGACCAAATATCTCGAGATATATCAGATATCTCAGTGAAAATGTTTTCCGAAATCCATTTGCACTTGTTTGGTACAACCTTTAGCTTTCAACAAGACAAAACAACACTAGGACGCGTTAGGGCTCCAGAAATGCACCGTGCTACCTGAATGTTACTCTGTTGGCGAATTCCAACAAAGGCTCCCATCTACCTTGCATGTAAATTACGACGAACTGGTCTGTATCGATTCCACTCTACAACCACTGATACTTCCACGAGCAAGCAATTCTACATCACTACACCCATCTTCTATCCGAACGCGGGTATCTACTCCGTTTCCTTCATACATTATACTCAACTAATGTATCCTAGTCCCGCACATAGGTCATCTATACTCACTCGTCACTGCTGACATATTCGCCCGCTTTGCACGCATCTCTGAGCCGAATCGTCCGGTGCACTTTTTGACAGGAACGGACGAACATGGTTTGAAAATCCAAAAGGCTGCCAAGGACCGCGGAATAGAGCCTTCTTCACTTTGTGATACTCTAAGCGAGCAGTTTCGTGTGTGTCGCGTCGCGTTTCTCCTTGACTCATTGACATAAAATGTGTTATAGAGACTTGGTACTTGTGCTAACATCAGTAACACGGTATTTTTGCGTACAACCGAAGCAAGACATAGAGAGGCTGTTGAACACGTTTGGGTGTGTAGATTATTCATAATAAACCACCTTTTTCTCAACTCATACCGCGTAGCGTCGTCTTGCTGCACAAGATCTCATCTACAAGGGCACATATTCTGGATGGTACTCCATTTCTGATGAATGTTTCTATACCGACAGTCAGGTCACTCATCCGCCCTCCTCTCCAACTCCCGTCTCTATTGAAACTGGTTCTGCAGTCGAGTGGTCCAGCGAGTCAAATTATAAGTTCCGTCTCTCTAGCTTCCGGGAACGCTTACTAGACTACTACACTGCGAATCCGAACTCGATATACCCGTCGGCTCACCGAGAACGGCTGATACAGACCCTCAAAGATGAACCTCTGGATGACCTGTCAATTTCACGACCGCGGGAGAGATTGAGCTGGGGAATTCCCGTTCCGGGTGACACGTCGCATACTATGTATGTGTGGTTTGACGCACTGACGGTGTATCTCACTGGGGTTGGATTCCCCGCTGAGCAGCAAGGGTCACTATGGCCTCCCAATATTCAAGTCATTGGGAAGGATATTGTTCGGTATGTCCAATATACATCTTGCCACATTGATTCCTGATGAGGGAAAATCAAGTTTCCATGCGTTGTACTTACCTGCCATGCTCCTTGCGATGGGAAAGCCGCTCTCACATACCCTTCTTGCACATGCACACTGGACAGCACAGCAGCGCAAGATGTCAAAATCTATAGGCAATGTAGCGGATCCGTTCGACGCAATGGACACGTGGGGTGTTGATGCCGTACGCTTTTACATGGCACGCGTTGGCGGTCGTTTCAAAGACGATGTTGGTATGGCCGTTCACTTAATCGTTCCCCGCACATTTGTGAAAGTCTGTTTTATTTCCAAGACTGGTCTCCTGAACAACTCGAGAAGCATGCAGACGAGATCCGTAGTTTGCTCGGCAACTTCTTCCTGCGCATCACCTCCAGAACAATCCAGAAACGTGTAGCATCTGCACCGCAATTCACATTTGCCCAGCTCCTGGATCAGCCCCTCGATGGCCCCAACGGTGACGTGCTATCATCACTGCGTACTCTCAAGGGAAGAGTAGAACAATGTATAGGAAAGTTTGAGGTAGGAGATGCGCTCGATGCTATCATCCTAGTCCTCAGGGAGGTAAGCAGTCTTGTTCATCTCAGTGCTTGATCGTTCTAACGAGTCTCAAAGGCGAATGGTGCATTAACACACACCGCACCTTGGTCGACACAGAACCCACCTGAAGCGGCACAAGTGTCCTATCTCCTCTCGCTCGAGGTGCTCCGGGTTACTGGTATATGCTTGCAACCTTTCATTCCCGACGCTGCGCGCAATCTATTGGATGCCTTGGGTGTTCCGAAGGCAGAACGGATCATGGATTTTGCAGCTGTGGGTGGGGGTAAGGTGGGTGAGGTGAGGGGAGTGAAGTTGTTTGAGGGTAAGAGAGAGATATAGCCAGCGGGTCGTCGATAATTGTCTGTTGTGAAAAGCCAAAATCATGGATCAGACTACGTTGGGCGAGCATGTTCATCTGTAAGATTGAGTAGACATACACATAGGCTCGTGCCACCATCTACGACTGTTGTTGTGCAGCTTGCACGTGCACCAAATTCCCCTCCGTTTCTGGACTCTTCAGGATCTTCTCCAGCTCAAAACATTTGTGCGCAGATATCTTGCAGGAGATGCATATCAGCAGTATGTTTAACGCTTACTATGCGGACGGAGATATCATATTACTGCTCTTCAGTTTTCGCTTGAAAAGTCATGGGTCACACATCAAAAGAATATCACGTTCTAAATCTACGACTGCAATAAGGTATGTGGAATGAGGTATTGAGGTTTACACAACGGGCGGCGGTGGCGGCGCTGAGATAGGAATCAGCACGAAAACGCACGACACGTATTTGAAACTACTCACGACAACAAGAGTTCTCCAGGGGATCACAATGCTGATCTTTAGGACAGAGAATCAAGCAAGGCGAATCCGTGGATGTCTGCGATTCCTTCAGTTCTAGTCGACCAAAGACATGCACATGGCGTACCTTCAGATCATCCTCAGTGGTTATAGAAGGACGAGGGTGGTATTCCGGCTGGATCGTGCTGGAATGGATGCCGTTCAGATGCAGAGCCTTGCGTATGTCCGCAGCAACGGGCATGAAGTCATGGTTCCTGGAGGCCATGACGTGCACAGACGCGACGATCTTGGATTCTGAGAGTTGCCAGATGTGAAGCTCATGTACAGATAGGACGCCGTCCACTTTCAGGATGGAGTCGCGAACGTCTTCGAGCGATACGGTTGGTGGGACTCCTTGAAGCAAGATGAAAGAGGCACTCCGAACTGAAATAGAATGGATGAGCGTCTCAGCTCTGTAACAAAGTCAGGAGTAACGTACCTAGAGGTAAGGCAGACGTAAAAATGATAATAGTAATGACGAGGCTGACTGCGGGGTCAAGGTAGAACCGACCACCCCAAGTGGTGAGCCAGATGACGAGACCCGTTATAATCACACCGATATTGCCGAGGGCATCACCCATGACGTGAAGCATCAAGGCGCGCATATTCATCGATCCATGTGAATGACCATGACTATGACCACTTGGAGGTAGGGGCACTGTGGAAGATTCGAATTTATCTTGCTCGTAATCAAGGCGAGGAGTCTCGTTGATTTCGAGCGAACCGTCAGGATCTACACGTATAGAGCGGGATGACGAAGTGTTTCGTCGGTGTTGACTAGGGGAAGCTATGGCAATGTCCTGCGCGGCTTGTGTAACTGCAGCTCGAGTAGCGGCTGGGTGCCCGTACATCGACGAATAAGATCCTGTGCGACCTCTAATTATAGATGAGTCTTGCATAGGTATATTGTCGGTGATGGTGTGTGATACAGGCAAAGGGCCGCTCTCTTTGTCGTCATGAGAATGACCATGTGAATGAGAGTGACCATGCTCTGAAACATGGACATTAAATAAGGCGAGGTAGATAAAAGGATGCAACACTACCGTGGAACAAGAGCAGTCCAAAAATGTTCGAAGCAAGACCGCAAGCTCCCACTATAACCACGAGAAGTGGTTGGGATACATCTGGATAGTAGGACATTTGTGAAGGTACGCGTGAAGAATGGCTTGTTGGACTGACCTTGAAGACTGAAGAAGCGTTCTACTGCCTGCAAGCTAATAGAGAAACATAGTGCAAGAAGGAAAACACCATTGACTAAAGCTGCAAGGATTTCAGCCCTTTGCCAGCCATAGGAGTAACGAGAATGATTGGCGGTCTTTCCTGTCAGCTGTTATATGTAATTGTTGTTATCAGACCAAAGAAGAAAAGACCATCAAGCCCCAACCTTGATAGCATACAACGCGACAACCAAACTCATCACATCACTGACAATGTCATGGTCGTAAAATCACATGTCATAAACTCGAAGATTGATGACACTCACTTGAGCATGTGGAAGCTATCGGCGACAAGAGCAAGAGAACCGACAACATAACCTGTTAAAACGTGAATAATTGATCAAAGCGAAGGCTGAAGACGTGGCTGACCAACAACGAGTTCCAAGAAGAAGAATAGAATGTCAATGACAAGCAATAGCGTGATTCGAGCTGAACGAGACAATCTCATTGCGATTTACGACCACCCTCGTAGCTAAGAGAATGAGGGAAGTACTTAAGAACGAGGAGTGGCGGAGATCAAACTCAGGCAAGCGATTGAAGAAAGGGATAGTGTTGGAGCGTTGCGACCTTCGCCTTCGGTTCTGGAATCCCCTAACACGCACTGCAGTTGAGCCACAGTCAGCCGCGAGTACTCCTCGTGTTCACCATCAGAGTGGCACGACACGTATCTCCGGCGCGTTACGGTCAATTACGCAATTTGTCCATAAAAATTGAATTATGATCACACAAGTTAGACTTTAGTGCATTATGAAATTGGTACATGCAAAGCTCTCAAGCGCTCGTAGTCAATGTCTTCGCGCGGAAACCTGCGTTTCTTTCACCGCGGAGCAGAGGGCAGGAAGACGGATAACAACCACCAGGGTATTAAACGAGGAGCTCACATGTTTGCTTAGTGGTATTTGTGACGTGAGTGCGCATGACAACGTCCTATGGAGAAGGAAAAAGCTTTCGTCAGACTGGTTTTACGGAAGTGCGAAGTGCGGCAGATAATTGCCTGGGCTGATGGGGAACTTGCTCTCTTTGTACATACGTTTCTAGAATCTCCAAAAGTTTATGATTTAGTTATGATGCATCCGCATCTACGCTCCCTCCGCCGCGGTTCTTTCACCACAAAAGCCAATAGTGACGTGAGAGCTGGTCCGTCACTCGCCGTACAGAGGTGAAGAACAAAGTCATTCACTCTTATCAACGACTATCATTCGAATGTCAACAAAAGATGTCACCCACAAACTACTCCTCATTTGATCTCGACACTTTGCTGACAGAACGATTACGAGAAGCCACTCCATGGCTACGTCACATTCTCCTGACCGCTATGCAGACAGCGCGAGCCGCGAAGGAGAACAAGTGTCAATTCCAAAGGCGGACACATACTTGAATATCGACACTTGATATTGTCGATTATTGGGTCATGCCTGATAGGGAGAAGAGTAGTCTGGAAGGAGTCACATCTATCTGATCTTGATGGCATAGCGACTATTCATCCAACCCTTTCGTACGTAGCGAAAGGTTACCAGCTACGCGGACCGGTATCGTCAACGTCGTCGACCGCAAGACCCTAACACAGTCTGTGACATGCTCCGAGCGTCTAGCACTAACTTGAAGCACAGGTCACGGGGAAGGTCAGGGCTTCTAGAAGCGTGCCGAAATATTTTGTAGTAGACGGGAATAAGGCTATTCGATCAGGAGCTGCTTATCTTTCACAGTTGGCAGAGCTATCTGACCTGTGTGGTTTCCATCATTCATCGAGTCGAAAACACGGACGATTGTAGGTATTTCGCTCACGATTTGTCGACTGGCAAGCTTCAAGCATCATAGATAGGTTAGAGTCCGATACCATCCAGAGTCCGATACTGTCCACAGTCGGACACTGACCACAGTCCGATATCTTTTCCATCACCGCGGAGAGTTATGATTCCCACCGCGGGTGCCGGGAGGTCTCGTGAGTCTGTACCTCACTGTTGGAAAGGTTCAGCCATGTTAATGTGCGTTCTTGACCTACCTGTTTCTGATTTCATATGTCGACTCATCGAACAAGAGCAACTGTCGCCGATTCAAGCCTGTGAGAACGCGTAGCACGTGACTGATCACTGGGTCTAGGCATCAGCCGCGTTTTTGGTGACCGCAAGCCAACACTCCCTCTTTGGTCACCTCCTGTCCACGCCAGCTTCCACAGCCATTGACTCTGTCTGACTCTGACTAGTCTGGGAACTCCTTACTAGATGCTTTCTCACTCTTTCCTATCTTATTTCCCCATCGTCGACCACACGTAGAGATGCCCCCAGGAACGCCCTACGCCTCCTTTGCACTCCCGTACCCCATCCGTGTCGACTGTTTTACCTGCACAGATCACCTTCCAGCTCCATACACCAACCCGGCACTATATCTTCTTACTCATTCGCATACCGACCACATTCTCGGCCTATCGTCAAAATCTTTTGCTGCTCGGGTAGTATGTTCGCCTGACGCAAAGCAGATGCTCTTGAGACATGAAGTTTATCTGGAGCGTTCAAAGAAAGATGCAGGTGAAGTTGCGATGAGAACGTTTGCTCATTTGAAGGTTGATGGCGGAGCGTTAAGGAGGGACTTGTTGGTGAGTGTGTGAACTCTTTTCACGATTGTGTTCTGATGTGATACATCGACGTGAAGCACGCGGTTCCACTCAATACTCCAACTGAGTTTGAGTTATCGCCGACTGAGACGGTAACCATTACACTCATCGATGCAAATCACTGCCCAGGTGCCGTTATGTGCGCGTCTCCCCCTCTATGTTCTCCCTGTCGCTCATTCTTGCTGAATAGGTTCCTCATCGAAGGCCCCCGCGGCACTGTTCTTCATACGGGAGACGTACGCGCTGAACCCTGGCTTTTGACCTCTTTGTCTCGAAATCCGTTCCTCCAACCATACATCCCAGATACAGAGGAAAATCTCCGTGTTCTCATCGCACGGGGTGACCGAGGAGCAAGTTTGACAAAAACACTGAATGCAATTTATTTGGATACGGCCTGCCTATTGAGGGGAACCGTCGTTCCCACAAAGGTGAAATTAAAAACTCTCAGAGTGGTCAAAGGTTTACGAATGTGAACAGGAAAATGCGGTCAAAGGCCTGATAGATCTTATTGCGCTGTTTGATAGCGACACATATTTCTTCATAAACTCGTGGACTTGGGGATACGAAGATATTCTCAAGGGGATCGCGCGAGCGTTTCAGTGCCAGGTAGGCAAACATCTTTTTATCACCTTCAACTATATACATTGTGGTTTATTTTGTTTGTGCGTTTCGGAAACCATTTATTCATCAGATCTTTGATTTCTGTCAAAAACTGTTGATGTTCATGGCGCATACATGCAGTTTCTGATGCATATATGCCGCTTGCCTTCCGCTATTTACTCAATTCTTGTGCTGCTTCATATGCGACTTGCCCTTACAATTGATCCTTTCTATTTATGGTGCCCATTTATAATACTTTCACTTTCTGTGATCCCTTTACCTTTCGCCACAATCGACGTCTTATTTCTGCCCTGTGTGTAGGGTTCCGTTTTGCTGACATATTTGATTATCCTCAGATTCATGTCGATCGGTACAAACATGCTGTGTACACCCATCTTTCGGATCCCTTTATCCGTTCTCTCGTCACACGCGACGCAACAAGCACTCGCTTTCATGCCTGTGAACGGTTTGAGCGATGTAGTTTCGTGGATGTACCTCCGTGTGTTATTCCGTCTTTTATCAGTCAACTTCGCTCACTAACGACGGGTTTGTGATTTATGCTGTGTTCATTTTTGCCTGCGTTGTGGTTTTGCGTACCGCCTAACTTGCTACGACCATCCACAAAATAAAATGGGAATAGCTTCGACTTCAAAAATGACTCAGCGCCACGGAGCATGGAGGGAAAGAAGGTCGTGTACGTCAATCCCATGACTATGGGATGTGCACAGTGGGAGTCCTATCGCGTGGACGTACGAAGTCGCCTTGCAAGGGGGAAGGATGTCGATCGCTTGGTTAGTACGGCACCATTTTTCCTCATCCTCCATGATCCGGATCATGGCTTTAGTCGTTGCAAGACGCTGATGCGGGTACTCCTATAGCTTGTACCTCTTGAACGCCATTCGCCTCTACCAGAATTGCTCAATCTTGTGGCGCTCTTCCGTCCCCGTCGGGTCGTTCCTAATACCCTCGTCCCTGCTCTCGGGGGGCTCGATTGGACTGCGATGAGAGCTATGTTCAGGGAGTGTATGGCGCCGCCCACTCCTGGATTTCGCGACCCTATTCCTAGCGAGTTGATCTCATCAGGAGTTGACCATACCAGTGTCCCTGATCTCGCATCTCTCGACCTCAGCGATACAGACTCAGCAATGAAAAACATCGTTGGCGACTCCGCCAAACTTGAAGCACAGAAGTGGGCAGATGACGGGAGTATCCGCCGACGGCTGGAGGTGCTCCTTGGGTGGTTAGGACCGCATGAGAGGGGGATCGTCAATCGGGTCCTTGGGCGTCTACCGAGTTCACGTTCTGAACACAGAGGCTCATCCCCAGCCCCGTTATTACACCGGAACGATACTGCGCCGAAGACACCAAAAAGGGCGAGTAGAACTCCGATACAGCTCAAGCGCTATGTAGAAGACTCGGATGACTCGAGCGACGATGACGGGTCTGATGCACATGCCAGGACTGCGCGAATTCTCTTTGCAGGGGATGTCAGCATGGAAGGGTCTGTAAAGAGCTGGTTATCGTCGAGTCCGTCGCAGATGCTAGGAGGCAAGGCGCAAGATTATGGATGCTGAAATCTTGGGTCCTGTGCAAGAACAAGTTATCGCAGCTGAGACAACAGAAGATGACGTTCAGGCTCCGACATTAGGGAGCATCGCTGAGGTCCCAGTGTCTGAACCTGAACAAACTAACGACACGGCGCCTGTCCCAGAGATCCTACTCTCCGCTCATCAGAGTCTCCCCACGCCGGTATCATCGCCTGCCCTACGTCCGCAAGCTGCTAAGGGGAAATGCAAGGAGATAGAACTTCAAACAAACTCTGAAATCGCAGATTTGTCACTGCCGCCTTCCTCCTCACCGTTTCCTGTTCCACGGATACCCGACCCCTTTAGTCAAATTCGCTCATGCGTCCAGCACGTGCCGACGACTATCCCCGCCCTCCACAAAGCTGAGGATGAACCCATGACACGTGCGCGATCCGTGACGTCTATGAGGGCGTTTACATCGCCATTCGCATCGTTTGGGGATGTAGACATGGCAGAGGCGGATCTGTTGTCGCAGCCTGAGTTGCTCGATGGTAACTCTTTGAAGTCGTATGAAGCCCAGAATGCATCGATTCGGACTTGCGAAGACGCGAATGCAGAGTTCGACGATCAGCAGAGCACTGAAAAATCCCGGAAAGAAGTCCTTTCCCAGCCATCATCAGACGCTCCACCATCGCAGCACTCCCAGCCATTTAAAAGCTTTTCCAATCAGGAGTTTTCTCGTCATCCCTCTCTCCCTCCCTCTCAAATTCAGGGCCATCATAGCGGCGGTCATAGGAGAAAACGCCGCAGACTCGAAGAACATACCATCAGTGCTTCTGAGACAGAAAACAGTGGCGTGGTTCCCCCATCTTTTCTCGTTTCTGCCCTCGGACGTAGAAAGACTGAAGAATCCATTGATAGCCCCGGTGATGCGGCACATCCGCACTATAGGTCTTTTAGGGTCCCATCATCCAGATCCATTCCTTGATTTAGGCTATACGGCAAGTGAACCAAAACACGAGCACAAGCAGCGGCACTCCGCAATTCCTCCTGGAAACCTTACACCCAGTCGGTCCGCTCCCTTGCTTCTATCCCCTCCTCAACCCCCAGAGAGCAGTTCTTACCGCCGCGGCTATGAACCACGTGCGACATCCTCTACCTCGGTCCTCGTTACTTTGAATTTACCCCGCACTCTCGCGTCCGCTCCAACGATACCTCTTTTGTCGGGTAGCACTTCAACTATCAGCCTTGCCTCGTCCTCCAAGATTCTACGACCTTCCTTCATCATCTCAGAAAAATCATCGGTGTCTCGCTCGGGAGAACGACGCAAACGACGGGAAATAGCTGAGAAGCTGTGTCGAGCTCGTCCAGACCTGGTCGATCCATCCTATGCAGCTAAGCGAGCGAGGACGCTGTCTCGGGTCAAGGGTGAATTATCGGTATCCGTGCAAGACATGAGCGAAATTGGCTCGTCTTCAGTCATACACCACCTCTGGAAACATGAGTGGTCCGTCGACTATGCTCCGCCAAGAATTCCGCCCTACATCTACGTTATCTTACCTTCCGCGGTCGAAACAAGTTGCTAGAGCAGCAGTTTCTAAACATCTGCTGCGGAGCGCCCGCGTGACCTATTGGATGAGGATACAGAAGACGTAGTATCAGACGATGGATTGGGCACGAAGTCGAAGGCTTGCACGGGATGTCAGCGAGGGCACTTGCTGCGGGGCGGAAGGCGAGTGATGTGCTTCCGCGATTGATGTGCGTATCTGCTCGGCGAAGACGTTTTGCGAGCTAGTGCCAGCGCGTGTGTTGGATGTATGCTCTCAGGTTTGTTGGCGGTATGACAACGCGCTACGGTAACGTATGCTACACGAACCTTAATACTATAGTACTATTGCATGCTGCTCTGTACAGTGACATATATAATAATGAGGTTTTCTTTGCTTGTAAGCTCCGACCTACTAAGTAAGTGCTAGGTTGTCGCCAAGCAAGTCAAGCTCGAGCGCTTAGATCACTATGAGGTATCGCGTCAGTCAACATATTCCACTGCTTCCCTCCCCGCTCATTCTGATCAACACCCTCCCGCTCTTTCCTCTTCACATTCTCAGCCAAACACCCACTTGAACGCCATCCCGCCGTCTGAGCGTTCAAACGTTCAACCTCAAACCAATCTCGACACCAGTTACTACTAGAAAAGAAATAAACGACCGTCTTCATTCGTACAAGGTCTGCCAAGGAGAGACTAGACTCGTATGGGGATTGCTTAGTGCCCACGGCCGTTGATCATCGTGGCGTCTGTTCCATCCGCAGTATTTTGGGGCGATGATGGGATGACTCGGACTCAGACAGCTTTATTTTGTACATAAAAACCTAAGCCCGTACTACCGTACTTGGATGTAGAAGCAATGCCAACGTCCGGGCTCAAATCCATCATCTTCTATGACATTCCCAGCATCGTGCAAGGGCAACCATTGTCTCCAAATACGATGAAAACAAGGCATGTTAGCCGCCTCGCTGGTTCCTCTTGATCACTTGATTGACAAGTCACAGATATTGTCTCACCTTCAAGGGTTTGCCCTTAGAGACCGTCTGGCTCGAGTGCCCAAAGATAAAGCCCTTTTACGAGCAGAATTCTCTTACACCCACCGACTCGTGGGTAATCAAGGGAACCCCAACGCCCGTGCACACTCTCCCTGTCATCATGGACCCCAATACGAATAGATTTATCTCAGACTCCCTTGCGATCGCACAGTACCTTGACGAGCAACACCCGATACACCGAAGGTCCTGCCATATGGCACGGCCGCGCTGGTGCACGTCTTTTACACCGCGTTCCTCGACGCAATAAAGGGCACCATCATGATGGTCACTGTTAAAAGCGTTCAGAAGCTCAATCCTGAGAGCAGGGAGTATCTTATGCGCACTCGCGCAGAGTAATTCGGCATTCCATGGGAGCAGTTCGCACCGCCCGAGAAGCGAGAGGAACAATGGGATATATTGCGGGTTGCATGCAATACCGTGGACGGGTGGTATACGAAGAGTAGCAGTCAATTCATATTGGGCGATACACCGTGTTTTGCTGATTTCATAGTTACGGGATGTTTCAAGTGGATGGAGTATTGTTTTGAGAAGCAGGAGTGGGAAGAGGTGAGGACCTGGAACGAAGGGCGATGGGGCAAACTGGTGGATGGCATTGACAAGTATCTTGATTGTTCCAAGTAGTTTGTTGAATTATCGGGTGCTAATCAATGAATAGATTCTGATTTGTTCTAGAGCGTTCCGGCGCGCTGAAGATTCGCATTCGAACCTCAGAGCCTGGTACAGAAAGGCTGAAAAATGTCGGTCATCCGGTCTGTTGAGAGAAATCATTCAAGCTCGACCCTATTAATCATGAGTGTAATGTGTATTTTTAGATCCGAGCAAAACAGACAGTTCTGAATGATCTGCGAGAATACCTTCACTATCCAACTGTGTGACGAATGTTTTCATAGCGACGAGACCCTTCGACTGCTTCCAATCACATACAGGCCTTGGAAGGATGAAGGAGGAGAGAGAAGTAAATGCATGCCACTGTCGCTAAAGAAGGTTACGAGTAAGGGGAACGGCATACCACATACATGATTACATAGACGGGGTGCTAAAATAGCACTCTGACATGAGCAGGACAAATTCATGCAGCCCCACGAGACCGAGGGCGATCGCGACACTGATGCCTATTAGAATATTGAGCAGTGAAGTCACGACTGCACCTTCTTAGATTTGGCGCTGAGCGTTGGCATCAGCGGCGGGTCGAATCATTATGTAGGAAGGCGTCGAACATTGCGAGATGGGAGAGAACAACGTCGTTGCCTTCTCAAGGCGTCTAACGTTACATAAATAATAACAAGGAATCCCTTATTATGTCGTATACAACAACAACAACTTGAAAGTTCACACAACATTTCCCGTATCTGTCGAATGTTCTCGTAGTAATGCTCACGACGAAATACAATGATATTACCCAATGAAACAAAGTCGTCGCCAGGCGAAGCTCGACGCTTCAACTAGTTAAGTCTGGAAACACTTTTGCAGGCTGGAGCAAAGCATCCACCACCACGAGTCCACCTCAGTCCTACTCGATACCATTAATTTCCACAGGGATGGCGAATGCAGCACAGTCCATCATCCCAACGACCACACCCGTTCGAGCATTTGAAGGTCATGACTGTATGCGCAGTCGCAGTCTTCCCCGATAGACAGCGTATGGTGACGGGCTCGAAGGACAATACACTTCGCCTGTGGGACCTGAATGACGGGATTGTGTTGAAGAAAATGGAGGGGCATCGCAGCTGGGTACAGGGAATGGCAGTATCAAGAGACGGCCAATTGATAGTAAGCGGCGATTTGAACGGACAGCTCATCGCCTGGCATGGAGAGACTGGTAAATGTCGCTTCCGCCGACCCATCCAAGCCCACGAACAATGGATCAGCTGGATGGACTTGTCTCCAGATGGAGCGATGCTCGCGACTGGTTCACGGGATAAAACAATGAAGCTGTGGAACACACAAACGTGGCAGCTGCAAGGAGATCCAATTATCTGTGGCGGTGAAGTCTTTTGCGTTCGGTATTCACCGTTTGGAGGACTTCTTGCCATCGCTACATCCAGGGATATACAGATATTGAATGCACGCACAAGGATATGTATCGCAAACTTCGAGGCTCATGCTGTGATTAATTCGAAATCACGCAATATTTCACTGGTGTGGACGCCCGATAGCACACGGCTTCTCTCAGGGGGAGATTTTGAGGATCCCACCATACGGGAGTGGGATACGTCGACCTGGAAGCAAGTCGGTGATCCATGGACAGGCCATACTGGCTTGATCTACGCCATTGCCGTGAACTCTAACTGGGACCCTCATCGCCTCCGCATCTCATGACAAACATGTCCGCCTCTGGCGGCTCGCGGATCGACAAACCATCGCCATATTTAAGCACGCCGACTATGTGTGCCGCGTCATCTTCTCCATTGATGGAAAGCACGTCCTCAGCGGAGGTAAAGACAAGCAGATCTCAAAGTGGGCAGTACCAGAGGATGGTTTGCTCGATTCTAAGGTAAGTTTCCACCCTTTACTCTTATAACAATATTCGAGCAACTTCATGCAGCTCTTTACTATAACCACGGCAACCCGCAAGGCATGTATAAATGGGGACTTAAAAACCGCTGAAGCACTGCTAACGCGAGCGATCGACCATGACACCAACAACTACATTTCTTACGCCAATCGCTCACTTGTTATGGCGCGGAAACCCGATTGGGACCGCGCGTTTGAAGATGCGATTATTGTAAGATACACTGTTCAATCGTCGCCCCCTTAACATGGGCTAACTGATGATATAGTCCGTCCGCATCCAGCCCTCTTTGACAGGCTATATCTCTAAGGGCATTGCCCTCTGTGGCAAAAAACGGATTCAAGCCGCGATGAAAGCATTTGACCTCGCGTTCATGTTCACGAACGGAGATTCGAAGATCACCCACCTTCTCCTGTTAATTAAGGTATATCGCAGTTTTATTTTCGCATACTCCTCCCTCATTATCGTTTTCAGGCTATCGCGCTTTTTATTGCAAATGAACACAAGGACGCACTGCTCCGTGTCCAAGAGCTAGCTGCCGTTTGTCCCAGTGCTGATATTCTTGCCTGTCATGTTGTGGAAGTGAGTATCAATTCAGGTTTGTTTGTGCTCGACATTGATGATTTTGAATTTTGCGCATTAGACATATCTACGTGTCCAACTGGGTATAAATGCCTTGGATGGGGCGCGTCACGACGAGGCTGCTGACCACTTCACTGCCGCCGTCAACACCGCCGCCTTCTCATCGAAATTGGACATCCATTCTATTTACGAGGACTTTGTCGTGGTGCGTTGATATGATGCAACAACATGTCCTTCATGCCTCACTGTACCGTTTGTCTAGCTCTTCGGGTGGGACCTCAAGTCCTTGTGGAAAACTGCGAACAAGAATCGGTGCGAGGCACTCCTTTGGGCAGGTAGACTTGGAGAAGCCCACGAATCGTACCGCTACATGATGGATATGAGTGATGAAATTACGAAGGCCAGCTGCCATGATTGGTCCACTGGCAAGTCTTCAGTAGCGTGATTCAGGCTGCTTTCTCATCCACATCTCACTTAGCTTTCAAGCAAGAATGCTGCATGCTTGATGCTGCTAAAGGAGATGCCGCCCTTGCGGAAAGTAATTATGAAAGTGCCATAGAACAATACTCAGCGGCAATCGAGCTCGATTCTACAGCCGATACTATCTTTGCAAACCGCAGTAAGGCGAGGTTAGGAAAAAACACTGTGGGAGGATGCGCTCCTCGATGCGCAGAAGGTGCGATGACATCTACTTTTTCGTACTCATTGCTCATTTTCGCGATTCGTAGGTCATTGAACTCAATCCTTTGAGTTATCTTGGATATCAGTTGAAGTACGCGGCGCTTCATGGCGCAAAACGCTATGACGAAGCCATCGAGGCCTGCCAAGTCATGCTCTCCAAGTTGGACAATGCTCCCGAAACACAAATGCTAGGTAAGCCCTGACTAATATATTATTCGAAAATGCTTGACTTTTCCGCCAGAACTGCGCCAGCAGTATGTCAGTCAATCCGACGCAGAACATGCTATTCGGAAGGCCATTCATATCCAACTGGACGACGCTCCGCCTCGTCTATTTCACACCTCCACCCGGCGCTTGTGCAATCGAGAGGCACAGATCAATACCTTCAAAACGAGCATCGAATACAAGGAGCTTCTTTCATTGACAATGACGCATGCAGACCACCGAAGGGAGCGCATTCAAAATGTGGTAATGACAGTACTTCCGTTGTGTCATGCTATCGCATAGGTGGGAAGAGACGGAGCTTCGGCTGCAAAAAGTCCAGGGCAGGGCGGTCGACGAGTTGGATCCAGTTGGTGGCGCTGTGAAGTTACAGTCGTTCTGCACTACTGTTCATGTCGCGGGGTATCGCTGGGGGTGGATTGATACGTGTTGCATCGACCAAAGTGACAACGTCGAACTCCAAAAATCACTGAATTCCATGTTCGTCTGGTACCACCGCTCAGCACTTACAATGGTCTACTTGTCGGATGTTCCGCCTTCGTCCAAGCCTGGGGCACTGGCGAAGAGTGCATGGAACACTCGAGGATGGACTGTCCCAGAATTCCTGGCTCCTAAAGTCATTCTCTTCTACCAAAAAGATTGGACACTCTATCTCGACGATCGCTCTCCCAACCACAAGGAATCTGCCACGATTATGCAAGAATTGGAGGACGCGACGGGCATAGATGCACGAACCCTCGTTGCCTTCCGCCCGGGAATGAAAGATGCCCGACAGAAACTCAAATGGGCGTCGACGCGTGTCACCACGGTGCAGGAAGACATCGCATACTCGTTGTTTGGCATATTCGGCATCCACCTACCTGTATTGTATGGTGAGAAGAAGCAAAACGCACTCGGGCGGCTCCTGCAGGAGATCGTGGCTCAGTCAGGCGACATTACTGCCCTGAACTGGGTCGGAAGACCATCCGAGTTCAATAGCTGTCTTCCAGCAGAAATCACTTCATACGAAGCTCCGCCATACACATGCCCATCTCTATCTGAGGACGAGCTGCACGCATCAGTCTCCTCGCTGCGAGACAATGGAGCTGTACAGTTGGCTTCAAAATTGTACAACATGCTTGAGTCCCTCGCTGCTCCCCGTTTTGCGCACCGTCGTCTGCATCTGCCTTGCATCGTATTCACTGTCACCGACATCAGACGGAGGCGCCCTCAAGACCCGGAGGAGACATGTGTCACGTATGAAGTCAAGGCAAATGGACTTCATGACCTACTGATCACCACGGAGGACAAGCTATTCTCGCGGACAAAACCCGCTCGACAGTTCTTGCTTGTTCATCCGTGGGATCATTGTCTCCTCGAGCTGCCTGACTATCTAGATGATATGCAGAGCGTGTACGACTGGACCCCGCCCGGATCTCCCATACACGATACGTTTAGCGAGTCTTCTGGAGAACAGGGAGCGGTTGATTCAGAACTGGGCGAGCGAGCGTTGCGATTGCTGGTTCGCCTTGGACAGCCTTTTAGTGCATTTTTACTAGCGCAGCAGTCCCGCGGAGAATACAAGAGAATCGCCTCGGATCACGATATTATTGCACAAGTCAAAGACATGACTTCTGTTCACGACTTGATGGACGTCAAGATACTAGATATATTGTAGTTGTATATGCATCTCTGAGAATTTTTGGAATTTTATGTTCTACGTGAATAAGCACACTAGCCCCTTTGTATTCGTATTTGCTGTATGCTATGTAGCTAGCTACCATATTCTCGTCCGCATAGTCCAGTGATCAGAACTGCAACACTTCTCTGGCTGGGATATTGGGTCATAGTGCATACGGCCTGTTAGACGAGGTTGCGAGGGGACTTTTACCTCGGCCGCGGGTTGTTGGAAAGGATGGTACTGCAGTACCTTTGCGTGTTCGTCGATATGAATGATTCGTTATGCTGCACTGGTAGTTGAAATGTTGCTGTGTTTTCCTCACTGAGTGCTCGAGGCTGAAACGCTCGGATTGTATTATAAGCGGTATGTGTAGTTTACATCGTTCCCGTTTAAAATAATATCCTGTGAGCGATGCAAGGCTTGAGCACAAAAGCGAAGCCCACATAACAATCCAGCCGACACTGCCGCGCTAAGAATTGTTACAGGCAAATTACAAGCCTTCCATGCTCGAGTCTGAATCTGAGTCGTGATTGGTGCGCGAAGTGCGATGGGGAAGAGAGCGTACCTCTAACGGCTTGCGAATCTATCCAGCTATGCCATACCTTACGAAGATGAACCTCTCAGTCCTGACGCAAGTCACTTATGTGCGACAGGGTTGCTTTCCTCCTCATCATCTTCTCCTGCTCGGACCTTGGGTTCTAGCGTTGGTTGATCAGGTGTGGTGGATGCAGGCTGTGGATGCGAGTGTGAGAGAACCGCGCTTTGGGGTTCTTGTAGAATGGACTCGTTTGCTGGCGGGTGATGTCGAAAGATGGCGTTTCAGACGCGTCGAGGTGAGAACGCTGAGGGAGTCGGACGAGATGATGCGGAAAGAAGATCTTAGAAGACTACGAGCAATTATCATCAGTACTGGTCCCTCTGCATGACATACCTGGAAAAATTCAACCTTGGACGCCGGCACTGGCGCTGGCACTTGGCACTACTAGAGTCAGTCCGACACTTCAGCGAGCCTCGGCCCTCCTGCCAGTGCGTGTGTTCTTCTGTTTCAACATAATATATGCATCTCACTCTTTGAATTCAGGCGGCACCCGGTATGACTTGACTGTCGCTTTGCGGCTCGGTGATCGTCATATGCATGATAGAGCATCAAGCTAGAACGTGAAGGTGATGAAGCATTATGCGAGTTGTGGGTACCTTCTAATTTGCGTTGCGAACGATCATTTTCACACATCTAGTGTCTAGTTCTATGTGTATCAATACTCAGTGGCTGTATTCACTCAGACATCATGATGGTTTTTGGTGTTTGGGCGAAAGCCCGGTGGGGCTTTTCCGGCCCGAAACATGAGCCCTAACCTAAGCGTCAAGGTGAGCTGTCGGGCGGGTGGGCCCGAACAGGACACACTGACCTAGTAGCTGTGTTAGCGACACGAAGGGAGCGGGCACCATGCGTCGGACAAATGCATCAAAGTCTCTAACAACTTGATGTGTTTGGTTATGTCCTGTAGAGGCAGTGGCGGGTGGGTGCAAATTAGATAGCGCTTAGAGACTAGAGCAGAGAACTGAGACGGCCGCGAGGTGGGCAGAAGCAAAGGGCACTGTACCACTTCGTTTATTCACACGTAGACTAACTTCTATGCTAGCCTCGTGCCTCGGCTATCTTAGAAAACCAACTGCCCAGCGGTCTGTCCCTTGATCATCGTGGCGTCTATCAACCCCACATCCGTTGCGCTCGGTAACATTCGAGGCTATTTCAAGACTAGGTCCGCAGTTAAGTATTGGGGGTGATGATGGGATGACTCGGACAGCTTTGCCATGCACATAAAAACCCAACCTTGTACTACTCTACTCAGACGTGATGAAAGCAATGTCGACGCCCGGGCTCAAACCCATCATCTTCTATGACATTCCTAGTGTCGTGCAAGGTCAACCATGGTCTCCAAATACGATGAAAACAAGGCATGTTACTACATGCCTCGGAAGTTCCTCTTGATCATTAAATTGTCATGTCATAGATATTGTCTCACCTTCAAGAGTCTGCCCTTCGAGACCGTCTGGCTCGAGTTCTCGAAGATCAAGTCCCTTTACGAGCAGAATTCTCTTGCACCTACCGCCTTGCGGGCAATGAAGGGAACCCCAACGCCCGTGCACACGCTCCCTGTGATTATGGACCCCAATACGAACAGATTCATTTCAGACTCCTTTGCGATCGCACAGTACCTTGACGAGCAATACCCCGATACACCGAAAGTTCTGCCTTATGGCACGGCCGCGCTGGTCCATGTATTTGACACCGCATTCCTCAACGCAACAAGGGGCACCATCATGATGGCCACTGTGAAAGGCGCTCAGAAGCTTAATCCCGATTGCAGGGAGTTTTATATTCGCACTCGGGTGGAGCGGTTCGGCGTTCCATGGGAGCAGTTTGCATTACCTGAAAAGAGAGAGGAACAGTGGAATGTATTGGTGGCTGCATGCAATACCGTGGACGGGTGGTATACGAAGAGTAGCGGTCAATTTATATTGGGCGATACACCGTGTTTTGCTGACTTCGCGGTTGCGGGACGCTTCAAGTGGATGCAGTATTGCTTTGAGAAGCAGGAGTGGGACGAAGTTAAGAGCTGGAACGGAGGGAGATGGGGAAAACTGGTGGAGGCAACTGACGAGTATCTTGATTGTTCAAAGTAGTTCTGTTGATTCAAAGGGCGTTGGGTATGATGCGCCTGGCTTACTCACAAGAACATAAGTACGAGTAGGATGCAGTATAATTGTGAATCGACAAGTGGGATATTGATACATAAGTCATGATGGAATGCAAGTCCGTACTACACTACTGCGAGTCAAGCTATGGTGGAGGCTGGCGACGGAGAATAACAGGGGGTTTTGGAGCGGTGATGGTCTCCGCTGCAGGCTTTATCCGCTTCGCCAGAGAATCAGGGGCAGCTAGATCTTCTTCTCGACTCCGCTTGCTAGCTGCGCCGATGATAGACACCCCTGCAGTGCTGGAGGTAGTACTGGAGGTAGCTGCAGTTGGGGGTGGAGCGCCACCCCGACCAGGAGCTGCACCTCGGATAGTGATACCTCTCCCAGCGCCGCGCGGTGCAACTCTGCCTCGGCCACCTCTGGGGACGCCAAGTGACACCGCACCGCTGGTGGGCAGTTTTTCTCCACTAGCAGCTGCAGGTTGACCTGCTGGGGCTGAGGCGACAGGCCTCACAGGCGTTGCACTTGGTGCAGTTGCTGATTGAGTGGGGGCGGTAGCTGGTTGTGAAGTAGAGGCTGCAACAGTAGCTGGGGCGGGTGGTGCCTTGGAGGTCGACGCTGTGGGTGTTTGCGGTGGCGGAGCCTCGGGTATCAAACCAATCTTTCGCCACTCCAACACTTGCGCTTCCAGGTCCTTGAGCCTGGCTTGAGAGCGAATAAGCTGACTATCTTTGATCTTAAGCTTCGTCGATTGTTCTAATCTACCTCCCTCGGTCGCCGCATCCAATTCCGCGCGATGTCGAACTTGGAGCTCTGCGTCATGAGCAGCGATGGCAGCAGCGATAGCAGCTTTCGTTGACTCGTCGGAAGAAGAAGTAGCAGACTCCGCTTTGGCAGCGTGGACTGCTGCCTTGAGGGCCGTCTCGTGCTGGGCAGTCAGCTGAGCTCGCAGAGCCTCGAGTTCTTGAGCATGCTTTTTCGAGAGTTCCTCGGTGGTTGCAGAAGTACTGCCTGCAGCTATTTCACTCTTCGCCTTCTCAACAGCAGCGGAGACGACAGCAGCTTGCTCCGAGTTCACCCTTTCCCTGGCTTGGAGCATTGTCTGAATCCTAGCCTGGAATTTATCGTTGGATTGACGGAGATTCCTGGTGTCTTCGGATGCCTTTTTCGCCAACTCTTCTGCCGCCTGAGAAAACACAACAAGCTGTCAGAGTAGCAACACAGTCGGATGAAGTAACCAACATTTGCACGCGTCAACGCCTCATCTCGCGCCTTTACGAGTTCAAGCTTCTCCGACTCCCACGGGCTTGCAGTATCAGAAGGTAGACCAGGTGCAGCTGCGGAAGCTTTGCTCAAAGCCTCCTTTTCTGCAAAAAGTCTGTCTCGTTCCTCCTTGAGGGAAGCCTGGGTGGATAGGGTAAGCAACGGAACACTGACTGACGACAGGAGCATACGATGAGCACGGCTTGATCTGATGAACCTTCGGCAAGTGCCTGGACCTTCGCAGCTTTTTCGTTTGCCAGCGCTTGCTCCAAAAATGCCTTCTCTTGCCGTAGTGTCTCCAACTGGGAGTTCAACTGCTGCGACGCATCAGGTGCCGAGGCGGTGCGCAATGCGTCCCGTTCGGCTGTCAGGGTCTTGATTTCGCCCCCGAGCTGTTTGATGGTATCATTGAGCTGAGAATTTTGGGTGTTCAGGAACCCAAGCCTATTCTTGAAGCTGTCTACACTCTTCGTGTTGTTATCCTTGTGACGTCTGAAGTTGGTCTCGAGAAGTGTGAGCTTTAGACTGGTCAGAAAGCGGTATCATCTGGAAATAAAAGATGTGCATACCCGGGCTTGGATACTATTTGTTTGCTCTTCACGCTCTGCAGCCAGTTTCTCTGCATCAGCTTTCTGAGTCTTCAGAGTTTCGATTTCGTCTTTCAAGGTTTGAATCTCAGCAGGATCAGTACGGTCATACTGTCAAACCATGTCAGGTCGAAGAAAAACGAATGGTTCTAAACACTTACTTTGCTCAGCAACTGCGCGTTGCGTTCTTGCCAACGGCGGCTCTCACCCTCAAGACGCGTGATCTGTGCATCTCGAGCTCGGAGCTCTGCTTGTGCAACACGAGCCTGTTCCTTTGCGGGTTCAAGCTCTGCAGACAACGCCTGTAATTTAACATCGAGCTCGCGAGAACGTTTAGCATAAGTCTCGCAGTCAGTGCGGAGGGTGGCGTTGCTTTCTCGAAGAATATTGAACTGATTGATCCTCTCCAACATCTCAGCGTGCTGGGCATCTGAAGTCGCCGCTTCCATCGCCCGTTCTCGCTCCTGATACAACGTCATTCATGATCAGAAGTATCACATATGAAAAGACCTACCTCAGCAAGAGTCGCTCTGGTTTCTTGTAAATTCTGAGTCAGGTGCTCGATTTGAGCTTTCAAGCGAACGTTCTCCTGTTTACTGAGCTCGAGCTGGAGATCAACAATCTCCTTCTCCTTGCGCAGGTAAGCCACCACAGATCTGAGCTCCGACACCTTCGTATCCACATCGCCACCAACATCTGCGTCACCGGTAGCCTCGGTAGTAGATGAGTCCGCAGCCTGACGAATGCGGGTGGCTTGCGTGCTGACAGTCTCGAGATGTTGATGCAGAAGAGCATTCTGTGCTGCCAGATCCTTGCAGCTGCATTTCGTTCAGACTGAAGAATTGACCGGGATCAAGTCAAAAACCTACCGTGCATTGAGATCGGTAATTTCCTTGTCCAACGCCTCTTTCTGCTGTTTCCAGCTGCCCTCAGACGCTGCCAGCTTAGCTTGAGCATTCGCAGCTTCTGCCAGGTTCTCCCTAGAGGTAGCCTGAGCGACGGTGAGTTGCTGTTTGAGGGTCTCGATGGTCTTGATCGACTCCGCATGAACGATGACTTCGCGCGAGTATCTATCTTCTGCGGCCTGAAAAGACTAAGAATACGGATATCAACAAAATAATAATGACTTACAAGTGCTCTTTCCTCCTGTTGGCGGACTTCATTCTCGCGAGTAGTGCGGTCACTCTCAGAGGTCTTCTCAGAGGTGCTAAGGTCGATGATGGTATCCTCCAAGGTCTTCTTATCACTGGTCCAAACCTGCCGCTCCGACTCGAACGTGCGTTGAAGTTCAGAGAACTTGCCAGCAGACTGTCGCAAGTCATCTTCAATGCCGCGTAGTTTATCTTGAAGCGACTTGTACTCCAGCTGTAAAGAGTGACGTGAGAACCATAGCCAGCTGATATATATATATATAAGTTGAATTAGCCTACCTCATTCTTCGAAATCTGCGCCTCAGTCTCAGTCTTGTATTGATCGTGCGTAGCATTCAGCGCGGACAGAGCAACTTCGTTGGCTTGAGAGATCTCTTGGAATTGCTGCATGTGACTACGGGCAGCTGCGAGATCGACTTGAGCAACCTTCAACGCAGACCTAAAATCAATGCATTCAGCATCATGCCACAAAATAATCCTTCAACACTAACCGCAATTCTGCGACTTCTTGCTCGAGTTGCTGCTCACGAGGGAGGTCTTGCTCAGTAGCAGCAACGGCGCCATTGACGACTGATGGTCGACGTTCGTACACGGCGAGTTTCTCCTCGTTACCTTGTAGCTGGCGTGTAAGCTGGTCGACGCGTTCTTGGAGGTGAACTTTGCTGGTTTCTGCACCGACGAGAGACTCCCGAGCTTGAGATAGCTGTTCGGTCTGCAGAGTGTAAGAACTTGCGCATTTTACACCATGAAACTGATGCGTACCGTCTTGTCCAAGCGGGTTTGTAGGTCCTTTAGGTCGATATCCTTCTGAAGCGTGACGTGGCGGACTGCGTCACGCTCTTGCGAGAGTTGAACTTTCATGTCTTGCCTAAGGCGATCCAATGAGTCTTCCGCAACATCAGGAAAAACATTCAGGTACGCACGTCTGGCCCTCCATCATCTGGATTTGGCTCTCCAAACGCCGGCGGTCATTTTCTCCCGATCGTTCAAGGTCGCCGTGCATCCTCTGCACATTAGCCATAAGGTCAGACAAGTGAGAACGTTCCACGGAAAGGGTCTTGTTCTCCTGCGTTAGGCGGACTTGGACAGACTTGAAATGACCAAGTTAGCGTCGCGTTCCGCATGAACACAAAAAAGCCATACCTCCCATATTTTCTTCTCTGCACGCAGGTTAGCATTCTCATTGCGCAACTGCTCGACGCGGCTGTTAGCTAACGATAGCTCCTGCTGGGCTCGGTTGCATTCAATATCAATCCGAATGTATTGGTCGTAGAGCTGCTGATTACGCTTCGTCAAGCTGTCGAGATCGCGGGTATGTAAGGCAGTTTCGTCTTGGCTCATACGGTGGCGGTCTTCGAAAAGCTTAGCTACCAAAAGCAGAATTAAACGATGAAAGCGCTTACCAGTGAGATATTCGATCTTTGCATTCGCCTTGGCAAGCGTAACATTGACCTGCCCGAGTTCGCGATGCGCTTGCTGTAACTCCTCTCGAAGCTTCACAGAGTCCATGCCCATCTCGGCCTTGTAAGCCTCAAACTGAGATTGCACATCTTCAAGTTCCGCAGCTAGATCATTTTGGATTGGCCCAGCAACGCCGTTAACATCGCCGTTAAGGCCCGCATGCGGTCCTGAACGCTCAGCCCGCGCAAGCATGGCCTTCAACGCATCTCGCTCCTTCATGTACGCCTGGATAGTCATGTCGCTGCTCTTCTTCTGTCTCTCAAGTTGTGTGGCCAGATCCTGAATTGCCTCGTGTGCCTCTCTCACAGCTTCACTCTGCTCTTGCTCAAGAGCTTCACGGTACTCCCGCTCTTCAGCCTCCATTTTTGCGCCGAGTTCACGTACGATCTTGAGTAGCTTCTGGTTCTGATCTTGCAACCCACCAATGCTGCGGAAGAGTACGAGGTTATTCGTGATGACGGCGTCGATATTTTCAGCTGGTAGGGGCTCCATATCTTCCATCTCCGCGTCCGTGGGCAAAGACGGGTCTGCGCGTCGCTCGAGATCCTTAAGCAGAGTCTGTACTTGACGACCAAGGTCATCCAGTTGTCGTTGCAAAAGTTCGTTCTCTGAGTGGGACTTCTTCAACTTCTGCGAGGCTTCTTGGAATGCATTTGCGTTAGCTTCACGTTCGGCAAGCGCTGTTGAGAGTTGCGAGGCAAGTTGTGCAGCCTCAGATTGCAGGCGGTCATACTCTTCCCGTTGTTGCGACAGAATGGGGGCCTGGGCAAATGAATCAGACTACCCTTTGACAAGGTAGGAATGCAACGTACCCGTTCTTCAATCTGAGCTAACACTGCAGACAGAGTTCTGTCCATGTGGTCATACTCGGATGACTTCTTCGCTAGTTCGTCTTGCAAGCGTACGTAGTCGGCGTAAACCTCGGTGAACGTCTTGCCAGTCTTCTGCGCCCTGCTGACCATTGCGACCGTCGGGCTCAGACCGAGGATACCCTCCATTCTGGACTCTTGCGCAAGGTTACGGGCGGGCGTGGCTGGAGTTCCTGGAACGGGCGTTCCGCGGGTGGCGACAGGCAACTCGCCACGGTTCATGCGCTCTACGACTGTCTCAAGTTGGTCCACCCTGCGCTCCGCCTCTTCTCGAGCCCGTTTCTCCTTCTCGACTTCGGCTTGCAGAGCTGCCTCGCGTCGTTCCGCACGTTCTCCAACACCTGCCCACTCGCGTTCAATGCCTTCAACGATCTCCTTCGCTTGTTTCTCACGCTCTTCCATGATGTTTACGAGTCGTCGCAGTCCGGATGCTTCACTGGTGAACGCTGCTTCCTGTTCTGCGAGCTGTCCAGTCAGATCCTGCACGCGTGCAAGAGACTGCGTGAGTTGATGAGCCTGTGATGAGTGCGCGCTCTGGAGTGCCTTGAATGCACTCTCCGATGCTGAGTGTTGTTGAGTGAGTGCGTCGTGTGCGCCCTGCAGAGTCGCGAACTCAGCATGTTTCGTGCGTCGGTATTTGGCGTGTTCTTCGATTTTGAAGGATAACTCGGCGGTAGCACGCTCGACTTCGGATTGTGCGAGTTGGAATTGCTGCGTCAGGGAGTCGATCTTGAACTAAAGGTGCGTTAGGTAGAGAGCTAGTCAGTGGTAGAGGATACATGCCTTGTTGGATGTTTCTGATGAGCGAAGCTCGCGGACTTGAGTTTCCTGCATTTGGTGTTCTTGACGTGCTTGTCGGAGGCTGTTGCGTAAGCTTTGCACCTCATCTACAAAGAGTCAATTGAAACTCATGAAAGAATGCAAAGAACGTACCGTCGCGCTGAGTTGCATCCTCCTTCAATCTATTTACCACACCAATGAGGTCACGTTTTTCGCGTTCAGAGTCCTCGACGCGGTGTTTCAATTGATCGAGTTCGGTCGACGAGGTAGATTGCGACGTGCTAAGATTTGAAATCTGTGCTTCTAGACTACTCTTCGATGCAGCTGCAGGAAAAATAAGCTTTGAAATGAAATGACGGTAATACTTCACATACCCAATTGCTCCTTTTCGTGCCTCGCGGCTGCAAGCTGGCTCTGAACATTTTCAAGCGAAATTTCAAGGGCATTGGCCTTGTTCTCCCCGTCTTGATAAGCCTGGTCTAATTCGACTTCTCTACGATCTACCTCGGCTCTCGCGTCCTCGAGGTCCCGTTGAGTGGTATTAGTTTCTGCGACTTTTTCGAGTAGCAATCTGTAGACAGATACTATCGTATCCGGGGTTGGCGTAGCAAATGAGACATCTTGTATCCGTATCAAGCTTGAAAGGGCCTCGACATCAATGTCGGTAGGTATTGGGACGCTGAATAGTGGTGGTGGATGAAACTCGTCTGTGCCTTGGGTAGATGCCCCGTCGTGGTCGTGCTGAACGGCAGCGGCAGCTGCTGCCTTGCTTTTTCGCCTTGTGCCCACCATATGATAGGGAGAAGACGAGAGCTAGAGCCACTGAATTTCAGTGAATGTAGTGACTTGAATGTCAGAATCAATGAGTAAATTGCGCACAATGAGCCTTGAGGTCTACCTCTGACTCCCACGCCACTAACGAAACTGACCTTCCTATTTTGGACTATGATCGTCTGCTCGACAACAACCGCGTAGCCTACTTACAACGTCCTGATCCTTCTTTCTCATACATTATCATGTCCTTCTTCAATTCTATCGGGTACGTTCATGGTCGTACAAGGATTAACTAACTAACCATATCATCTTAGTCGTTCCATGTCGCGAGCACCGCGCGGACCAAAGCGTTCGCCTACACCAACCTCTTCAACGTTCCAGGCTGACCCCATGCCACCCCCACCCGTCCCTTCATCTCCAGTCACCTCTGGGCCCCCAAAACCTCTTTACTTGTGTAGCCCATTCGTCGAAGCAGCTCTCGTCAAAGGCAATTTTAAAACCATCGTCGTTCTTCCAAAGTATGTCGACATAATGGAGTGGGTAGCCGTCAATGGTACGCCTATCCGTTTCGTTTTAGCGATGCATCTCAAATAGCGCATTAGTATTTGACTTTTATACCAACTTGAACGAATTTTATGGCGTTATATCAGAGTGCTGCACGCAGCAGTCATGTCCGACTATGTCTGCTGGTCAAAAGTAAGTATCTCCCTATTTCAAACGCGTCTATCTGACAAGACGCACTGCAGTCTCAACTACACATGGATCAACCAAGATCGCAAGAGCGTCCATCTCGCCGCGCCCACATACATCGACTATGTTATGACATGGATTCAAAACCTTCTCGACGACGAAAACGTTTTCCCGACAAAGTCTGGTAAGGACCTCCTTGCTTCACCTGATCACGCATCGTGATATTTCGTACACAGGACATGACTTCCCGCAATCATTCCCCTCGACCGTCAAACACGTCTACCGTCAGCTCCTTCGCGTATTTGCACACATCTACCACGCGCATTACCCTCAAATCCTTCACCTCCGCTCAGAACCCCATTTCAACTCCCTATTCGCTCATTTTCTCGCATTCGGTCGAGAATATGAATTGTTGGATATCAAAGATGTCAAGGGCGCTACTAATTCACCCGTCGGTGCTGGCATGCTTTGGGAGAAGTGGAGGGAGATGGGAATCTTGGAAGGATAGTTTACTTGCAGGGCAAGTGCGCAGCGTGGTGGGTGTTTGATATGTTGGACGGTCTTCATTCATTTCGTGTATTACTTGGTGTTGACAATCTGGAATTCACGTTCGTTTTCAATGCTCGATGTTTAGACGGCTCTGGAGCACAGATGTGTCTTTTCATCGTGCACCACGTCGTGATTTTTGCGCAGATAGATCGGAACCATGACACGGTGCTACGAGCTCGTAATTGATGAAATATTGGACAGCATCAATGGAAGAAACCAACTGGCATACACTATTCTGCGTGAGGATGTATTCATATCGGTACCGCTAAATTGATTGTCCTCTGCGAATTCAGTCGGACTTAGACCTCAATAAATAGCCCCGTACCACAACAATATAGATGAAAGCCTCTATCATTATCGTAACGGTGCTAAGTTACGTACCAAGTCCCCGACTCCGATCTTGCTTGGTGGCACCGTCATGATCCTCCGCAAAATAAGTTATTGAAGCTACGGTTGATGATATATGGTCACGTTGGGTTTTCCGTTCTCGCGCCTGTGGCTTGGACCAATACTTCTGATCATACAACCTGACTACATTACGAACGCAGCTACGGCACATACAGCAGGTATTGGAGATCGCCCCAACGGACAATAAACAAGAATACAAAAAAAAATGTCGACATCAAGGTCGATGATCTTTCACTCATGAATAATTAGAAGGCACAAATGTACATCCTGCGATAAAAACTTGGAGCTGTATATGCACAGGCACCATGGAATTTGTGGGGCGCACATACCGGTATCATTCTAGGGACAACCAGTTCAACTGTGTCCAACAAAGACCTTCCTCCATTAAATACATTCGTTGTGATAATTAAGATCGTGGTGACAAAGGCATATCATAGCCTTCCTTACACCGTCTCTAACTGCATCTTCATAATGTAGTCGGCCATAGCCCCCGCCCAAACCAAGAAGCCAAACCAAACGTTGTTGAGGAGACTAGCATTGCAACTCTCCTTATCGTCGAAGTCAATCGAGGCGAGGAGTCGGACAAGGTGAAGGGCCCCAAGGGCCACGCCGATGAAAAATGGGAAGCCATGTCCGTTGAGGATCCCGGCGTACGCCACCAAAGAACAAGCGACGAGGGAAAATACCACAAGAACAGGTCGGAGCCGGTCTCCAAAAACGATTGTGGTCGAGTGGAGGCCGTTTTGTATGTCTTCATCCCTGTCCTAGTTATTTTTGGTTCAGCCGGCGGGAGCGAAATGAAAGACGATTTATTTACTTGACGGGCGTAAGCAGTGTCGTACTCGATTGTCCAGCATGCACCGCCGATGTATAGAGGGACGTATACATGCCAGTCAACTGCTCCAGCAACAGCAGATGCTCCCAAGAGTGCTCCCCAATTGAAGCACAGGGCTATTTGGTAGCATGAAGAACCGCAATCAAGGATGTTGATAGCAACTTACCAAGGACAGCTTGTGGCCAGTCAGTCACCCGCTTCATAGCAGGATACAACACGACCCCGCCCAGGGAAGAGAGTCCAAGAACTGTGCTGAAGAGGTGTGAGAAACAATACAGACACAGAGCTAATGAAGGATGTGAGATGACAGACCTATAGTTATTCAACTGCATGAACAGCCAGATGCCAAGGGCCAACTGTGGAATAAGGAAGATGAACGCCTGGAACCTCGTGAGATCACCTGCGGCCAAGGGTCGCGTGCGCGTTCGTGCTTCAAGTGAGGGGCTACGGCGTTACAAGCAGTCGCCGATTTACTGAACAAAACTCACAAGTAGCAGCGTCGATGTCTTTGTCCCACATGTCGTTGATCACACATCCAGCGGAACGGAACACTGAGGATGCTACAAGAAAAAATCCGACATAAGCCCACGCCGTCGCGATCGGCACCCTGAGCGCGTAGCAGGCCATGGTGACCGACCATGCTAGGTTATTCAAGTCAATCTCCAAAAGACCTTCGTCGCAAAAATGTATAATAATCACCGCATGGATAGAATAGTAAAAGTGTTCCAGCGGGCTTGTGAGCTCGTATAAGGTAAAAGTAAGGACGTATGTTGGAAGGAACATAGTCCAGCCAAGTTTTAGCCAGAACTGGATAATTCTGAAGGTGCTGCTTGATTTTTACTGATGTGTCCTCCATAGAGAGAGAGCGCGCAGATTGGAACGCAGATGAAACGGCAGGTTTTATACACGGGCAATGATATTTCCGCGTGCGGCACGACTAATGACATTCGATCACCACAGCCTGAGGAAAGCTAGAAGGGTATGATTAGAACTTACCAGCGGCATCCATTACTTTTGAAATTGTATACACACTGCAGTGCCCAAAGCATATCACGACACGATTCACATGGATACATGCGCTAACTAATAGTACGTTAGGCAATCATGATGAGTAGACCTCGTCCACACACCTTGCATCGATGATTCTTGACCCGCGGTCCCCCGAGCTGTGATCCACATCACTGGCTAAGCAGAAGAATGCTGGCAGGCACGACGTACATAGTCCATGGAATGAATGAGTTGGTGCTAATATCTTTCTGATGTGACCATCTGATCGGCGGCAGTATATCGAGTCCCTCTGCGGTTGACCAAGCCTCGGAAACAGCCGTGGGGCATACGGAAAACATTCGCGGAATGCATGTGCTGCTCGGCGGCACTAAGCCCAGTCACACGAGCAATGTAACTCACAGAAAATAGTAGACGAAAACCTAGAACACAAGCAGGATGCAATAGCTTTCAACGTTCAAGCGAAACAAACGAACGCACGCACATACTTACTATATGCGTCAGTGTCACTGGCATGTCTTCATGATCAATGAGATCTAGAGCTGTCAGTGACGGTACATGTCAGTGATAATTTTTTTCGCTGTTGGCTTGCTCTAATTGGCTATGGTTATTCTTTACGTCCATCCGTGAGGCATTTCCCAGCATCAGCATTGTTCAGCAACAGCAGACTCTTGTGGACTGCCAATTATTTCGCGGCTAAATAAAATGAGTCATAAATTGGCAGGTTTAACGACGTAGTATCTCTTCATCTGTCTCTCGTAACACAGTCCCCCATGATTGCCAGTTTGCGTCAGGATGACGAGGAGACGCCTCTTTTGCAACAACGAGAGCAGCCGGTGGCTAGGACACCTTTGCCCTGGGATCAATTCTGGATCATAATGTTTTTGCAACTCTCAGATCCTTTTGCTTCTCATACTCTTGCGCCGTTCATTCCCCAAGTGAGTACATTTCTGCTTGGACTTGAAGCTACAGCTGGAACCTTGTTAAGCTCATCAGAGACATCGGAGTGACCCACGGAGACGAATCCCAGGTTGGACACTTCGTCGGCATCCTGGTGAGCATGTCTTCATCGTTTCTGCCCCTCATTCCTTCCTGATATCATCCCGAGCAATCATCGTACTGGGCAGCTCAGGCATTGACTATTTTCCATTGGAGTCAACTGTCTGATCACATCGGGCGGAGGCCTGTAATACTGATAGCTCTATTCGCAATTTCGGTTTCGATGTTCTCGTTTGGGCTGTCCAAAACCTATCTCGGTCTGGTCGTCAGGTTCGCGTATTAAACATTAAACAATTGACAGGCTGTCAATTACTGATATTCTTGACCAGTCGTGCTATCTGCGGAGCATTGAATGGGAGCAGTGGCGTCATCAAGAGCATGGTGATGGACATCACTGACGCAACCAATATGCCAAAAGCATACGGTTATATGCCACTTCCGTGGACGATTGGATTCATAGTTGGGTAGGTATTATGCAACATGTCTGCTTGCTCTGGAATTGGGATTGACAATATCCTAGACCACTCGTTGGGGGTTTTCTCTTCCGACCAGCAGACAGATTCCCTGAAATCTTTGGGCGATCAGAATTCCTGAAAACCTACCCGTACCTCTTGCCATGCTCTGTTCCAGCAATATTTTCATTAGTAGCTTGGATAGTCACGTATCTACGTCTCAAGGAGGTGAGCGTGATGTCAAAAACTTATATCTGGACTATACTAAGGGTGGTACTGAGAGTGTTGCTACCAGGGCACGACTTTGGGAGCTGATCAAAGAAGCTTTCGTTCGACAGTTGTATACAAAGCCTTCCGCGCCATCGACCAAGGCTCTGGTCGGTTCTGGGCCAGCAAACTCTGAAGACAAACCCCCAAAACCGCTTCCACTACGCGCCTTGCTAACCCCGAAAGTTTCGACTGTCACAGCGAGTTATGCCACCATGACCCTCTTTCATCTGGCATTTTCCTCGATCCTACCTGTTTTCTATGCGACGCCCATTGAACTCGGTGGTCTTTCACTTGACCCTCCCCGTATCGGTGCTATACTTGCGGCATCAGCTGTCGTCCATGGCACATTCCAGATACTTTTCTACGCTCGCTTACATGATCGCTTTGGCGCAGGAGCCATTCATGTCACGGGTGTTAGCTCAGGAATACCTATTGTCCTCTTATTCCCAGTGATCAATGGACTGGCTCGAGTCCATGGCCTAGGTTTAGCGGTGTGGTTGTGTGTTAGCGTTCAACTTGTGCTGATGACTAGCTTGGTCATGTGTTATCGTATGTCAAGCCAGCACATTCTGCGTTCTACTAACTAAGAAGATTTCATAGCTTCCTTGGCTTTGTTTATTAGAGCCGCTGCTCCCAATCGTGCCTCGCTTGGCGCAACCAATGGAATTGCCCAGATGGCTGTCGCAGGAGCAAGGATCATTGGCCCAGCTTCTGCAGCCTCAGTCTTCTCTTATTCGATGCAGGAAGGTCATGATACGTGGTTGGTGTACTACTGCTTGATGGCAATGTCATTTCTCGCTGTAGGTACTTCTCTGTTACTTCCCCGTGATCCTAGTGTATGGGAAGAAGAGCAGCAATAGTGTGACACCATGTGTCCCATCTGTTTTCTAGCGACGTCCACTCTGTCTGACAGAGCGTTTTCCGTACACTGAGAAAAACCTTACCCGACGGAAGCACGGTGAAGATGGTTTGTGTCTTTGCGCAATCTACGGCCTCGTGGGCAATAAGTAGCATATACGATTTTCTACATCTTCACTACGTTCATAATCCAATACCTTCCTAGCTACGTCTTGGCTTCTTGTCTACGTTTCAACAAGATGCGCGTCAAGAGAATGTGCGACACCTCCGTCCTTTGGTAAGTGGCTCCGGACAGGGGTTTTTCCTGTCATTTACAATAGAACACCATAATACATATGTCCAGTGCACGACTTTTGAGGCAAAAAAAATGGTTGGATCGTGGATTGAGCACGGGCAAACCCGCGGGTGCCCGACGTCAACCCCCACCCATGCCCCGCCACTGAGGGTACCTACTCCTGGGTCAGTGAGTGGTATTGAAAGGGCGAAAAAGAAGGAAGCTTTCTCCCGTTTTTCAAGGTCAGAGGACTTGGGGAGTCTCAGACTAGGAGCTGATTTCGGAAACGACAGCGTCACGCTGCAGCAAGGCGTATACGGCTCACCTTCTCAGCTTGTGACCACGATGGTTAGCAAATTAAACCTTTCGCATATAGCTTGAGTATCAGGCTTGATGGTGGGGGGCCCAAATTCACTGCCTTTTCTCCCTTCATTCCTGTCTGCTTACGCCGGGTGTCTTTGTAAAATGCCGAAGAAGGTAAGTAGCAAGCGCTCCTCTAGACCAGAGTTTTCTACTGCGCATCTTGCGGTGCCGTATCACGAATGGTGGTGGATACAGCTTCTCACATACATCGTGAACCATCATACACAACTCAAACTCGTGTTATGATACTGCGGGACCTGCAGGAATGGTGACGGTCAGAGTGGGCGATTTTGAGGCGATTCAGAGCGTGATTCAGAAACCGATCTTGGACGCTCAGAATCGGCTGAAGCGTTGAATCGAATTTTGGAATCTAAATACCTGTTGATTTATATACTTGTCTTGTCTGCGAGCAAGCAACCAGCTCCCTCTCCATACTCATCATGCCCCACAAGGGAAAAACACTATTAACCGGCGAGCATCAAGGGAGAAAAATATCCAAAAGTTGAATAAATCACAGTATACTGCACGCAATGTACTTTAAGATAAGCATTCACGACCGTTTTTACGATAATCGCATTGTGAATCAGATTTTCAATTGCAGGGTGTTCAGAGTTGATGGCGACTTTCACGCGATTTCGAAAAATTGAATCGTGTTAGAATCATGTCTACAGTCGCCTCCACTCTGACTGTTACTAATAGTATATCTCTAGGCTTCAAGGCTCCCCCTCAGGATAATTCTGCATCATGCGCCTGAGCTCTGTCTCTGGAATCCTCGTCTTGAACTGAATGGCGCCCGGCTGAGAATCTCCCCTCATGAACCCCATATCATCCAGCGGCTTCGTAGGATTCAGATTCAGCTGGAAGGCCCAAAGAATAAGGACCGCGTTTATGAACACCGATCTGTAACAGTGGAAATGAACTCCGACGATCAAGTGTTTAATGTGCTTAGCCTTTACCTGGTCGCAACGTCTTGACCGGGGCATACTCTTGAAACAAAGACAGTGAAAAACAAAATCCTAAAAGACGAAGGCTTACCGCCGGCCAAATCCGAAGACGAAAAATTTGAGATCGTCCCTAACGCGACCTTGGTCGTTGATCCAGCGCTCAGGCTTGAATGCATCAGGCTCAGGGAAGACGTCTGGGTCTCGAGAGATGGACCTGACATAATAACCATTAGTCCTTCGTATCTTGAAGGACGGCGCTTACCAATGATTGCCGACCACTGTAGTCTTAGCTGGAATGCAATAGTTGCCCTAATGCCCGGTCATCATTCGCACAATAAGTAGTTCGAAAAATACTTGCCCAAATCACCTCCTTGGTCGTTCGGTGAGCCACTCCTGCCATGTAAACGTTGCAAACTTTAGGTAAAAAGCGACAATGAAGGTACCCACCAGCGGGAAGCAGCGGTCTCCATCTCAAAGCCTCAGAGATGAAGGCCTGTAGTCGGGGAAGGGACTGTTCGTCAGCAAAGTTCGGCGCTGTTGTAAAGACATCATTGAATCGATACACCTGGAACAGGTATCAAGCTACCTCGGTGGCTTCCTACGACGGCATCAATCTCGGCCTGGATTTTAGCTTGCTCCTCGGGAAAACATGCGGCTGCCATGAGCACCGTGCATATTGCCAAAGTAGTCTGACGCCTGGCTTCAATTACATATTTTCAGAAATAACAGCGCAAGACACCTCACCGTATCAGTTCCAGCTGCAAAAAGGCCGCCAGCAATAAAAGCCATCTCTACTTCTGTTAAGCCGTGGAGTTCAACAGTTTCTAGCATATGCTTGACAAACGAAGGACCAATGTCCACATTGCTCTGCTGCAGAAAAATTCAGACATCAAGTGAAGATGGGCCAGGTCATGCGTACCATTTGCTGTTTCACGCGGTTCAGCTGACCGGCGTAGAGCTGACCACTCTCCTTAAACACCCGTTTCAACTCTTGGCCATACCAAGGAAGGTATTTCAGCCACGGGATCGAATCCGCCAGGTAAGCACCGGGGCGTAAGGCCCCACGAAATATTCGCAAGTGCTCGCGAAGTTGTTTGACTTCGGGACCAGCCGCAGACGTGGGAGTAGTCTTCCCATACGCAATTTTCGTAATGACCGTTGCAGCGTAACTTCAAAATACCTGTAAGTGATGTCCTGTGCTAACCTGAATTTAGGACAGCGCTCACGTTGATATGTGGTTCTGGAAGTTGGATGGATCCTCAAGAATGTTGAGGATGGTGTTCTTTGCGTGTGATATCTGGAGGGACTGATATTCGGAAGCTGCTTTAGGTTGGAGATGCGCATGAAGTGCTCTGCATCACATTGTAGAGTAAGTTTGGGGGTATTCGTGCAGTATCGCGGGCAAAAAACGAACCTACGCATACGACGCAACCTCATCCCAGCGGGTGTAAGAAGGTTAGATAGCCCACCACTGAGCATTTCTCCAGCAGCAACGAAGCGAGGACGATCAGCTACCGAACCGCCCTGCTTCTCCATGATATCTACCGCAGCCTGCGGCACCATTTTGAGCCTATATATGACTCGATTTGGAGGGACTGACGTTATGACGGCCAATAACGACGATTTTCTCAGTTCCAGAGCGAATGGTGATCAGAGGACCGTGCTCGTCGATCCATGCTGTTACAGTGAGAAATGGACTTAGCAGCGGCGGACACAATTAACATTGAAAACAATGAGTGAGATATGGAACTTTACTTGAGAGGGGGTATGAAGTGCCCCCGAAGTCTCCACGTAGGAGGGGAAGGTGGAAGAGGAAGACCACTTCCTGAATTAGAAAAGTAGCAAGCCTGAGTGATCACTCCTGCTACCCCAAGACAAGCTGCAGCACCGAGGATGAGCTGAGTGTTGTCAAAAATGCGCAGGTCAGGTAACTGTATCATGATCGATATGGGAGAACTGTTAGCGGAGTGGAGGTATCGATCAGAGAACTGTATGAGATTATGGCAACCTTTTTCGTTACGGGATATATTAGGTGACTTCCTGTAAGGTTTTGGACTGATCCTCATACCTTAGCCGAATAGCTGCGCTGGATTTGCCAACGCCCGTCAAACCGGTTGCTCTCGCACTCGCTCGTCTGTAAACCTGCCAATCTGTGGAGGGGTAGCTACCCCTACATAGATTTCTGTAAATGCACTAAATGTCTGATTCGGGTAAATATTTTACACTTTTTAGCGCTCACGGAATTGTCGACCGGATCAATTGGTGTCCATCATGATCTTCGAGTTCTTGCGGTTTACAGATTCTGTCCGTAAATTAGCCGATGTCGAGTCACAGACAAGCTTGTTCTTGTAAATTCTTACCGCAAGTCACCCATTACCACTTAGCTTAAAGTATCAAACGACGTACTAAATGTACCGCCATCAACGTAAAGCACCCTGAGTATCGCTGGCCAATATCAATCTAGCCTAATCATCGTACAACTCAAACAAACTCAAATTTGAAAGTTTGAAACCTGGATCTTCGAAATTTTAGATTTTAGTAGCGGTTGTCCGCCGAAGGGGCCGAAAGAGTGGACCGTAGTAAGGCAAACGGTAGTGCCAGGTAGTGCGGTATATTCGGTTGCGGCTATCGGCGTTTATCGTTTATCTCGCATGTTATTATGATCGATCACTTCCACATACCAGCAAGAGTAAGTAGTCTTGAACCGATTTTTTGGAAAGACGTTTAAAGACACTCCAGCATAAAGTTTGTTGCCTAGCACTGATCGATCGCATGTACAATGTGTCATGGGAATCTAGTAGGAAATGTACGGGCTCTCACGCGCACGGCCATGTCAGAGCCACTCTGCATCTACTAGAACTTACATAAGCACAAACAGCAAAGTGTCAGAGATAAATTTGTTGCTTAGATTCATGTCTTAGGAATCTTTTTTTTTCATCTCTCTCAAATTTCCTCAAATTTGCAGATATACTTTACACGGTATTGGGCCGAAATTAGAGCCCAAGAACGTGTTAATTGTTACCCTCCCTAGCGTATAGCTATAGCAGCGGTTCCATTGGATAGAATAGACAGCAGTCACACCAAAAGCGGTGAGGTGATATCATGCCCTCCCGGGGACCCGTGTGGATAGAGAAAACCCGTACCCAAATTTGGTTCTAGGGATATGTTACTTCTCTGTCTCCAATACTTATTCTTGGGCACCCGGCAGAGTGCTGGTCTGCCTAGCCAACATCCCCATAGATACTCGCAGCTAAGGAACAGCGCTACAGAGTGTCGCACACTCTGCTGATGCGCCGAGAGGCTCGCAATATAGTTGAATCAGTTGATCCAATATTAAGACATTACTTCCAAACTCATTGAATTGAACATACAGCTGTACAGTACACACGCAAGTGATAATGGTTTGCGTGTTCACGCATACATATCGTAAGCTGGACACGAATCGGCGACACCCACATACTTGATCTAACTCGGCAGACTAACATAATAACCGAAAGCAGGTCCGCGTAGTGAACTATCATACACAACTCAAACTCGTGTAATGATACTGCGAGACCTACAGAAATAGTAGATCCGCTTCAAGGCTCCCCCTCAGGATAATGCTGCATCATGCGCCTGATCTCTGTCTCTGGAATCCTCGTCTTAAATTGAATAGTGCCAGGCTGGGCATCTCGGGCCCTCATGAACGCCATATCATCCAGTGGCTTCATAGGATTCAGATTCACCTTGAAGGCCCATAGATTAAGGAGCGAGGTTATGAAAACCGATCTGTAGCAGTAGAAATGAACATTAATGAACATATGCTTGGTAAAGAAACCTTTACCTGGTCGCAACGTGTTGACCGGGGCATACCCTGAAATACGGATAATCAAAGAATTAATATCCTGAAAGACGGTTGCTTACCGCCGACCAAATCCGAAGACGAAAAATTTGAGATCGTCCCTAATGTGACCTTGGTCATTGATCCAGCGCTCAGGCTTGAACACATCAGGCTCAGGGAAGACGTCTGGGTCTCGAGAGATCGACCTGACAAAATAACCATCAATCCATCATATCTTAAACGATGACGCTTACCAATGATGGCCAATCACCGTAGTTCCAGCTGGAATACAATAGTTTCCCTGATGCTCGATCATCATTCGCACCATAAGTAGTTCGGGGAAAGTACTTGCCCAAATCACCTCCTTAGTCGTTCGGTGAGGCAATCCTACCATGTCAACGTTGCAAACTTCAGGTACAAAAGCGACAATGAGGATACCCACCGTTGGCAACCAACGGTCTCCATCTCAAAGCCTCAGAGATGAAGGCTTGCAGTCGAGGAAGGGACTGCTCGTCAGCGAAGGTCGGTGCTGTGGGGGGACATCCTTAAATCGATACGCCTAAAATAGGGATCGAGCTACCTCGGTGGCTTCCTACGACGGCATCAAGCTCGGCCTGTACTTTAGCTTGCTCCTCGGGAAAACATGCGGCTGCCATGAGTACCGTGCATATTGCCAAAGTAGTCTGACGCCTGGCTTCAATTACATATTTTCAGAAACATCAGCGCAAGACACCTCACCGTATCAGTTCCAGCTGCAAAGAAGCCGCCAGCAAGAAAAGCCATCTCCACCTCTGTCATACCATGGGCTTCGGCACTTTCTAGCACATATTTGACGAATGAAGGACCGACGTCCGCATTGCTCTGCTGTGGAACAATTTAGACGCATGTGAATATTGATGAGGCAATGCATACCATTTGCTGTTTCACGCGGTTCAGCTGATAGATGTACAGCTGTCGGTTCCCCTCAAACCCCTGTCTCAATTCTCGGCCATACCAAGGAAGGTATTTCAGCCACGGCATCATGTCAACCAAATAAGTACCAGGGAGTACAGCTTCACGAAATACGCGCAAGTGCTTGCGAAGTTGTATGACTTCGGGATCAGTCGCAGACGTGGGCGTAGTCTTCCCGTACGCAACTTTCATAGTGATCGCTGCAGCAAAACTTCGAAATAGCTGTAAGTGATGTACTGTATCAACTCGGAACCTAGGACAGCGCTTACGTTGACGCGTGGTTCTGGAAGTTGTATGGATCCTCGAGAATGTCGAGGATAGTGTTCCTTGCGTGTAACATCAGGATAGGCTGATATTCCTCGGCTGCCTTAGGCTGGAGATGCGCATGAAGTACTCTGCATCACATAGTAAAGTAAGATTGGGACCATTTGTGCACTCTCGCAGGTAAAAAAACGAACCTGCGCATCCGACGCAACCTGTCCCCAGCGGGTGTGAGGAGGGTAGATAGCCCGCCGCTGAGTATTTCTCCAGCAGCCACGAAGCGAGGACGATCAGCTACCGAACCGCCCTGTTTCTCCATGATATCCACCGCGGCCTGCAACAAGATTTTGAGCCTGTATACGACTCAATTTGGAGGGACTAACGTTGTAACGGCCGACAATAACAACTTTCCTAGTTACAGAGCGAATGGTTATCACAGGACCATGCTCGTCCATCCATTCCCCGACAGTGAGAAATGGACTTAGGGACGCCGGGACACAATCAACATTGAAAGCAACGAGCGAAATGTGGAACTTTACTTGCGACGGGATAGTGAGTGCCCCAGAAGTCCCTGGGTAGGAGGGGAAGGTGGAAAAGGAAGACCACTGTCTGATTTAGAAAGGTAAGCCCGAGCAACTACTCCTACTACCCCAAGACAAGCCGCAGCACCGAGGACGAGCTGGGTGTTATCAGAAACGCGTAGGTCAGGTAGCTGTAGCATGATTGACACGGGTGGACTGATTTCATCAATCAGGGGAAAATTCTGAGTAGGATTTAAGTATCGTAACCTATAATAGGCCAATCACACAACGGGACTCCATCAACACATATGGGGGCGTTAAATCCTGTCTGTGATTCATATGTCCGACCCGAAACGCTCGTCCGGAGATGTGGTAAGTGTAATTTTGGTACGTATGATGGAAGATCTCGAACCTGAGGCCTGATGGGTCTTCGAAATTTTATATTCTACATAGTAGTAGCTGTCAGCTGAAGGGACCGAAAGAGTGGATCATGCGATTGGTGGAGACACATAACCAAAAATGTGTGCTTACGAACGCAAACCTGAACTAAACCAGCTTAAAAGCGCTTTGAGAGGAACTTCGACTTTTTAGATGCCGCGCTCATCCGCGAAATAAAATGTAATTGAGGGGGCTACTATCCCCATTCTCAGTACACCTAGAGGTTAATAAGGTGTTGCATCATGGCGGCGGTCGCACCGAACTTTGAGGTGCGGTGGTGGGAAGCGGTATCGAGAACGACTCGGATGAACGATTTAAATTTTTCATCGTTCCCACTATCGGGCTAGTTGTGCGAATTAAAAACACAACCGCATGAGAGCCAATCTGAAAGTGGCAACTGATATATGACTGCGACGAAAACGGACCACGAGCTCACCTGGCAGTCAGCCATTAAGACAGTCTGCTCGTTCGAGATGTTTGCGGGTACTAGCACGTGGCAGGCGGGTGTGGTCACAGGTCATGCATGCGTCACTGTCACGTGTCACGGGTTACATGTGACGAACTTAAAGTTAGTGTTGAATCAATCATGCCGACGGGGCAGTAGTAGTGCCTGGTAGAAGTGCACATTCGGTTGCGATGTTTATCTGGCAATATGATCACCTCGCACCAAAGTTTCGGGTAGTTCAAACGAAGCTCCAGCAAGACAATGTTACGCCACTGGCATGGTGCAGATCAGCCACGTATGCTATAGCAGTGAGTGATATCGGCGCATCAGCCCAAGCCTCAGGGTCTTGGATCTGTGTTACAAATGTATTGCTGATCGGTGGAACTTCACGCGCAGTATTCTGCATCTGATTTCCTCGGGCTCTCGTCCGAGGAAATCCTAATCCTCACAGCCTGCGCTGTCGCGAGGCTAAGTGAGACCAATTTCTAAGAGTAAGGAAAGTCGACAAAATTCAAAAGTAAATTGATAATTTCAAGATCACTCCGGCAGTTCTCACATTGACAATGCGCTCTCAGTCCCTCGTGGCAGCTCTGAGCCTAGTAGGGTCAGCAACTCTAGCATTTCATCACCAATTTCCGGTCAATACTGCTGGAGAAACTGGCGTTCGACCCTTGAATATCGTCAACTTGAACGCGGACAATGCATCTCTAAATAATTTCAGCTCAAACGCTGAGCAATGGAGATTCGACGAAGGTCCTCCCGAGAACGCGACGGGAAACTTGATCTTTGACACTGTCAATTCATTCCTGCAGCACTGGCCAAATACACGATACCGTAACGGTACATTTCCACCGCTCGCTGACGCTGGAACAATGTTTGACCTTTTCACAGGACATAACATAGTACCAGGAGTGATTCCAATCGGTACTCTGCTTTATCACGGCACCAGCCGCAATAAAATACCTAGTGAGCCCGAATGGATTGCTACAGACCCAGAGCATTCGATTTTTTTCGCTCGTGGAAGAGATGGGCGTGCTTGGCACCTGACGCTGGCAGCAACGCGATCTCTTAAAATATTGTACTTTGACGGAAGCAGTGCTGCCAAGGTAATGGACGGTACGATGGACATCCAGTTTATTGTAGCCTGGGGAGAGTCGATACCGGAGCGAGCCGGCGACGAAGAAGTGATTAAAGCTCTTTGTACGTGGGGAAAGGAGTTTGGAATTGACGGTTTCGCGAGGTTAGCTGTGAGTGTACTCCCCATGGCATATCACTAATTCTGAGATCAATAGGATGGAAATGGACTTGTGCGCGTACTTTTGATTCTGCGTCACCCTTCCGACTGACGACCTTGTAGTGAAGTTATGTTGTGTGATTTTACGGCTGGTGTCGAGGTAGTATCTTTCTTGCATGTCGTCGTACCAAAGGGCGAAATGAGCTACCCTCAGCCTCCTCCATTTGATTCTGACATCTGTCAGTGTTTTCTTCCTGTTTGCCAATATGATTAACTTAGAATCCTCATGAGCGCAGGGATGCGCAGATTTGAAGGCATGCATGCTGGCTCATGGCACAATCGCTACCCAGGAGATTCGCGCATCGTACTCGACCTAACTGGTCTCATCTCATTGTATGATACAGCGCTGGCACCTTCCCTCGTCCCGGTTCGCGCGGGTCTTGAACGGTGCGACCACCGCGTTCTCGGAATATCATCAAATGATATATCGCGGTTGATGAGAAAGCTCACAGAAGTTGTCAGTCGACCAGACCCTGTGGGCAGCGGTATCGACTGGAAGACTCTTATCCACGTCATCGTCGATCGATACGCGGATCGACTCGAGTTGATGCAGCATATTCTCAATTTCACCTCATCAGACTCGCAAGAACTCCTTCAACGAGCGAAGCTGGCGCAGGCCCAGCTCCGTATTATGCTTACGCCCTACTTATTACATTCCACCGTCGTTCCGAGCCCAGACGCTTCAGGCATAGATGCACCGCAGTGGGCGTGGGCATCCCAAATATTCAGGCATTGTGCTACAACACACACGTCGGGGATGACAAACCAAATACCCTTTATGACATCTTCGGAACACTTGCTGCTGACAGCCGTCGAGGATACAACGAGAGAAATCTGCCGTGTCACAACGAAAATGTGGGCCGACGGTGTGATGAGCGGGCTCGACACCCTCTTTGAGGTGGAACGTAATGGGGAGCCCGAAGTCACTCGATTGATGAGTGAATGGAGAGAAGAAATCTATAAGCTGATGTCTTGGTTAGACTGGAGTGTATGGATCAAATGCCGACCTGCCTGCGGCCCAGAGGTAGGATCTAAAGAACTTCTTTCCGAGCTGACCAGACTGAGTAAGATCTACTTCCAGGAAATATGCTTCCTCCCTACTTGGCCCGTCAGTGCCCCCTTGCCAGAGGATCCGCCTCCGCGGTACTCACGGAACACCACGGATGCTCCAGAAGCAAAGTATCTCGCTGATCAAGTCAGACCTCCGCCCGAGGGCCAAGCCATCGCCAATGCGATTTTATTCCTTTCTACACCGGCAGAGGATTGGAGGAAGCCTCAACCAAAGTGCATTAGGCGCCTCCAGCCATACAGATTTTAATCACGCTAGGCGTTCACATTGTTCTTGAAGTTGTGAGCCATTGAATGCATGCTTTCTAATAGTCCTGGGCTTGATAAGGTGCACAAAGTGTGTCGCTGCTGGAGTTTAGATCTAGACTAGTAGTCTATGTAATAGAATACCTAGTAATGAGAGTATACAATTCATTCGTATAGTGAAGAAAGTCAAGCATGCCTGTACCGCACGGCGCATGTATTCCAAACGGCCTGCAGAAAATGGTTGAGTTGGAAGGAAAACGGCAGACTCGATGTAATTGTAAGTGTACTGCCCGGTGGGGTATGGAATAGAATGGGAGATCGAAATAGAAAATGAAACGGGAGTAGCCCGTCCTTCCTGAGCTCTTTCTAGCCTGATATTAATTGCAGGGCAATGACTTCTGGCGCAATGACACAAACGGCGCGCCTCGTCCCTCTGCTCCGCTCGCGGGCGGACCATCATCTCCCCTTCGTTGGCAGTTGTTCAGTTCCTTGCACTTCAGCACCCGACCTGTAATTTCACATACGCACCAAATAAATTTGCAAAGGTACGGTACCCACCGCCCCTCCCACCGAGGCAGAAGTGGCTACAGCTGTGCAGCGAACAAGCGGCAACAGGGCTGACAGTTCAATGCATTCAGGTCAAGCTGCAGTGGGGACACAAGCCCAAGGACCGCAAGCACAAACACAAGACTCCGCTGGTGGGGCCGGAGAAATTTCCTATGAAATGAGCTGCTGCGGATTTTTCTTTGGTCGTACGTCCGACACTTCGCATTAGTTATGAGGTCAATGGCTGAATCAATTATTGTCTCTCGTGTGCTTTTTTTATCTTGCGCTTGGCCATGCACCTTGAGCCATCCTGTACGTGCATGGAACCTTGTCCGGGAGAACGACAAGGAACACTGAACGGATCGGGCGAAGGTAACAGGACGAAGCTGTGGATTCTTTGAGCGTTGTACTAATGAGTATGTGATGGTAGGTAGGAGACCCGAGTCTGCCCTTCGTAGTACAAGGATCGAGGAATATAAGGGGATGAATCACGTGAAGTGCGATAATGTAAGCGTATGGTAAGCAATCGGCTTACACCCTTCCTTTCTCTGAAACATTTCATGCGGTCTGAAATCTAATCTTCTTCAGTCATGCGAATGCGCGTGAAGCGGCTTTTGTTCTTCAGTCCATTGGCGCTTGTTGCGGCTTGTTTTCATCAGACGGTGTTTGAGATGTTGTATGTTGTGAGTCTTCTTCGATGGACGTCGTGTTTGCAGGAGATAAGTCGTGGGACCGGTGATATTCTTTCAGCACGTTGGTGTTTTCCAGCTCTCTGCCCGGCACCCAGACGTCGGCTTCGGGACCGTAACCGCGCCATCGTACGAGATATTGGCGTCCTCGTCCGCGCGTTCTGCGGTCTAAGAGCTTCTCTATTTCCCACTCCTCTGTTCCGTTCTGCGTGACAACTGGTCCAGGACGTTGGAGTTCTCGCGAAGGATAGAGTTCAGCTTTGTTGGGTACATGGCGCTTGAGTTCGGAGACATGGAATGTGGGATAAACGTTAGTGTGTTCTGGTAAGTCTAAAGTATATGTGGACGACTCAGGGTTTGCAGACACTATGCTGTAGGGTCCATCGAAACGTGGCATGAACTTGCCTACACGTTTGTTGTCACCATTTAGATATTCGCGTCGCCTGTGAGCGGTCGAAAGATACACGAGATCGTTGACTTTGAAGTTAGGTTCGTCCCCGCGATGTGCGTTTGCGGCATTTGCTTGTGCAACTCGAGACGCGAGCAGTGCGTCGTGTGCATCTGCGACATCGGTTTTCAAGGATACGATGATCTCGAGCGCATTTGTGATGTCGTTTGGGAAGTCTTCGCGCACGAGGTCGATGTTTTGTGGTGTTAGTGGGGGTAGAAGTCGTGGAATTCGGCCCATGTGTAGGTGGAAAGGCGCGTAACCCATTGATGCATTTTTTGTCGACATGATGTTGAATCTGACGCGAGGCAGGGCATTTACCCATCCGGTTTGATGGCGGTCGACGAAATATCTGAGTGCCTGATCCACGGTCTTGTTTGTGCGCTCGCTCGATCCGTCCGTCTGTGGGTGATAGGCTGTGGACATCTTTAGTTTTACACCGGTTAGTCTGTGCAATGCCTTCCAAAATTTGCTGGTGAAAACTTTATCACGGTCTGACACGATACTTAAAGGTAGTCCGTTTTCGCAGTACCACCGGTCGAAGAATAGATTCGCCACCTCCTTCGCGTTCATGTTCATTCGACACGGTACTAAGCGGATATCGGCGCCAAGTCTGTCCGTGATTGTCATGATCCCATCGAAACCTTGTTCTGATGGTAGTGGGCCTATGAAGTCGATAGCGACCGAGTCGCCTCGGTGATCTGGGATTGGTAGGGGATGAAGTGGACCGGCGGTTTTTGTGGTTCGACTCTTGTTTCTTGCGCAGTCGGTGCACGCAGGTATGTAGCTTTCTTCAAGATCTCGTCGCATATTGGGCCAATAATACGAATCCCGTATGTTGGCGTAGGATTTATCGGCCCCGAAATGCCCTAGTTCGTCGTGCGCAAGTCGAAAGATGGTTTCGCGTAGATGGGTGACACGTGGCACGATGAGACGGTCATTGAGGTATAGTAGACCATCTTGTTGTCGTAAACCTGGAAGTGAGTCTACTAATTTCGTTAGCTTTACGCACCATGGATCCGTTTGGTATCCAGACTTGATGTCGTCGATGAGTGAGGAGTCTGTGGTGATTGACAGCACGAGAGCGATAGGCGCTATGTTCTTTTGGGGATGTGCGGGCATGTTTATTGTTTGTCTCACGTAGGTCGGTACTACGTCTTCGTCAGGTGGCAGTCTCGAAAGGGCGTCCGCTACGGAGTTATCTTCACCTCGGATATATTGAATATCGAAGTCGTATTGACCGAAAAACTCCTGCCAGCGAGCTTGTCGACGCGACAACTCCTTTTGGGTGAGGAAGTTTTCGAGTGTTCTGTGGTCGGTGTACACCGTGAATGGTGTCCCGAGCAGCTCGATTCGCCATTTTTTAAGTGCGCGTACGATAGCCAACAACTCCTTCTCATGGACCGGGTAGTTAAGCTGAGCCTCTCGTAGTTGCATGGAATCGAATGCGACGGGGCGTGCCGTTTGTGGCGTGGGCCCGATGCTCAGCATTGCGCCCACACGCCAGTCGCTGGCATCGCAGGTAACGAATATCTTGTTCGTTCCGAGATTATCGTGATCTATAGTGGTCAGACAGTCTCTACTGACGACTAGTTGCTTGACTGCGTCGAACGCCATTTGGTGTTCGTCGTTCCAACCGGGCCATTCAGTGTTCCGCAATTTTCGTTGTCAGCGGCGTTAAGAGGCGAGTGTGATCCGCAAGACTGGGTAAGAATTGATCCAGATATCGTACGAGTCCCAGGAACGACCTTACGTCGCCGGTAGACTTAGGTATGGGCCAGTCCAGGATTCGTTTTGCTTTAGATGCGTCGGCCTCGATCCCAGCGGCTGAAATACGGTGGCCGAGGAAATCGATTTCTGTACAAAACAATGAAGTCTTCTTCGGTGAGCAAAAAAGGCAGGCACTGCGCAGTGCATCCAAGACCAATTTGACGTTTTTCGCATGTTCGGCGACAGTTTGCGACCAGATGATTATGTCATCCAGATATGCATGGCATATTTTTCCGATCAGACCACGTAAGGCGATGAACATCCGACGTTGATGCGTGGCGGGAGCGTTTCTGCCACCTTGTGGCATGACAGTCCACTCGTGCAAGCCTTTAGGTGTGTCGATCGCCGTATATTTGATGTCGTCGGGGTGAATTCGAGTCTGAAAGAAAGAGTTTGTCATGTCAATCTTTCCGAATATCTTACCTTTTGCGCAGTCACGCAAAATCTCGTCTATTCGTGGTAAGGGATGATTGTCCGGTACGGTATTTGCATTTAACGCGCGGTAGTCGTTTACCCATCGTGGTAAGGCAGTGGGGTCCTTTTTAGGGATCAGAAACGCGGGAGATACAAACGAGCTAGAGGATGGACGTAATCGACCAGTGGCGATGTGCTGATTGAGGAGCGTGTCCCACGCTTCTCGATATTTCCGAGGCGTGTTGTAACGTCGACACTGTATAATTGTGTTAGGATCTTTCAAGGTAATGCGATGAACAATATCTGTGGGTAATTGGTCAATGTGCGGGATGTCTTCGGGGAAGCGATCCTCGTATTTCCGACGCATCTCCTTATCGAGACGTTCGAGGTGTTCTTTATTGGCCTCGATGAAGGCGAGCGTGTCGATACGTTTACGTAGAAGTCCAACAATATTTGGTGATTCGCATATGGTGTCCGTGTCGACACGTTTGTTGATAAGAACAGATTTGAGCTCTTTAACGACATCTTTGCGGAGACGACGTATGTCATTGTATGTCGGGATTTGTACCGTCACTCGTGGTTTGTATTCTGGAGGGTTCAAAAGATCGTAGTTCGAGTCCTTGGCAATACAGGTGCGATGATCGTGATCTATAACGAGACAATTGTGTGATAAGAAGGGACCTCCGAGGAGGAGAGGAACAGCGAGATTCGGTGTGACAATCGCCCGTATCGTGCGTGAAGTCCAATCATTATTAACTGACGAGGGAGACAAAAGAACATATTCGGAGAATGAAAAAGGGGAAGAAGAATTGTCCATGAATGCAGAATTTGCTTCTATCTTTCTATGCAGTCTACGTCTTCGCAAGCCGAGTCGTTCGACGACATTGCTGTCAATCAGAACTAAATGTGACCCGTGGTCAATCAAAGCCTCAATACGTTCAGGAGAATCGGAGGAAGGGCCCGTCAAGTGACAGGGCCACATAAGGTGGGCGGTTTCGAAAGGGGCTACGCACATATTATCCTCGGAATCAGATCCATCGTCGAGAACAGATGACGACATCACGGCTGCGACTGGTCTGATAGCGGCTATAGCTTTAGTCTTGGGTTTTGCTGCGTTGGCGTCCGACTCCGTTAGCGTCTTATAGGAAGATGCTTCAGGCGCGCCGTCGGGGCAATCCTTTGACTGATGCGAGACGTAGAATCTACGGCACTTAAAACATCCTCTATGTTTCATTAATAAGGTGCGTTCGATCTCTGTTAGCGGTCCTAGACGAGGTGACGAAGCGTTGTATGATTTCGAGGATGAGGATGTGGTTTTAACGGTGGAAGTCGTGTTACGTTTAGACGATCTGTGTATCTCCTCAGCAATCTTCTTGTGAGAAGCTAAGTCCTCGAGACGTTCGTCGTCGAGGTGCTTAACCTCCTCAATCCAATTCTTCAGAGTGAGATCGTCAGCGAGTTTAGCTCTGAGTACCGGAACGGTGAGTTCATCGCAGAGATTAGCCTCGAGTTGGCTTCGTAACTGGTCGTCGGAGAGGTGCGTTGGGTTTCCGTAAAGTAGCGCGTTTAGGCTTTGGATGTCTAAGGCCCATTCGTAGAACGAACGGCTGCCTTGTTGAGAGCCTAAGACCTTCTTGCGTAGCTTCGTGGCCCAGTGACTTTCGAGCCAAGCACTCCTGAGAGCGATCATGTAGTCTGCGAACGTTCCTGTGTCGAGTACCGCTCGTTGGGTCAAATACCAGGTTCGTAACCGTGGATCTGTCATCCCAGACGCTATCATTTTGACCTGATCAGCGGCATCGATTGACTTATGTAGGAAGTACGTTTCGCAGGCGTTTTCCCAATCGCAGGCGACTTGTGGTGTGATTTCGCCTGTTGTGAGTCTGGGTGGTTTGTTGGGAGCGGATTGCTCAACGATAGCGGACTTAGTCATTTTGCGGGAGCGTGAGGGGGGTATATGCGTCGAATTTGTTTCTGAATCCGACGAGGAATCAGAATATATTTTGTGTGAGACGGCACGTGTATTAGACGTGGTGTCTGAAGGTATTGGTGTCAGGGGAGATAAGGATGGTTCAGGGGAGGGGTGTTGTCTATGGTTCCTTGCACGCTGTCGCGTGGTCAGGGACGTCGAGACGGTAGGTTTTCTTCTTTCGGAAGGCAGTTTGACGGGTCAGGGAACGGGCGGGTAGCCCGGCGGGTTGAGAAATAGTCATTTAGATAATCCAAACAAGTTTCGTTTCTGTTAAAAAAAAAGTGGAACCTTGTCCGGGAGAACGACAAGGAACACTGAACGGATCGGGCGAAGGTAACAGGACGAAGCTGTGGATTCTTTGAGCGTTGTACTAATGAGTATGTGATGGTAGGTAGGAGACCCGAGTCTGCCCTTCGTAGTACAAGGATCGAGGAATATAAGGGGATGAATCACGTGAAGTGCGATAATGTAAGCGTATGGTAAGCAATCGGCTTACAGTGCATCGTATTTTATTCATTCAAATTGAAAACATCGTCTCATTTCAAGATTATAATCACTACTCATGTCTATTGTATCCCGGCAGGCGTGTCCGGGCTTGTTTTGGTTGTGCCTAGACTACGAGAAGCAGCGCCAGAAAGCATGGATCGGGAGGAGGACCAGTAAGTAGATTCTACTGGCAGGTATAAGATATTGTATTGTAGTGGTAATTGTACGATTACGGACGTTACGTCAGCCTGTACTATAGTTTACTCTGTAAAGGCGTTTTATCGCCATGAGACTGACCCAGATACCACAGCGTCGCATCCTTGACCTCACGTATCCACTCTTGTATGGTCTCGTCGCTGAAAACGCGCTGATCATAGAACGCAAAATATTGCAACTGCTGGCGCCAAGACGCCGTAAGGTAGAGCTCCGCAGGGTGCGCATGAAGGCAAGAGCGCACGAACTCAACATGGAGTCGCGGAGTTTTGGCGTCCTCGAGAGCATCAGCAGGGGGAGACCACGCTGGATAACCGGCGCGTCTGGGATGGGGCATACTGCACAGGGGAGACAGCTCATGATCAGGAGGTAGAGGGTAGTCCAGAGATATCCCGCTATCCATCTGGAAATGTTCAGTTGGTTGAATCTGGATTATGAGAGCCACTTACGTTGCCCAGGGAGGATCCTACTTGTGTGACCATCGGATTCAAAGACTGAACGGGTCTTACACTTTCATGCCTATCCTCTGGGATAACACTATCTTTCATCTCTAGCCACTTCAAAGCAACTTCCCTCCTTAAAGCAACGCGATTGTGTCCAGCGGCACAAATATCAACGAACCACGGGTGGTCAAACATCCTCTGGGCTTGTGCCTTCACATTAGCGCACCGGAGAAGAAACCGGTCAAAAGACATGAGCGCTGGGAAATCCGGTGCCCCATCGACGAGTTCCAGTTGGCTAACATCCCCCTTGGACATCTCGCCAAGCGGCATGAACGGAAGTGTGTACCAGAAGAAGCTGATATTGAGACCATTGTCACCTAAGCCGCCCGTCTCAAACCAGTCCCTGTCTTGGTATGGGCGCAAGTTCAACATCCCGAAGATGTGCATGGGTTGGCGCTTCCTGTACTCCCAGTCTTCTTCCGAGATCTGGCCCCTGATATATCGTCGACATAGAACGCGTGCCAGGGCCACTTGGCTGAGAGCATAGTACGCGGTGTTCATGGAGATGTTATGGCGACGGCAATTGGAGAGAATGATGGATGACACTTTGCTAGAAAAAGTAGTGACGTGACTGCGTGATTTAGCGGGAGTAAGAGGTGTGGATTCCCTGAAGTTTCCGGGGAGTGTGTGACCACCCTGCCTCAACCCTTCAGCTCTGCTACGATACCACGAACTGGAATGCTGACCTTGAATCTGGATTTCCACACCGTGTACAATGCATGGCCTATGGCCCGCCTCCACCGTCGTTTGACAAGCGGAATATCCCCACGACCCAAACGGTTCTCTAAAGGCTGATACATATGCACTCTTTCGCCCAGAGGAATGTACGGTGGTTCAACCCGAGATGACAGTGTGTCTAAGAACGACCTAATCACCGTTGTCATGGACGGTGAATCCGCGACGCAGTGGGCAGCCATAAACAGGAGGTGGAAATGATCACTCCTGTCCGTTCGGCGCAAAATGTAAGCACGAGCAAGTAACTGAGATGAAAGGAGTCGCGGTCCATCCATGATGTCGTTTATGAAGCATTCAGCGTGGTGAAAGGAATTGACCTCCTTGAATGTGACATCATCAGGTCGAAGATTTGTGACCGCTTCCTCACGCAGAATAAAGCGTGGACCAGACTCATGCTCTTGCACTTCTGCCGCAATGAGGGGAAAGCGTCTTTTGACAGACTCCCAGGAACGCATGACATTCAATCGTGAATAAATGTCTTGGTCATTTGTTTGTATGGTGCGAAGGTGTATGTGCACCAAGGAATCTGCTGTGCCGTTGAAAACGCTATCCCAATAGAAGCATGATTCGGTGATTCCGAGTGGACGATAAAAGACGCGTCGACCTGTGGTAGAATCTAGTGACGTCCAATGAGAGATCATAGCAAAGCCGACAGTGTGTTCAGAGGGAAGTGCGACTCGGAGGAACACACACAATTGGCGGGTGACAACGGATTATAGCTCGTACATCTTTTCGCTTTAAGGTTAAGTCACAGATAGGGAATCCCTATTGACGATCATGATCGGGAACAACAGAAACTTTGATCCGAGCGACAGCACTTACTTAGACTAGGCAGCTGGTGACTGGATGACCGAATGAGTGGTAACCGAACGTTCATGCCCAGTAAGAACAATCAAGTCAACCGTCGTCATAGATATCGAAAAGGGTTGATAGAAATTAGCACTTCAATATAATTCAATATAAAGTTGCCAAAACATAGAGAAGCGCCCAATACGTGTGAGCCCAAGTTCTTTTTCCAGCGCCAAGGTGAACATTGGACACGTCGAGTGAAAGCCGCGAAAGAAAAATTGCCAAGTGGAAGGTCGGAGGATTATCTGCTTGACAAGGGATAGCTTATGAATAGCTAAAATGGATATAGAACTAAGACAACGTGGTGTATGATGCAAAAAAAAACCCTGCTCGTGATCCAAGAGTCGTCCATGCGAGGGACAGACGTCGAGGTACTGCAGTGCCAAGACAACGTATGTCGTTAGTATCTCTTGTCAGCAGACTCAATCAGACGGTTTTCAATCGACTCACCGACGTATACACCCTAAAGGAGTCATTCCGAAGTGTAATGTATCCAAGTTGAGTTTGAAAAGAACTTTTGTGAGGGAGAGATAGTGTTGATAAGTTCGCTGGGGTCGTGGGCGCGACGTTTGTTTCTAGTTCCACAAGTCAACAGTTGCATTTGCTAGTGCATCCAGCAAGATTATTGTCGCTATTCAGGCTGACGAGGTCTCTCCCGATCATTTACAGCACTTGAATGCCCGCGATCAAGCGTCACTTCAAGTGCTTGGAAAAATTTTAGTCCCTATCCTTGAATCCAGACCCAGACGAGCGGCAATCGTGGGATATCTAGCTGAGTGTGAAAATGAAAGCATCCGGATGTCCGAAAAAACCAAGGTATTCTGGCAGGAGAGAAAGATAGAGGTGGAGATGGCACTGAGTATTTTCAATGGACACGACGTCGATGGATATTTGGCACGCTCCAAAGAAATGTGGGAGGTCACAATTCCCGGCGTCCTCACTCGAGTGAACGAAGAGTTGATCGCGACGACGAAGATCAAGTATGTACTACAAGTCACTCTTCCCTGACCTGCCAAAGGTACCCGAATCAAATGTTCACCACCTGCTCTTCAACCGACCTGACCAAAGGGAGCGGCCAGATTATACTTTATTCATGAATGTAGCTACTGGCCAGCGGCGTTCGTTCAGGGAGTTCGTCAAGCGTGTCCGCGATGGCGCTACTTCACTGGGTGCCGATGTGGCGCAGGGTGGTCTAGGTCTTCGTCCAGAGAATGGAGAACTTGTCGGTATCCTGAGCGAGAATTGCCCGGTGCGCTGCGTTCCCACTGAGACTTTAAAGTGATATGGTAAATTCCTCAGGACTATGTTGCCCTGATGCATTCATTACTCGTTATCACAGTCCCATTTGCGCTGTTCTCATCCCACACAACGCCATATGAGTTCAAACACGCTAATTCGCTGGCGCACGCGACTAGGATTTTTACTAGTCCTTCTCTATTACCGCTCGCTTTGACTTCGGGTCTCCCAGCTGATCGAATTTACCTTCTAGAAGGGGAGAAAAACGGCAACACAAGCTCGTCTCCTCTGCTCGCAAGAATAATATTCCACGATTGCCAGTCCGTCATGCAACCAAGGACACTCTGACCTACCCGATCTATTCCAGTGGAACAAGCGGTCCTCCAAAAGGCACGTATCTCCTTTTACTGGACCAACGTCCCGAACTGCAGAGATATGGACGCACCGTCTACGCAACGTTTTCTGACTCCATTCTACAGCCATCATGATATCCCACCAAGATATCACTTGTGCCACCCTCGGGACGATGGTAAGCGGTATGTAAACGGCTAAAGTTCGAGCTGTATGTCTGTCGATCCTTCTTTCTTGGTCTTCCTGACTCCTTCACCAGCCACCAGTATGGAACACTCCTAATGGACTCGAGGTGATGTTCAATATACCTTCCGGTCTATCACTCTCTTGGCCTCTGCACGACCGCTTTCCTCAACTTCCTTAAACCATCCACGATTGTCATGCTCCCGAAGTAAGTACATACGCAGTGCATTTAGTATACGCATGCTACAGCACTAAGTACCCGCGATATAGATACCACGTCACGACCATATTGCTCGTCCCCTCACTCATACACCAGCTCGTCCACCATCCGCGCTTCAAAACTACTGATATGAGTTCGGTTAAGTCACTCGCCAGCGGCGCCGCGTACCTCCCGTCCCAGCTTGCCGACCAGCTTTGCACACGCTTCCAAGATAAAGACAGAGTCGCCGAAGGTGCGTTCTCTATACATCATGCGTGGGTTCCCGGTACTACTGTTAAGTTCCGCATGCTATGGCATGTCCGAATTCGTAAGTGACCCCCTTTCTACACTCTTTCCGACCCTCTGACCTCGTTGTTGAGATAGACGATGACCATCGCTAAGAACAAACCAGGCTCTGTTGGAATTCTCGTTCCCGGCGTGGAAGCTCGCATTGTCCGTCCCGACGGATCCCTCGCAGGTCCAAATGAGCCGGGTGAGCTCCTCGTCCGCGGAGGCACTGCGGCATTGGGATACAGGGGAAACGAAAAGGCGACACGGGAAACATTTGTCGACGGGTGATCAGTTACGGATCAATGAGGACGGGGTGCTTTTGTAAGTTGGTCTGACGAGCACAGTATATCATACTAAGCTGATCTGTCCCCGTTGTAGTTTCGAAGACCGCACCAAGGCAAGCTTGCACCTGTAAGGGTATTATGTCCTCTACGCCCGGACCAACACTTCAGATCAAGGACGCTCGAAACCGGCCACGTGACTCAATGATGCGAAGAGCGTTACTCTTCGCATCCGAGTCACGCGGATACAATCTCTTCCATTATCATACCTCATGCTCACACTACACAGTTCCCTATCTTTCCCGCTCAAATTTCGTTGTACCATGCGCTACGAATCCTTGTTGCGGCCTATTCGACTACTCGAAAACGTATATAAAGTGTTCATGTACTCTCGTATCCAGAGAGCGAATTCTATATTCAGATCCCCGCTCCAAGCACGACAGAAAAGCCTCACAGAAAGTCTCCGTCTCAAACGTTTTCCTACTGGTCTCGATTACCCTTGCACTCGATTACCTTTGCACTCGTCTCGTATCTACTTCGTTTCATTCACAATTCCCTGCCAAACTCATACCCAGCCTTACACACCACTCACATGTATCGCTCGTTTAGTGTTGTACTGACCCCGTCCTCGCAGGACACGCTCAAGATCTCAGGAATGCAAGTCTCCCCCGTCGAAATCGAGAACACGATCCCGGCGCAGCCGGACAAGCTCATCACTGACGTATCGGTCGCAGGCATTTCGGGGGGCGTACCTCCGACGAACGTATTCCGCGTGCATGGATCATGCTATCCTCGGCAGGTAAGGCGCTGGGTAAGAAAGAGGTCGTGGCACGACTTGATACGTGGGTGCAGGGGCAGCTAAGTCGCTATAAGTGGTTGAGGGCGGGCATCAAGATTGTGGAGACGGTAGGTATCTTTTTCATCTCAATTTAATTTCAATGGGGTGGTTTGATTGAGTTCTTGGGCAGATTCCGAAGTTGCCGACTGGGAAGGTGTTGAGGCGGGTATTGGTGGAGGAGTATGAAAGGGAGGTGAAGGCGAAATTGTGAAGACGCAATATCAATGCATGTATATCGTACATCCGATACCCTCGCCCGATATATTATCATATGTATAGTGCTGGCTAGAGGAGACTATTACCGTCTAGTATCATGATAATATGTACCAAAGGTAACAGCTGAATTTTTTTGAAGATAATCGAATTTGAATGACTCGTGGTGAGGAATGGCATACGAAAAATGGTATTCGGGATCTGCCTAACGCGCGCCTCTTGCTCTGATGGGCTCAAATTTCGATTTGTATACTAGCATCTATGTTTGGACTCGTCTTGAGAGGAGAGGGATAGAAGCCTGAGTGAGGGCGGGAAAGGAGGTGACGAAGGAGGGAGGAGACGAGAAGAGCACAGAAGGAGGAGGAAGGAGAGAAACTGTACCATATTATACTCAGCCTGGACACCGGACGAACTTATACGCGCACCGAAACTTCTCAAACGCGGACCGCTTGGCTATTCGTACTATACTTACACCCCTTACCCTGTTACAACATCCCCCAGTACAGCCCTAACAGGGCACCGCGTCTTAACAGTTTACCTTGTTTGTTGCGGTATATAAATATAGAAATTCTCTCTCTCTCTCGTCTTGAGAGACACTTCGGAGCGATACTTTTGGGATAGTTCAGGGACACCGAGCGCCTAGCGTCGCCTAGGTACCTCTCCACCAATAAGAGCGCACGCTTACTTATGGTTGAAGAAAGTATCAAATGTGAACGTAAACTAGGCCGTCTCTTAGATGTAGTATTATGTATTAGAAAGTGATTGCCGAACACGACTGATAATCAAAAATTGTGTTGTGTTGTGAGAGCGACTCAAGTGCGCATCAGGTGATTACTGAACATGATATCCATCTAAAAAGCCGACTTGGTCGAAGTTCTTCTCTCAAAGTGCTTTTCAGCAGTTCGCTTTTGGCTTAGTTCAGGTTTGCATTCGTAAGCACACATTTTTGGTTATGTGTCCAGCATCTCTACCAATCGCATAAGTGTGTTACTGAAGTCGTAAGCGTTCATTTCAGTGGTTTTGCAGATGCGCCTGACTCGTTGGTGTAGCGTGAGAGCGACAAATCACCGCGACGTGATCTCAAATTTTGCGTATCTCCAACTTGAAGTATCTCCGATACCATAAGGCTCTAACAAATTTGCCAGCGGCTCGCACCAGCTCAGACCTGCTCAGACGTATCACGTTTGAGCAGGTGTCTCAAACTCCCGCAGTCTGTTGCTACCGAAAAGCTGGTGGACTCTGCCACCGCACAAGTGGATATGAAGCTTGTTATAAGAATTCATCTATAAAACTTCTTGATTTCACCCCGAGTACATCATCGTCAAGAATGATGGCATCTAGTACTATCTCTCTACTACCAGTACCACCTGGTTCTCCGTTGAGCCTCTGGACAACCGTGCGTTCGATTGGCGCATTCAATGCTACTTGTTCATTTGCGGCACTGTGGGCTTTTGTCAAAGCTGTAATGGCACTTCGCTGGCGATTGAAGACGACTCGACTACGGGGTCCACCTCGTTCTAGCTTTGTATACGGCGTTTCGAACGATCTCGTCTCATCTAAAGATAGTGCTGCAATGTATGAACGTTGGGCGAAGGAATATGGGGTCGTGTATGTGATTCCGCGCGTCCTTGGGCGGACTAGAATCGTGCTGTGTGACCCAAGAGCTATAGCACATTTTTTTGCCCGAGACACATGGACTTACGTGCAAACGTCCTTTGGGTTGACGTTGGTAGAGATCTCGGTACGGTAATGTCATCTTCTGATCTCGTCTGTCTGATATCTCGTCAGATCGGCAAAGGACTACTATGGTCTTGGGGGGAAAGCCACAAAAGGTGCTGTTCAGTTTTTGTCCTCGCACCAGAGACTGAACAATCTCCTGTGAATTAGGCAGCGGAAGACCCTTACGCCAGCGTTCAGCAACGCGGCTGTTCGGAAACTCGCATCAGTGTTTTATGACTCAGCATACAAAGTAAGGATTTGCGATCTGAGAAATGCAGCATCTCCGAACTTGATACTCTCCAGGTCAAGGGTGTATGGGATACCGCTATAGACTCTAGCAACGATGGGAATACTGTCATCGATGTTCAAAAATGGTACGTAGCCTTTCTGAACGTAGCACTCTTCATGGAACTTAACGACTTCAAGGATGAATCATATCTCGTACGTGATGGATTTATTTGCTATTTGATCCTAAATAAGGCAACATCAGTCTAGATACGATTGGCATCGCTGGTTTCTCCCATGATTTTGGCTCGCTCGACGGGAAGCACACCAGCGTAACCGAAGTGTTTGATTCGTTCGGGAACAACTCACGGCCCTCAGCATTGGGCTTGTTTATCATTGCGCTAGCGCAAGCGTTTCCTATCGTTCTCAAGATGATTCCTACTAAGCGGACGATTCGGGCGAAGAAACTTGGTGCAACCATGGGTGAAATATCCAACAAATTGTTGATTCGCAGTCACCAGGAGAAGGACGCGAGCATGAAAGACGCAGAAGAGAAGTCTGTTATTGGACAGTTGAGTACGTTGTCTAATACATCTATCGAAGTCCCTTCATTTACGCCACGACGACAGTCAAAGCCGAAGATCAGGATGCCCTTCATCTGTCCAAGGAGGAAGTAGTGGCTCAGGTCCGTGGAAACTATTCCAGCGACGATTTTCAAGCTGACGTCCTGCAGATGAAGGTGTTACTTGTTGCGGGTTACGAGACAACATCCAGTGAGTCTATTTCTTTTCCGCTGCTATCATATTGGCTGACGCTTCGTTGGCAGTTAGTCTTACGGTAAGTCTACTGTCTGACGACGTCTGCACGCTATTTATGGAATCATCAGTGGGCACTGATCGAGCTATCGCAACACCCCGATGTCCAAACCAGACTCAGAGAGGAACTACTTGCGTTTGGTGCTGATCCGACATATGACCAATTAAAGGCTAACCTCCCGTACTTGGATGCGATTGTCCATGAAATTCTACGACTCCATCCTCCGGTAATCGAGGCCATTAGACTTGTGAGTTTGCATGTCTAGATGTGAGTAGAGACCTGACAGTAGATCCACAGGCAGCCGCAGATGACGTTATTCCCTTGAGCGAACCTGTGCGCACGGCATCTGGGGAAATGAGCGATAGTATCTCTATAGCGAAGGGGTCAGAAATTATGGTCTCGGTCGAGGCAATCAATCGCTCTTTCGCCGTCTGGGGACCTGACGCAAAGAAATTCAAGCCTGACCGTTGGCTAGCTGAAGAGGGCATCAGTGGGAAGTCCAAGGAAGTCCAAGGTTATAGACATTTGCTATCATTTCTCGACGGCCCGAGGACTTGTCTTGGGAAAGATTTTGCAATCGCAGAATTCAAGGTGATTGCTACGAACCAATCATTTTCAACCTTACTCACTGCGATATAGATGGTTCTATTGGTTCTGGTGAAGAATTTTGTGTTTGAGATGCGGGATGGACCAGATACTGAGGTCGAAGTTGCGAAGGGGATTTTGCCTCGTCCGCGGGTTGTTGGAGAGGATGGTAATGCAGTACCTTTGCGTGTTCGCCGATATGAATGATTCATTGCGCTGCACTGGCCGGTTTAAATCTTGCTCTGTTTTCCTCACTGAATATCCGCAGCTAAAACGTTCGGATTGTATTCACTGATTCTGGTGTAAGCCTATGACATGAATTTTTGAGTCTTTTTGCACGCTTTTAAGGACGGGTACAAACGACTAGCAGGACGCTGAGCGGGAGTCTTCTCGAAACGACAGCCTCCCAAGGACGGACACAAACGATTGACAGGGAGCGAGAGTGTTCTCGAAATGACAGCATCTCCTCCGCTATTGGAGTTAAAAGACTCCCAGTGAGATCATACCGCTTCTCCAGCTCCAAGTCTCAAGTGAGTTTGGCACGCAAGAGGCTAGGGCAAGTGGCAAGTGGATGAACATCTCAGATGGATGAATATAACAAAGAGGGCGAGACAGCGATATAGCAGAAACGAATACGTGGATTTAGAGGCAAGGCGGATAATGATTTTCACGCGCGAAGGCACGCTCCGTCCCTTTGTCACATTTTCTCAGCTAGGCGCTCTTAATTCCTTTAATTCAAGCTCAAGCTTGGGTCTGACTGTGGAAGACCGAGCCTTTGCCATGACCAGGATGATTGCCACTTCTCGAGTCTCATTCAGTATGACTATCTTTTGTGCAAGCCGTTTTATATATCAACAAGCACAGGTTGATACGATTACTTACACTCAACTTTGAAGGACCCACCCGCAGTATGGTACTATTACACGAGCGACATCATGATTGACTTCATTCCATTTCCTACAGATCTGTACCGCACTCTGCATTCACGTCTGCCAAGACACGCGCCCATCGGCCGCCGTTCCAGGAGTGGAACTCTCGGCGTTGTTCTTCATCAAAGATGGTATTCCACCACATCGTTCTACAAGCCACCACCATATCCGCGAACGAGAAAGCATTCCCCATAATCCACTTCCCTCCACTTTTCTGGTACCATTTATCGATTTCATCAAGACCCTTCTTCAAGTCCTCCCACTGCTGCTGTGATTTTTCCTCTACGGCCTCCCAGTGCATTTCGCCAAGCAGCTCCAAGCGCGTCTGAATGAAGTACTCCCTGCTTGAATCGTTCAGGATTTCGAGGGTCTTCGTCAAGATAAAATCAACTGCTTTTCCATAGGCAACACTGCAATATGCAGGCTCGAATAACGCTATCAGAGCATTTGCGCCGCGTGGTATGACCGGCTTCTCTGGATAGGTCTTGTCCAGGTACTCGGCGATCGCTAGTGAATCGGAAACGACAAGTCCAGTGTTGGGATCCTTGATAACTGGAAGGGTGTACCTGCCCCCTTCCGTAGCTGAAGCGCCAATGCCCTTCATAGTCATGGGGATGTCTTTAAACTCTACCCAGACGATCGCATATGGGAGACCTTTGTAACTCAGGCAAAACCTTCCGTTTGCGTGTCAGCAACATCTAGCAATGGCTCTGATTGTGTGACTTGCCTTGTCTTTGCCGGGTTTGGGGCCCATATATTCTTGGGGGCTTTGCTTGGTATGTCGTACAGTATGATGGGCTGCATGATCGAAAATCTGAAGAGGTGACTTGACTCGTTAATCTAGTGTCGACCCCATTGGAGGCAATATATACGTCTCCTCTGCATAGGCTTTGTAACGTTTCATAATGCATGACGATGCATAACCAGAACAGTTCGCCGCCGAATTTCGAACAAATCAATCACCCGACAAATTCTAATCTAGATGCCAATCAGTCTCCCACTACACATCAGATGCCACCTCATCAACGCAGGGTACCAAATCTCCTCAAACTCACTTTTACGATTACGAGGGGGATTTTTTGAGCACCGATGCTAGTGCTATGATTGGTGCAACTGTGACCAGAAACGGCATTTTCCCTCATGACAATCCTCGGATTATGCCCAAAGAGCATACAGAAGGCTCTAGAACACTGTTTTCTGAGCTGCGGCAACCTGTCGAGAGCTGTTGAGTCACTCTAGTCTATCTATATTCTAATCATTGACTTTCGTCTTCGCTGGCGAGGCCCATTTCTAATGAACGAACTGGACACTTTCTGACATTGCCAGCACTAAATAAGTCCAGGCCAAGGACATTGCCCCCACGATACTTTGTGCACCTGGCCTGATCGTGCCAACGTGACAAAGCCTACTACCTATGGTCACCTGTTCTCGACGTTAAAGTATGTACCTTCAGCATCTGAAACGTTCAACTTGTGACTATCAACTCGACGTCATTGTTGATCCCGAATCTAGTAGAACCTCTTGGAAACTCGTCGGTCTCCTTCGTCTCCGTGTTCAGTCATGCCTCTGAAGGATTCCAAAAGAGGCCACGACCTGCCACGACACGGGTGTTTGCTGTGACAAACTCTCGCACTAACATGAGTGTCCACCGGATCCAGGTATTAAGCTCCTGCCGGATATTCTGTAAAATGGCAAATCCAATTAAATTCAAGTGCTTAGTACAGATGCTCTGGGCTCAATGTCGTGGTTTGGCAATCTCACATAGTATTGGTTCGACAATTTACAATGTGCGTGTGACCTGTGCCAGATATCTGTTTTCGCTTTCAATGTTACATGACCATCAGGAAAATTCAAAAGGTCTTAGCCAGCCTTCGTTGGCATTAGAGCATGCATTCAGTACATTTTAAGATCACTCCCCCCTGAGGCTAATCAAGCAAGGTTGCTTCCTTAAATTAGTACTTATATTTCGGACTTGCGAAGGCAACTTCCAAGGATACAAACCTATGCATTTGGATCATTCTTGGTGGTATTCAACGGCACTGAGGACCAGTAGCAGATGGATAACATGCCAGGGTTTATTTGGTACATGAACCAGGCGACCTTGTAGCACATAAAAGGCCAAAGTACGACAAGTTTAACACCCAGCTTCATGTAATGTCTACTATAATAAGAGGCGCACAGCCATATCTGGATAGTACATTAACTCTACGTAGTGTAGTATATTAGATTTAGTAAATGCCAGGTAGGAGCCGGTACTTGACAACCTTAGCCCAATTCTCCCACTCTTCTTTGGATATTGACTTCACCATCTCATCCTCATGATCGATCCTAAGCACGAGGCTTGTTATAGCAATTATTCTCTGCGCTAGCAATGCCAACAGAATTGCTTTCAGTCCGAAGATATTTAAAACGCCTGAGCGTCTAATGAACGAGGACCACGATCCGTGCAAGATGAACATGCCGATGGTCAGCACGACTGCTCCCACGTATGATGGATGGCGTACGACCGAGTATGGTCCAGTCGTGACAAGCTTGTGCCCCTTGCGAACACTGAGCTTGAATGTGAAAAATCGCCCGAGGGTGCGGAAACACCACCAGCGTAGTAATCCCCCCACGGCCATGAGTGCGGTGCCGCAAAGAAGAGAAGAATTAATGGGTATGTCTTGAATCGTTCGAAGCAGACCAACTGCATCTTGCATTCCACTGGGAAGAGCGATGGGGTCTACCACGCGGGAGGCAATGACAGCAACTTCTGTGAAAGCAACAGCCCATGAAAGTGTCTAGAACATCGTTCGTCACAGAGGATCGTGGACAATTAATGAACAGTTACCTTTGTGAGCGGGAGCCCGTATTTTCTATCCTGCATGAGAATCCACTCGATAGAGCTGTAGTGAACAACATCATTGCTTGTGGGGTGATGGGGGGGTGTGCCAGCTACGTGCAAGGCGACAGGGGCCGAGAGAATGAGTGGTATTGTGAGGAGGGACTCCATTTTCGTGAAGAAAGCTCCGCCTTGTCAGTTGCTTTTATCCGTGAATACATTCCGTAAGTAGTCAAGTATCACAGCTGGAATAGCCGATCCAGCACGATCCACTGCATACTGGGAATTGTGTGATAAAGGGGTACCTGTGGGTAGGATGTACCCATTTGAACAGAAACAGAATCTGATCGAGTGACGCTAGCCTCGGATGATCCCATCTAGCATCGCAATCTGAACACTCACTCAGCTTGCTACTACCATCAAAGACATGGAGGGGCTTTTTCATTTCTTCTGTTTATGTCCGTTTTGTTTTGGAAGGATATCCGGTTGTTCTCCCATTGGCATACGAACTTATTAGTCTCCGAGGCTGGACCGGTACTGATACGGACGTATGACAATCGATACTTATGTCGTGTGTTGCACTAATATAACGCTTGCGCGCTGGTGATGCGCATAAGCCCGGGCGCCTGGTTATGATCCAGTATCCTGCAGGAATGCAGAATGATATATGTGAGAATGGACTGCACCTGAGGCCTGAGGACTCGCGTATTTAATTTAAGTGCGGTTTTCCGCTGACTGGGTGACTTCCCGTAAGGCTTTACAGACAAATTTCTGTTAATCCTCATGCCTTAGCCGAATAGCCGCGCTGGATTTGGAAGGTAGCTGTCAACGCCTGTCAAATGGTTGCTCTCGCACTCCATCAGCAAATGCGACTTTGTTCGAAAGCACTCACAAAACGCTCGTGTGCATATTCTTTTTGGTTTAGTTCAAGTTTGCGTTCGTAAGCACACATTTTTGGTTATATGTTCAGCATCTCCACCAATCGCATGAGTGCGCTACTGAAGTCGTAAGCGTTCATTTCAGTGGTTTTGCAGATGCTCGTCTGTAAATCTGCCAATCTGTGGAGGGGTAGCTACCCCTCTGTAGATTTCTGTAAATTGTCGGAGTGCACTAAATGTCTGATTCGGGCAATTTTCTTACTCTGTTTAGATGGCTCGCTCCCGGAATTGTCGTCCGGATCATTGGTGTTGTTCCCAGTCCATCGTCTTCAACTGAGTTCTTACGGTTTACAGATTCTGTCCGTAAATTAGCCGATGTCGAGCGGTCAAACTTTTACAGACAAGCTTGTTTCTGTAAATTCTTACGGGAAGTCACCCACTGTTTCAACTCCGCTCGGCCTATGCATTAACTCCCATCTTCGCTGGCGACTCGGAGAGGCCCATTTCTAATGAACGGACTGGATACTTTCTGACGTTATGCGCTGTCAACTACGACACTGGCCTGGGCATGCCAACGTGGCAAAGCCCGCTACCTATCGTTACCTGTTCTCGATGTTAAAGTACCTTCAGTATCTGAAACGTTCAACTTGTGACTATTAACGCGACATCTACAAGCCTGTTTTCAACATTTAGACAAACCGACCTATGACCTGCGACACCCTGAAAATTTGTCTGTCGTGTTTTTACAAAGCTTTCGTCGTTACTCCCGCGGCCGAATCTAGTGATTTGAATTGGAGTGATAACGCTGTCAGTTTTTTTTCGCTCGTCTATGAGGGGTACCGCTGGACAAAATATTGCGCCGAAGAATTCAAAATTTGTTAACAAATTTCAATTGTCGCTCACTGCTCAGAGCCCCGGCTTCTTCCTCAAATCATAGAGTCGACACCAGCCTTACGGGCTGTTTCGCTTCCCCTGTGGACAGCAAAGGCGGCGTTGAACACCATTATACCAAAGTGCATGTAGATGTGAACCCTTCACAGCGGCTTGCTGTGTCCACTTTTGAAAACCTCTTTCAACAAATGGTACCGGTGTTGTGACTGTCGGTTCTTCTGTCTATTCTATTCCGTTGCTCACTCGATTGCATGCTGTACTACCCACGCCGCTTCAAACCAGTGCCTGTACAAGGAGGTCTCTGCAAACGAAGATGAATACTTCCAGTCCTCCGCCAGCACTGACATGCCGCGATACGATTAGTCATATGTCCACCCAGTCAGAGTACAGGTGTCACGAGGAACTTTTGGATGGTCGACATCAACTGCGCATCATTTGCGGCAGTGAACAATACTACTACAGCTACCAGTACATCATTTTCATGTGCAATTAAATTCCTACAATTTACCTTCTTCGGTGCGAGTACGAAGGTGTCAATGATGCGATGGTCATCAAGGCACTCTCAGTCAATGCCTAAGCTTAGTACGCCGCTGTGACACCCACCAGTGTCCTTTGCTGCTGTCGAAGCCGCAGACGCGGATGTTATCCCGAGGCTCGCATATGCGCACGACTACAGTCTTGTGAGAGTGGTGTATCATGATCAGGTTGACATCCCCCGTCAGGACTGTGCAGCACATCGGTACGACAAGACCCTCGACAGCCGCTTCACCCCGATTCATGTCCAGACTCCACTTAGGCGCGTTTTGTCTTCTTCATTTTGCATGCTATATGCGTCAGCTCCAACGCCGCATATCTGATTTCGAGTGACCTGGGGACACCTATCACTAAATTACAGCAGTACGTACACAGTGCACTCACCTCTTAATGCCCCAGATACTAAATAGCCTTTTCATCCGCAACAGGCTTTGCAGACCTCACAATGGAGTTGTAGACATCATACGCGGTATCATCTATGTCCTTGAAGGACGTATCAATGTCCGGGTGCTTGAAAGAAAGATCCTAGAGCTCAGTAAGACAAGATCGGACTGCTGGTTGTGTTGTATGTCGTCGGTGCCGATAGGGCATGCGCACGGACACTATGGACCACTTGATGGGCCTTGGCCGTGGCTGCTTGATATCTACAGATTGGTCGATGTGTATTGCGGCAACAACTTGGAAAGTTAGGCGTTCGACAACGATTCAACAATCAATTGGCGTGTGTGAACTTTGAAGTGGAAGCAGTAGATTTTCTTGCTCGAAATTTGGATTCTTGATTACATAATTATGACGTTGTAGTTTGCAACGAAAATTTATGTCTCATTTTGTCCGGCGGAACCCCTTGCATACTCGTCATTCGAACACGAAAATAAACTGTTATTGAGTTCGTGTGACTTGTGCTAGGTGTCTATTTTTGCTTTCAATATTGCATGAGCTGTCGAATCGAATGGAATATACTGTACAGCGTACCTAGTGCTGCCGTGGACCAGTTCGGAACCGCGGACTTTTGGTCTAGTTCGCATGATTCTCGGTTCTGGCGTTGGACGAACGATTCAACTTTGGTTCGGACCCGTCCCGTCCCGAACCCCGAACCGTTTACACCAACATTATATTTTCGATTTTGTCTTCGTACCTGGTCTGCATGTATTGGCGTGGTGGTGACCGACTCGGACTTACCATAGCTGATGGCACGTTTCAGATTTCCCCCCAGATGAGTCAAAGTCACGTGGTCACTAAGTAACTATGATCGCTGAGCAACAGCAACCACAAAATATCACCAGCAAATCGTCGATCAGAGGAACAAGATCAAGATCAATCAGTCCATGTATTTGTACAAGAGACTCGGACCGGGCGCTTTAAACTCAAGTTCTATCCCACATCTTTATTTACTATCTCCCGGCGGAAGTTAAGTACCCATCACCCTCATCAAGCCCGACCCTCGTACTATTAACTAGAATATGCCAACGAGCTATGACTCATCTGGCGAGGCTCAGACCGCGACCGTGGCGTGTGCCTGGTCAATACATCATTTCATTCCTTATCATGATTATGGTGCGTACCCACACGCTACTCTAACACCGACTCTGATATCATTCGTGAAAGGGGGTTCTCGGTTCTCTCCTAACCTCCTCCGAACCGGACTGAACCGGACCACGACAGCACTAGGAACGGGTCCCTGAGGGCCTGCGATTTATGCGTGGCTTGCTTCCAAGTTCCAACCTTCTGCTGTAAGTTTATGCTCAAACTAGAAAATGCATTGACTTGATTGCATTTGATCTACAGCATTAGCGACGCACTCGCTGCTATACAACGCGCACATCGTCATCGTACGTGAAGGCGAAGTCTGATGCACTTGAACACTGGCAGGAGAACTGACCAGCATTGCAATAATTCATTCGTAAGTTTAAATTTGAGGTGTTCGAACATTCAAGCCTGACCCGTGCACTGTAAAATTGACATCCCTCAAGTTCAAGTATAAAGCTCCTTGAAAAAACACGTCTTTCTGTCGTTACTCAGTTCTGAGTCCCCCAAGTAGTCAGACCAAATAAGATGGAGGTCAGTCGCTTCTTCTTGTATGCATGCGCACCACACGACTGTTGTGGCAAGTTTGTGCCGTTGGTGACTTGAGTATCCGTTCAGCTGTCGAAATGATTCATTATCGTTTCATCAGAGTTTCTGGAATCGATTCTATACACGCAGGGCATCTAAGCCAATTTACACTCCTTCTCAACATCCGCAAGGACTTGGGCCCATTTCCCGCCATTCCAAGAACTTATCCTAGCCCACTCATCATCCTTCAGTACTCGTTTCCACATCAGCAAGAAACAAGCGACAATGATGTCTGCATATGAGAAAGTTTCGCCCATGATCCACTTTCCGTCACTTTTCTGGTACCATTCGTACGCAGCAGTATTGAACATCTTCTCTAGCAGCTCCCAATCCGCATCACGCTTCGGGCCCTCGGGAGATAATTCATCCCGAGGCATCTCAGGCGGGAAGTCCGCCGAACGAACTCGAATGAAGAACTCGGCACTAGCTGGGCTTAATACTTCCGCGCAGCGTGCGACGAGGAACTTCATCACAGAGCGAACCAAGCCCATAAAGGTCGAGTCGAAAGCGCGAATCAGAGGTTCTGAGTTATTTGGGAAAATGGGCTTTTCGGGGTATGTCTTCTCGAGGTAGGAGGCAATCTCAAGGGAATCGCTGATGAGGGAGCCAGTGTTTGGGTCGCTGAGGACAGGGACAGTATAGACGTCTGAGCCATCTCGGCGTTTGCTAGGCGTTGCGCCGATGGATTTCATAGCGATGGAGATGTCTGAGTATTCAACCCAGACGGTCACGAATGGAATATCCTTGTAGCTCAAGACGAACCTGGGGGCGCAGTGGACTTTAGTCAGACACCAAAGCTTGGAGCATCCTCATCAATGGCATGAATTACTGACCTCGGCTTCGCGGGGTTAGGTGACCAGTGATTACCTGGTAGTTCGGAGAGGGTGTCATACAGGATAAGTGGCAGCATCAGATAGGCTATTGGGACGTGGGGTAAACGGTACTGCGGTCAAACTTATAAACATCTTTCAACCGAGTTTCATTCGTAATCACTGAGTCATCTAGGCTTGATAAGCGCGCAGCGATGTCGTTAGATCAGGACAGGTGCTGCGCACGGCGCTCGAGATGGTATCGATCTACTGATGGGCTGCGTGTTGGATTCCGGTCACGTACCGACAAGTCTGGGACACCGCAGGACAACTCCAACCGGCCCTGACGGACAAGCAACCGGACTCGTAGGATAGTTTAACTCCAGAGATGCTAGGAATCCAGACTAGGTTAGCATTATAAACCCTATTTAGTAAATCATTCACTGCGGAGTAGTGCTTTACTGCGCAGAGCACTGTACATCACATACCGGGATGAAAGGTATCCCGGATTACTCAGGACAAGCAGTGTTATCATAGCATTGGTCGTAGACTAGGCCATCAGGAAAAAGCCAGCTGGCTATATAGTACTATATAGAGTCAGGGTAGTCAGGGTAGCTCGGTAGCTACCTGCCCTGTATATAGCCAATGAGGTAACTATGTCATACTACATAGTGATATATAGTGCTACCAGGCACTACTGTAGTAGACTGTAGTAGGCTGTACTATCAGTTATCACAACTTCGGTCAACCACTGGTTCGGACACTTTGCAATATCTCACTCAACTCTGCTTCAAATCATATTCTGTTCAACCACATATCATTGTACACTTATAATACACTACTGCGAAGTTGAATAATTGAAATTGGTCAAGAAATGGTTGAGATCCTTGTTCAGGTGTGACAGAGCCAAAAATCACGTCTGCTTGTCACCAAGCTGAGTCTGCTGTAGCGGTGTTTCAAATCTGCTGAACATTCACAACAGCATTAGCATTTGTGCTCACCTCAACTTGGAACAGCGCATGGGGTGCACTCGAGGCAGGGGTGCCCATACCCAAACTGTGAGCAAAATCCAGTGCAAGTCGCGGATTCAAGAAGTCCTTGCTGGAGTTCAAGGAGGAACATATAAGAGTTATAGGGCAGCAGCAAGGGCTCACCAGGTGAGATCTGGGATAGTCTATGTTTCAATGAATCACCATATTTAATAAGACCCCACATCTTTTGTTTAGGTTTCATTCCAGACTCTACATGATCGTGCAACCAGGCTCCATCAATCAATTCAAAGTTCTGCCAGGAAGTGCCAATTGTTGAGCCCATCACAGGAAGCTGCACTGCTGGATTGGTGCCACCTCAACTCAAGCTTTACCACACCTCTCCATGCTCGTGCTTTATGGACTCGCATGTTTGAGATATGTCATAGACACCCTGGCCTAAATTGGGTGCACCGTTTCTTACGCTGTCATCCTTGTCTCATCATGGCGAAACCACGAGGACTCAATCTGAAAAGAGCGCAGAATTTTAATAGGAAAACTGTTGGGGATTATTTTAACATGCGTAAGGAGGTTGACGACAGGTACAATAAGATCCCTCCAGAGCACAACTGGAACATGGATGAGAAAGGCAATCAGATGGGAGGAGGTTGAAAGGGTGATGGCACAAAGTATATCTTCTGGATTGAAGATAAAGAGCGATATTGTATGCATAGTGATAACCTAGAACTGGTCACAATTCTTGAATGTGTCAATGCTGCAGGCACAGCGATGCCGCCTTTTTTTGTCCTCTCTGATGGACCTGTCGCAGATCATGGAGATATTGAGGGTATTGGCGGGTAAGTCTAGTACTTATAAAGCTATCAAAATGATCCTATTAACAATTGTCTAGTATTGCCACATCCCCAAATGGCTGGACTAACCAGGCCATCAGTGAGTTCTGGTTCACCAAAGTATTCCTCCCAAATGCTGAAAAATGTCGTGTTGACCCGGAAAAACCCATCATTTTGAATATGGATGGGCATAACTCGCATGAAACAGATGCAATCAAAGTTGTTGCATATGATAACGACGTAATCATCATTGCTTTCCCTTCCAAAACCACGCACAAACTCCAGCCCCTTGATGTTGGTGTTTTTTCCTCAGTCCAACACAAATGGATCTCACATTGTGACAAACAACTTGCAGAAGGAATCAAAATAAACCACTACAATTTTATTCTGGAATATATGTCTATTCGACATGTCATGACACCAGCTTTGGTCCAAAAAGCCTTTCAACACACTGGAATACACCCTCTTAACCCTGATGTCTTCACTGACAAAGATTTGCACCAAGTCAAGCCACCTCCACAACCACACACGTCCCAAGTTCATATCCCGAAGAGGTCCCATCATCGCCAGTTTCTTTTACCATGGAGGTGTCAGAAGATGAATCTGACTTGGAATATATGGAGTTGGATGATGAGGACCTTGACAGCTTGTCAGGATTGGAAGGAGATGAGGAAATTTATTTTGCAGACCATGCCCCACAGGACACCTCAGCACTTCAGCTCCCGAGCAACCCCTCTGTAGTCACCTGCCCAGCACAGCCACCCCTGGACGGTCATGCCAGTGAGCTAGTTCTCCCGCAACCTACCCCCCCAGAGACTCCACTCGCTAGCCCATCGATCTCAAGACAGAGCACACGGTCATCCTCTGTGCAGTTCACAGGCCCTATTCTTGCAATACCATCATATGCACAATGTATGATGCAAAGTCGAGAAGAGCTCTGGGATTACATCTCACGACTGCACAGCCAGAACTGGGACTTGATGGAGACTGTCGCTATGCAGTCTGTGCAGCTCGAAGCAGCAAATGCACACTGTACAGTGGCATCGCATGAGAATATGCAGCTGTGAGAGATTCATTCGAACAAGCAGAAGCAGAAAGATTATCAGTCAATGAGGTTACCGGCTCGATTCATTATGCACCCAGAACTGCGTGCAACATTTGAGGCAGATCATGCTGCCTGAAAGGAGAAAGAGCAGGCAGAGGTGGCAAAACAGGCGCAGAAGAAAGCTGAGAACGATGCTCGGACAATGAAGATCAACCAAAATGCAGTAATGAAAAATTTTGATGCTCCACTCTCCTCATACAAGCTTAAGGACAATTTTCTCACTATTGCGCAAGCTCTTGGACTCGCTGTTGAAAAAAAGGACACAATTGCTTCACTGACTAACAAAATCAAGATGCACCTTGATGAGCACCCTGCACTGGCAGATAATGCACATTTTTCTGCATTGTTTCAAGTCGGAGGTGCAAAATGTCGCACACATCTGAGACACACCCCACTTAGCAAGGACTCGGCACCTAATATCAATGCTACTAATAGCAGTCATTCAGTGTTGTCCCCCGCACCACATCTTGGCTTTGGCTCATTACTTCCAGTCTCATGGCCACCTGCAGGACTCGAACACATGTGGCATACTCCCCCTCTTCCTTTAAGCTTACAATATCAATCACACTCATCAGCTAATACTCAGGCTATGTCCCATGGATCTTACACACCACCTACTTACTCCTTCACAGCACCTTCTTTTGTACCTAGTCAACTAAATAGTTCCTACAGCCCTCATAATTTTGTAGCAGTTTATAATGCACATTCAAATGAAATCTTTTTTATTGTTTAAATTTTACTTAGACACTATGAAGCCCATGTACTTAGCAAATGCTGAAGCACTGATACTGGATGCTGAGTGGAGCTTGTGTTTGGCGGATGTGACATTGTGTGACTGTCTGAACCAGTGGTTGATCGAAGTTGTGATAACTGATAGTAGTAGTAGGCTGTAGTAAACTGTAGTTTGTAAAAGTGCTACTACAGGCAACTACCAGCAGCTATACAGCACACTGTAGGGATAGTAGCACACAACAACAGCTACCAGCAGCTCCTAGCAGCCATATAGCACACTGTAGGGATAGTAGCACATGAAATAGCACAGTGTGGGTACAACAAGTGCAGCGGAGAGAAATCGATCTACTACACAGTTGGGTCTTTGCTGCCTACTGCCTCACTTGAGAGCAAGCACATTCAACCCTAAAGGGGATTGCTACTGGGGAGTACTAGTCTCTGTCTAAACGACCCTAATCAACCCTCCCGCAGGTAGGATGAGGATCCGCAAAAATGCGGAACAAGCGGAACTCGCACAGAACAAGCGGAACCCGAGCGGAACTCAAGTGGAATGGAAAGGAATGAAACAGAACTCAAACGGATAAAGCGCAGAACGTACTGATTCATTGGAACTCGCAGGCGAAGTCGAAGGAAGTATATCACAAGGTTAGATTGATAGTGGGCATAAGTCAAAGCGATCCTCTAGTAAGGTGAAGGAAAAGTGGGAAGGTAAAAGATGGGATTCGATAAAAATACCCCCAAGCCCTGAGTACCACTACTTAAAGGGAAGATTATTTTTAAGGAACACTGAGGTACAGGTAGTAAGTCTCTCAGGAAGCGGAAGTGAAGGCAGGCAGTGCACATGGGTGCAATACTCCGGAATAGGGGTCCATGCCATAAGGGCATGTGTCAGTTTGATCCGGATAACGTTAGGAACAGCGGGAAGAGGGATACAGCGTACCAATGGACCTGGAAGGATGGGGACAGGACATGCGAAGGTTGTCCGACGATGCATGGGAATATCGGATAGTGCGGGCGGGTTCCGAAGGATGCACGGGAATGCGGAACCCATCGGACGATGCTCAAGAAACGCGGAATGTGTGGAATACGCGGAACTGATGTGAGACGATGCGGAAAGGACAGGGTTTTACACCTACAGTGGGGGAATTCCCCACAACAGAAACAAATGAATTCAAATGCCTAACACAAGCTAGCCACAAGTAGCTGGGAGAATGATGTATCATGTACTGGTACTGTGGCAAAAGTGTGATACATGAATGGCTCTAAGTTGCAGGACCCAGTGATACATCATACCTAGTGAAGTCCTAGCTCGGCTATGGCTGACTCAGCTTTGGCTTTTACTGGATATGCATCAGTTCGGTTGGCAGTAGGTGGGCTCAGTTAATTTTTCAGTTTGGTTCACCTCGCTAGCTGCATGAACCAACTCCAGGCCAACCACATGTGGAAGGCAGCTTGAGCTGATTTGGGTTGACTTAAGTCAGTTAGAGCAGGCTCCAACCAACTGGAAGCCAGTGTTGATGAAACATTTTCTTTCCTTTCCTATCTCTACAAATAGCCCACCACACTATCATCCATGAACAAGGTCCCAATTTGAGTTCATGGCAGGTTTAGGCTGGGGGACATTTTGGGATCTGGTTCATATGGTATGTTGGCCACATGTACAATGTGAATTTAAATTCAACATATGGACTCCACCTAGGCACTGTATACTGTGCATGGAACATTCTCAATGATACTGATCTTGCTATCAAACTTGAGCCTCTCACCAATAATTCAACTTCTTTGGAGCATGAATATCACATCTTAAAACAGCTTGAAGGTGGAGTTGGGATCCCACATGTATTTTGGTTTGGCAGAGAGGCAGCATATCATGCTCTGACTCTCGACCTCCTTGGCCCATCACTACATAATCTCTTTCTTGCACACAATCAAATGTTTGACCTCCATACTGCTGTTAATCTGGGAGACCAACTGGTAAGTTGGTTTATGGTGGGTTGTGGCACTGACAGATGGCCTGACCTATTTCCCAGCTCTCATCTCTGGAGTACATTCACTCACGTAATTACGTTCACAGTGATATCAAACCTCACAATGTCCTAATTGGTCGAGGCAATTTAGGACAAACTGCCTTTATTGTTGATTTCAGTGCTGCAAGGGAGTACTGGAATACTGAAGCCCACACCCATATGCCATTTTGCCATGGTAGACGTCTTACTGGCACTCCTGCGTTCGCCTCAATCAACAACCATCTAGGAGTTGTGCTGGGCTGTTGTGACGATCTCAAGTTACTTACATACATGTTAATTTATTTCTTGTGTGGCTCCCTTTCATGGTTGACCAGTGACCACAAGAAGTTCTCTAGCTCTTCTATACTGGCATGTGAGGTGGACACCACTATTGAAGTCTTATGTCATGGAACTCCTTCTGAGATTGCAACTATGTTGATTTACTTGTGCTCTCTTGCATTTTCAGAGGATCCTGACCATGATTACCTTCAATCATTGCTCAATGATATTTGCACTACATTACCACCATCAGCTGCATGCTCACTGGATCTCGGTCAGCCCAGTGATCTCATCATGCATTCCACTTCATCCCCAAAAGGTCACTCAGTGGCTCTGTGTGAAGTTGACTGTCAACTGAAGACAACAACTCTTTGCAGATTGACTTGTCATGTGTGAGTAATTATGTTCACCTTCCTGCATTTGTGAACTCAAACCTTGAAGTTTGCACCCACATAATGGCACCCCAAGATCTATCACTGCTTCCAAGACTTCACATAGAAGCAAGATCTAGTTATGTATATCATGCATTCTTTCAATTTATTTCCTTTCTTTCGATAGCGCAGGTTTTTCATGTAGGCTCTATGACAACATATTGTGTTTATGTAACAACTCAGGAAATACTATGTCAGCATTGTCTCTGCAAATAGACAGTGTCTCTCCACTCTTGACAATGCTGTGCACAATCAACTGTGAGTGAAGGCATTCAAGTTAGTGAGCACAGTTTGTGCTAACGTCAAACCTTAACTATCTTTGATTCACTGTCCACAATGAATAGTTTGTATGGAATGTGGGGGATACAGTAGCTTTCAAATATATTGAGAAGCTGGGTTTTGAAGAAGCAATGATGCAGCACAACAAAGTGCACATGCACATTTTTAGATGACTCAGTGAGCACTGGACATGTACATAATTACTGATATCACATGTTATTACTGCATACTTCTATGAAGTTCCACGTCCCATCCCCTTAGTAAGTCAAATTGATATCAATGCACAGGATTCATCTGAACATATCACACCTCATGTTCTGCCTTCATCATATCTCTAGAGCTCCTGCAGATTGGCTGTGGGAAAGATGAAGTTCATATAGTCCTCAACTTGTTATGACTTAGTCAAGCCTTATCGAATTCCCAGCGACTTTGAGGTAAGCCATCAATAACTATTCATGACTCATGAGATTGAGATCTCTAATAGGCCACATGTAAGGGTTACAGTGTGCTGCATAGCACATAGGACCTTTCGTCAATATGCCACTCAATTTTCATTGGAACCCTTACTGTGGGATCAGTCATTCTGCTAGTGGGAAGGGTGCAGAGATTATGGACCGGGTCTGTACTTTTATTCAGTATGTTCAACTGACTGTATTGTTGATCATGAAACCAGTGCAGTTGAAGGCATAAAACTATGAATATCTAACTCATGATTGCATGAGGCTTGAGATCAGAAACCTTGTTTGCTGTCCATTCAGCAGAGGTTACATACATGTAAGGTTCCTCAGCTTAGCAAGCCCCAATAGGCTAATCCAATAATCACCTGCTTGAACAGGTTAATTCAGCAGAGAATTGTGCTTTGGGGTGATATCCAGTGGCAAGCGCAGTGTGCCTCACAATTTGAGGGTCCAATTCACATATTGCACTGAAGGTACCCCCAGGCTGTATGTGCTGTGTTCTGTGCTTCTTTTTGATCTCCATTTATTTTTTATTCTTAAGGCTTTGGGTTGGAAAGATCCCTGTGACACTCTTGACTTGGAGTCACGCAAGTTTGTTAAACCCTGTGTGTTACCATTAGGTGAGTCAGTGCTGCTGTGTATGCTGGCATTCCCCGAAACTTATACAACAAAAGTTTATATAGATCAGTGATTCTCTTACTGGATTCTTAACACTTCCAAGCACAATGAGGCATGGCAGTGTATGCTCGGATGTGATAATGATTCTGTAGTAGGAAGAGGTGTAAAGGTGTTTGTCAATTTGAGCGTGTGGGGGTCATAGAAACTTCACCGAATGTAGTCTTCAGTCTGCCTGTTGTGTTAATGAAATGGATGAGATGTGGGATGGTGTTGTGGTCTGTCAGGAGATACGGGAGCAATGAGGCTTTGCAACCAGCACTTGAGAGTGGGTATGTCATTCTGGGCAATATTGGGGACATGCAAATAGGAAGTGATGAACAGTTTCTTCTATTTGTGGACAGCAAGAACAGAAGGGAGTAGGGAACTTGTTAATGCAGTGAAGATATTTGTTGAGTGGTACATGTTGCATGCATAGACATATTAATAATACTGTTAAACATTTTGTAAGAGACTTTGTTGGTTTAATGAATGAGCAATGTAGAATATTAGGATCAATACTGTGTGTGCAAGTGTAGCACAGAGATTTTTCCCATATTCTTGTCCATCAGGCTTGGGTGTTCTGGTGGTGGGCTTGCTTGAGGGCAGAGATACTGAGAGGGAGTGAGTCTAGGTGGAGGTAATGGGGTGGGTGATTAGATGGGCTGTTATTATGTCTTCCTTCTGCTGCACATTTTGCTTCTTTATCAGCTTCTTCATTGCTGTGGATGTCTGAGTGTCCTGGAACCCAGTGAACAGTGACATCGAAGTCCTCATGATCGGTTGCGATCTTCTGCATCATGTGTCTAAAGCGGTCCAATATATAGGAGCCTGGGCAAGTGCAAAAACTCTCTCCACTTAGGATTGTTGCTTGATTATCAATGGAGATGGTGATGGGGAAGTGCAGGTTGTGCTCTGTTGCTATCAACTTTACAGCTAAGTTTAGTCTAACTTCCTCTGCTTCAAATACTGTATGTTCATCCTTGGTTCCCAGGTAGTAGCATAGGACATGGGGAGGGGCCTCTGCTTGGAAGAGGACTGTGGATGCACTGATCTTGTCATTGTGGCCTGATCCGTTGCTGTAAACTTAAATGGATTCTGTTAGTTTCTCATGGAGCTCCTTTGCTGCTTCCTTGGATGGTATAATACTTGTTTTGAAGGGGTTTTTGGTGGTGGGGGGATGGTGTGCGGGAATGAGAGTTTTGATTTCATCGAGAAGAAGTGAGTAAGCTTGTGCAAGGAGGAGTAGTGAGTGGATACATAGTGCTTGGTAGCATGTTGAACTGGGGCATAGAGAGGGTGAAATTGTAGATGTGCAGTAGGATGAACAATGGCTCTGTGACATGTGTTATGCAGGGCAAGCATAATGAGAAGTACATTAGCATGAGCTTCTAGGATGTCTCTAGCAGTTGTTCTTAAGGTTCCTGTCATAGCTAGTGTGGCAATGCGCTGTATAGAGGAGAGCCTTTTGGCTACCCCTAACGATCCACATTGAGGGAGGTCCAAACTATCCTTGAATGCAGGGGTGAACCATAAGTCAGCAGTGTAGAACATCTTCGGGATTGCTACCACTTGTTATAGTTGGTGCATGAGCTGGATTGGGATGCCTTTGGCCATTGAAGAGAGTTGTTGAATCTATAGGATGTATATGGTACCTCTGGCTACTGCATTGTCAACTTGCGCTGCCCAGTGGAGTTCTTGATCCATCATGATACCTAGGAAGCAATGCATTGCAGTGGGATGGATGGTGGACCCTTGGATGGACATGCTTGGTTGAGGCTTGTTCTTGTTCATTAAGAAGTCCATTAAGGCGAATTTGTCAGTTTTGAAGCATGAATTATGGTCATGAGACCATTCAAATCCTCCTCCAGGTCTTTCTAACATATCCATCAGTGTGAGATGTGTAGTCTCAAAGTCATCTGTGATGGCAATGAATGCTGCATCATTGACGAAGGCTAGTGTTAGTTCCTTGAGAATCTTACAGCTGGTTCTTGGTTTGGCAACCTCTACTAAGTCAGAGTTATAGATAATATATAAAATCATGGACAAGAGGTCTCCTTGCCCTATACCATTGGTGATTGGGATCTAGTTGGAGGTAAATCCATTGAAGTGTAGCTGTGTGAATCTGTCTGTCAGTACTCATTCAGTGAAGTCAACCAGTACACTTGAGATACATCACATCTTCATGTTGTGGAGGAGGCAATGTGTGACTGTATTAGGAAAAGTGCCTTCAATATCAAGGAATAAGACAGAGGTGACACAGTGAGAGTGCCAGGCATCTTTGATAGTGGCTTTGAGCAGGTGTAAGGAGTCAGTAGTGGAGCGGCTGGGTTGACCATCAAAATGAGTGTTCAGTAGTAGATGATGGTGCTCCAGGATGTAAGTTAGTTGTTCCGCTGCTATTGCTGTCAGCAGCTTACACATGGTGTTGAGTAGTGTGATGGGTTGATATGCCTTGGGAACTGCGTAACTGGGTTTACTGCCAGGGATCATAATAGGTTCTGTGAGTAAAGACTGCGTTAAAAATGGAAACAAGATGAGGAGTTAAGGTGGAAGAGCATCGCTTAAACACAATGTTACAGATCCCATCAGGACCAGGGGCTTTATAGCCACTAAGATTAGTAATAGCACATTTAATCTGTTCTGCAGTGAAGGGGGTGTGCAGTGTGACCAGCCTGGGGTAGTTGGTATCTGGGGGGACAGAGTTAGCTAGGGGTGGAGGAGAAAAGAAGGCTTTGGCAATGAGGGTGCTCTACTCTTGATTAGTGGTAGCCTCTGTAGAGGTACCATCTAAGTTTGTCTTCATGAGGGTGGGGACACGTGTTTTGCTGCCGTCCTTGGAATCTGAGGTGACATAATTATTAGTGGTCCAGATGTCATTACCTTCTAGGTCTTCTAGCCATTCAATCTAGTGCTGTTGTTTTGTTGAGGTGATGGTGTCTGCATATTGATTCTTGATAACCTTAAGTTCTTCATGGTAAGTGTGGAGGGGGAGGGCTTGCATCTGATAGGCCAGGCAACTGTGGTGGTTTACTTGGTGGTGAAGGTTGGTCAATTCACGGGTCCATCAATGTTTTGAATGGGGGCAGGGCTTTGAATAGGGTATGCAGGCTTCAATGATAGAAGTCATTGCTTGGGTAAGACATTAAGTGGCTATCTGGAATTCTTCATCAGTGGCTATTGGTTGGAAGGGTAGAAGGGGGGGAAGGAGTTCTTGGAGGTGCTTATCAAATGCTTCCCAGTCGACTTCTCTCCAGTTGCAGCACTGCTCCACTTTGATGTGGGGGACTTCCAGTTCTAAGATAAGGTGAATGGGGGCATGGTCCGTCTTCGGTCTACATAGTTCCAGTGCTGTGGAGCATGTATTGACTGCTTCTAGGAGCTGTTCGATGCCAAAGATGTTGTCAGGTCAGGTCCGGTTACCTGTGCTTGTAGACTGAAGGGTAGGTAGTCCATTTGGTAGGAGCTGTAGCATTCCATAGTTAGTGATGAGATCAATTAGAGGCTGAGATGTGGTATAGTTAATGAGATGATGGTTGTGCGCTTTTTCCCATAGTGGATGGTGGTGGTTGGTTGGATGGTTGCTATGTTGTCCTCGAGGAAGGTATCCAGTGTCTCCAGTGTTGCCTGAGACTGACAGTTATTGTGGATATTGAAGATGGTGCATTTCCCATATGGGCCAGAGAGTTGAAGGAGGGCAACATCAGATGATGGGAAGGGGATTTGTTTCCAAAGGTTTTTGTTCAAGGCTGTGCTGATGAGAATGATGGCGCATGTACATTGATGAGGGTGGGTGAAGTGCTGGGTGGGATAAATTATGTACCAGTGGTGATTAGCGCTAGTGTTGTATAAAAAGTTGATGTGTGGTTCCTGAATAATGATGACGTCCCATTTGGAGATATTCGGGTTGTTGAGAAGGGAGGATTGGGCTATTAATGAAGTGTTAAGGTTTTGCTGCCAAATTCATAGCTGGACAGTATTGTTAGTAGCATGTTCAGATATGAGAAGGGGAGGAGGAGGATCTGTCTGTAGGTATAGTATCATTAGTAGAGTGAGAAGGGGGAGAGGTGATCTTATCCATGATGGGCTGAAATGGGATAGCTTTTTGTCTGAAGGTTCCATATTGGGGAGTAGGGAAGTGTCTGGGTTTGGCAAATTCTATGGGGGGAGAGCAAGCAGGGTTGTTAGCATGGGTCCAGATTGAATCTGTAGGGAAATATAGCATTGTGTTTTCAGGGTAGAGCTCATTAAGTTTCGTGCAGCATTGGATGAATTCAGGATAGGAGTGACTCCAGCTGGTGTGATGGTTGGATTAACAGTTGATGCATCAGGTGGACCAAGGAGATATGCATTTGGATGTGTGATGTTGGTTTCCATAGGTGCCATAGGAATCCACTTAGGCTGAGCAGTTGTGAGCTATGTGTCCAAATTTTTGACATTTGGCACAGCGGATTGGTTCCTTTTTGTCTTTTTGTACTGAGAAGTGTTTGTTGTTGATACATGGTCCTTCCTTTAGGATGTTATTGGCTGTATGGGGGTCAGCCAAATGGATGAGAGTGAAGGTTTTATGTTGTTCAGCTGAGCAACAGGTTGGGGGTTTTATCCATTAATGGAGGTGATTGAGTTTACTAGAAGGTTGTCTATTTCTACAGTCCTCAAGAAGTCTTTGCAGTCAATCTGTAGGTGAATGGGCAGGTATTTAGCAATGATAGAGAATGTGCGGTTGTGGAATGATACTCCAGAACTGAATTGAGCCATGAAGGCTTCTTTACCTACAGGTCCTTGTAGCCAGATTGCTAGGGCCTCCATATCAAGCTTGATTATCAGCCCTCCATTGTGGAGAGCTAAGATGGCTTGGATGTCCCCTTCTGGAGTGTCTTGAGTCTGGATGTTTGAGATGGCGGTCTTCAACTTCATTACAATGTCTGTATGCTCAGTACCTTGGGGGAATAGTTGGTCTCCAAGCAGAGGGTCAAGTAGGATTTGGCATGTGTGGATGGCTGCATATGCTACTGCTTTGTCTATGGAGGGGGAAGGTAGTTAGCTGCAATGGAGCTATATGATGGCTGCTGGTTAGTTTGGATTTGTTCCCCTCATTCTGTTCCTTGAGAGGGAATGGTCAGTTGAGAGAGTAGTTGCGATGAAAGATTGTTGAATCGTTCCTGGGTATTATCAAGAGAAGGGGAGGGGAGTTTTATGGTGTTTTGACAGTCCATTGTTGAGGATTGAAGTTTGTTGGCTGCAGCTTCGAGTCTATCCGCTGAGATTTGTAGTGATTCTTCCAATTCATTTCTATTGTGATTGAGAGTTTTCCAGATGGATTCTGCTTGTGCTAGATTCTCTGACATTAGTTCTGAGGCAGAGAGAATTTTAACTATCTGTGGTGCAATAGCAACTACTATGTGGTTGACCAGTCAAGGAGCCAGGGAGTCTGTGAGGTGTTGGGCCACTTCATTTGCCACTTTGGAGGCTGCATGCTGCTTGAGGAGAAAGGCAACTGCCCATGTTGCTAATGTGACCAGGAGTGGGGTAGAACTGTGCATTTGTGTTATCTGGAGAAGAATTGAGGTGATATGAGTTAGAGTGAACGGTTCATCAATAATGCAAAGAAGACTCTTAGAAAGGAATTTTTCTGCAGTTTCAATATTTTTAACAGTGCTTAGGATCGCTTCAATCTCTTCTTAGGATAAGGGAGTGCTAGGAGATTGACGGGTAATTGATCCGGTGGTTGGAGATTCCGTGCAAGGGAGAATACTCTTTCTTGGGATTGTGGCCTTAGTTGGGGGCATTTTGTTTTGATTGGTATCTTGTTCTATGTCTTTCAAGACTCATTATTGATTTTTCAGATAAGGCTTAGTTGCCAGTAGGCGAGGTTAGCGCTGTTGAGCACTATGTTGAAAATTGTGTTTGGGGTCCTAGTTGGGGTGCCACTTGGTGTTGGTCCAAGGAGCATTTTTTCCTTTGAAGTTATGGGCACCATTGTGGGGAATGCTCCCACTGTAGGCATAAAACCCTGTTGATTCTGCATTGTCTCACATCAGTTCTGCATGTTCTGCATGTTCTGCATTTCCTGCGCATCATCCGATGTGTTCCGCATTCCCACACATCCTTCAGAACACACCCGCACTATCCGATATTCCTATGCAATGTTGGACAACCTTCACATGTCCTGTCCCCATCCTTCCAGGTCCATTGGTACACTGTATCTCCCTTCCCATTGCTTCTAAGATAGGCCTTACTCAAACACCACCAACATCATGTGATGTGACAACAGTGTGACCATTTATTTGCAGTGCGTAAAAGCTGAGCACTGAGCCTGAGCCTGGGGGAGGTATAGATAATAGTATAAAGGTATATAGGTGCTTCAATTGAGCTCAGCAAGATCATTGAAAACAGACAGTGGGAGAGTGTGGTGACCACAATACTTTTTCATTGCAAATGCAGCTTGTTTACCATTTAAACCCTTGCAGTATGTGTCCATAAAACGCAATGATCGTGTAGTGAACCTGTACAACACAATTCAATTTAAGAACATAATAAAAAGATAAGTGTTTCTCACTTTTGCATTGATACAAGTGGAACAGCATCAAGAGAATCAATAATGTTCTGCATGAGCACTGCCTCAGACAAGCTCAGCAGCAATTGTTGATACCGGCACTTGGCAAATCCCCAGCATTGTTCAATGAAGTTGAGTTCACAATGAAATTTTGGCAAGAACAGGACCTTGTAACCGCGTTTTTTGTAAGCAAGTTTGAGGTTGGATTTAACATTTAAAAAGTTGGGCTGATTGTATAGCAAACATCGACAGCAACAACAATTGATGTTTGCATTGCATTGGAAGTTTGGGCACCCCACACGAAGTTTTTCGCAGCCTTCAAAACCACGCTCCTTGAGAATTTCGGCCATGCCTTTGAATCCACCAGCATGTTCATGACCTTCTGGAAAGTAAAAACACTGTACACTCTCATCAGGCAACACACCATCTGCCATGCAAACTTTTTGATTAAATACCTTCCCATCAGTGCCATGAACTGGCTTGCCATCACTGCCTATCACAGGTCTCTCAACTCCAAATGGGATGTTCCCAGGCTTTGTGGGGAATTTCGGCATGCAACGAGCAGAAAGTGTGTCATTAGCCTATTTCAAGTAGGTACTTGCATTGTTGAAGATAAGGACATGGTGGTCATGCAGGTAGTGTTGAGTAAGGATGTCCATGGCCAATTCAGCATGTCGGAGGAGTGATGCATTGGTGAAGTAGCTGTCCCGGGATTTTCCCGCATGGAAAAATATTCTGGCAGATTCTTCACCACAACTTGAGCATAGCCACCCATAATCAGCTGAAACAAAGTCTGCGACCATCAGTGAGGCCCCTTCCCCTTTGGGACCAGGCTTTGCAGTTTCATTTCCATGCACCCAGTAAACTTTGCGACGGTCATTGACATAGAACATTGACTTATCATGGAACCACAAGACAACATGCTGGGTGTGTGGGTGAGGCTCGTCGCTAGCTTCTTCAAGACCATCCTTCCACATACACATGTGTATGAAGAGTTCTGCAATTGATGGCAGGAATTTTGTTTGACAGTATGCAATGACATCATCATGTTCGTGACCATCAACATATTGACCTGATGGAGACTTTGTCCAGCGGAAATCCATCATGTACATCCATTGTTGAGCAGTTGCGAGGGAAATTGTCTTCTTCAGGCCATGTTTCTGCTGTACAACAGGTTGTGCAAGGTAATGAACAATGTCCTGTGCTCTGACATATTTTCTGATGCTTTGCAGGTGCATATGAATAGCTTCAGTAAGGTCCCCTTTGTCAAGCAGGGACACATTCCAACTTCCGTAAAGGTTCATTGAGAGGTTGCCATGGTGCTCGACAAACAAATGAGCCCATTTACAAAGGAGTCAGGCTGTATGGGCAGCTTTTTGGTGAGCTTGTGCTGTGACATGAGAGGCTTCGGTTCACATTCGAGGGTTCCATTGATCAACATGATTTCAATGAGATCCAATAGGGCTGATTGACAAGCAAGAATGGTGGGTGAAACACGTCTATGGCCTTCTCGCAGCTCGTTATCTTGCATGGAGCCTTGTATCTCTTCTCCCACATCATCCAAGGCATCAAAACCCTCTTTCTCTTCAGTCTCCAAGTCCTCTAAGTTGGACATCTCCTCTTCTTGAGCCAACAGCAAATATTGCTCAACCACTGGCATGTCTAAGTGGAGAGACTGCTGCTCAGATTGGTTGGCCAACACTTCCCGCAGGTCACAAAAAGCCCTGATGGATGTGGCAGGCATGTCTGACACGTTCAACGCGTGAAATGGCACATTTGACGCATCAGACATATTAGGTGTCCAAATTGGTGCGGAATCATTAACCTGTGAAACTTCACATCAGAAAGCTAATTTCAGCAGTAATTAATATGACCGCTCACATTCTCTTTGTTCTTGTCATTGATTTTCTTCTTGAGGAGTGCCTTTGTGAGATTGGCATTCCTTGCTGAGTCTGTGCGAGTCTGTTTGCTCATGCTAGCGAGGCAAGAGAGTAGGTGTCTGACTTAGTCAGCAAGACTGAGCACAAATCATGTTATTGCATTGCTTTACAGGCAATAATTGCAAATCCATTTCCTGCAAATGGTGGGGGGGTTATATGGGCTGTCATGCCCAAAAGCCGTTTACTATTTAATGTAGTGTAGCCTCTGAAATAAGCAAATGTCATGCTTTTCTCCCTCAAAATTGTAGCAGCGTGACTAAATACATCATATGACGTTGGTGGTGGTTGAGTGAGGCCTATCTTAATGTTATCTGGATCACATTGACACATGCCCTTATGGCATGGACCCCTATTGTGGAGTATTGTGCCCATGTGCACTGCCTGCCTTCACTTCCGCTTCCTGAGAACTTACTACCTGTACCTTGGTGTTCCTTGAAAATAATGTTCCCTATAAGTAGTGGTACTCAGGGCTTGGGTGTTTTTTATCAAATCAAATCTTTTACCTTCCAACTTTTCTCCCACTTTCCCTTCACCTTACTAGAGGACCACTTTGACTTATGCTCACTATCAATCTAAACTTGTGATATACTTCCCTCAACTTGATCTGCAAGTTCCGACGAATCCGTACATTCCGCAATTTATCCATTTGAGTTCTGCTGAGTTCCACTTGAGTTCCACTTGTTCCGCATTTTTGCGGATCTTCATCCTACCTGCAGGAGGGTTGATTAGGGACGTTTAGACAGAGACTAGCACTCCCCATTAGCAATCCCCTTTAGGGTCAAACATGCTTGTTCTCAAGTGAGGCAGCAGGCAGCAAAGACCCAACTTTGTAGTAGTTAGATTTCTCACTACTGCACTTGTTGTACCCACACTGTACTCGCCTAAGGAGTGCAGCGCACAAGCTGAAACTAAGCCCTTCTATAACCTCCTTCCTACCCATTAGGCACGGTTCTGATACCAGGCCATAGATTCTATGAGCCAGAACTACATCAACCACTCGACTAATAATAGCTCTGGCCATGGCAACACTATCTGCAACCATATTATCTGTAGGGCAATATTCAAGTAAAATAGAACCTTTGTCAATAGAGAAACAAATAAAATGGTAACAAATGTCTATGTGTTTGGTGCACATGTGAAATGCACCAGAGTTAGTGGGTGCAATAGTAGACTGATTGTTGCAATAAAGAGTGGTTGAGTGAGTGAGCAGACAAAAAAATTCTGTGAGAAAACAGTGAAGCCAGATGGCTTTTTTTGCAGCATGCATGGCTGTGATATACTTGGCTTCCATTGTGGAAAGAGTGACTAACTCTTGCTTCTTTAAACTCCAGGTAATGGCCCCACCATCTAATATGAACACGTATCCAGAGATAGTACGTCAATGCTCTTGCAAGGCACCATCTGTGTCTGCAAAGCCCTCAAGTCCAGGTTTGCTGTTACTGAAGGTAAGCGCTAGTTTCCTGGTACTGGCCAAGTACCAGAAAATTTTCTTGATGGCTTCCCAGTGCATCATGCCAGGATTCATGCTATACTGTGTTATGGTGGAGATGGCAAATGCAATATCTGGATGGGTATCAACAGCAAGATGCATTAGTGAGCTGACAGCTTCCCTATAAGGGATGTTCTTCATCAATGTGGTTTCAGCTGGAGTCTTAGGGCATTGGGATTGTGAGAGTGGTGTGTTTGGGTCCATAGGGATGGAGCAGGGTGTCAGGTCCATGAAATTGTACTTGGCTAGAATAGAGTCAATGTAGGTTTCATGGGAGAAGGAGATGGTGCATGCGGGACAGTCATGAGTAACCTTCTGTCATATCCAGCATTTCCAAAACCTGGAATTCCAGATCCTCACCTGTAGACCTGGACTTCCATCCTGATTTCCATCCAGTGCTCCAGTTTCATCTCCAGGTCTAAACCTAACCTTACACTTATCTCCTTTCAGACCTCCTTTTCTCTGGTTACTGGTTATATACTTTTCCACCTTGCTTACTGATCCGTTCTCCATATTCATTTCCGACTCCATTTCTTTTGATCTGTTATAGACTTACTAATAGACTTTCCACATGCCTCATACATAGCCTTTCACTATGCTGACTGATTACTTACTTGATACCTACAGTATATAAACTCCTATAACACTCCATACCTCCTCAGTTTGAATATCATCTCAGTTCCTGCTCATTTCTGTTTCTCTGGACTTGAGTTTCACATCCTGTCTACCTCTAAGTCTTTGGATCAACTCCTTAGACTATACCTCTGGCTCTACCTTAGGGTAGTCTATCTCTGTTCTGTTTCTACTCCAGACTTGTCCATAGTAGTCTTACTCTAGTTCCTCCTGAATCTCCAGAGTTCCACCAAACTCCTCCTGTATCTGACTTCCAGACTTCCCTCCTGCCTCCTGGAAATTAAGGGCATGTACTTAGGTAAGGGGTGCAGTGCACAAGTTGAAGCCAAGCCCTTTCAGTTCTCCTCTCCTTGATCACGACCTTAACACCTTCATGCCAAGCAGCAATATGATAGGTCCAAGGTCCATGAGTTTGTAGCGCTGTGGGGAATGTCCCCACTGTAAGCCTGTATCCTGTATAATTCCCAAGCCTTACCAGCATCTTTCCATGTGTTCCGCTACCATTCCACTACCCATCCACATCTTATCCAACCCGTCCGCTACACAGAACTAAGCAGAACACAGCGGAACCAAGCAAAACAACCGCACACCACGCACATCATATCCCTTTAGCCTTCAGAACATCCTCCTCTGTCCTGTCCCCGTCCTTCCATCCTCACTGGTGAGTCCTTGCTATGTTCCTCATGTTACTGACATGTTGCTATCTCATTTCACATGTGTTACGATACTTATACGGATCTTTCCGCTACTCGGAACCAGTTCCTTATCTCACAGCCTCACCTGGTTGTAGCATAGCGCTTTTCAGAACCCCTTCCTATATAGATAGCAATAGATGGGATCTTAGTTTTTTTACCTTTTTGATAGACTCGACTCCACTTCCACTTACAGAGTACTTCCCAGTACTCCACTCACTGTTTAAAATATCTTCCTGAATCTATTCCTGGTCTCATTGCAATGCTCCTGCATCCGTGAGTTCCACTCGAAACGCCCGACATCGGATCCGACGACTTGGAGCAAGTACCAGACACAAGCCTGGTCCAACTTTGCCCAATCTTCCTTGTATAGGCTCGTAGTTTCTTTTTCCCTCCATTAGTTCTGCTTGTTCCGCACATTAGTTCTGCTTGTTCCGCACATTAGTTCTGTTCATTCCGCTTGTTCCGCACTTGTTCTGTTTGTTGCACATTAGTTCTGCTCATTGTGCGCTTGTTCCGTCCATCACGCGCTTTGTTCCACTTGTTGCGTACCTTCCGCATCAGTGCGTTCCCAGTCTTAGTAAGGACTGGAACCCTTCAGGTCACTAGACAGAGTCTAGTCTTTGCTTTCCTCGCACTTACTTGAGGACTCGCTATCCAGTAGCAATCCCCTTGGGACAAGTATTTGTCTCGCACCCTTGTTAGACTTCTGAATCACCCCAGAGTCTATTTTCCTCACCCACAGCGCACAGTGATGTCGAGCTTGAAACTTGGTACAAACTTGCTGTTGCTGCTGGTAACAGTGCAGTCGTCAACATGAGCTGCGAGAATGAGCATTTCTGCACCTATGTGCCTATAGAATACTCCTCAGTCTGACTCTGTTCTTTTCATCCCTTGAGGAGAACTCAAGTGCTTGACTCACCATTCAGTGGGGTGATGAAAATGTTCCCTTTGCCAATTGCCTCAAAGGTGTGTTTGTCAGCTGTTGTGGTGGGCTTTGGGACAATATTGACAAAGTCTTAGAATAGGTCTTGATAGGACAACATATGTCTTGACACACCAGAATCAAGCAACTCTGTTTGAGGTTCACATTGGGAGTTTGAGTTGGCTAGTGTCATGTACATGAATGATGTTCCTTCAATTGTCTTGTCTTCCTCATCATCCATCAGCCAAACACCTACAGGCTCCTCATCATTATCTTTGTCCTTGGTGCTGGCTGCAGTCTCAGACTTCTTGTCCTTCCCTTTGCTGTTGGACTTGTCCTTTGCCTTGTCCTTGTCCACAGCTGCTCCTCCACCTGCACCTCAACAGTCTCACTGCATGTGGCCATATTTACCACAATTATGGCAGTTGCCCTTGATCCATTTCAACCATCTACCTAGGTTAGCATTATAGGCTGCATCATCATTTGACAAGCCATTCTTCTTTGTCTTTGCTGTGCAATGGTTAAATTTGTCTACAACAGTTGACATTAGTATGTCTGCGGTGAGTTGCCAAATGCTTGAGACTTTAGTGGATGCTGTTAATGCTGACAAGTGGGGGTTGTAGGATGCTGGGAGCAAGCTCATTATTATAGCTGTGAAGCTATCGTCTGTTGGAGTAGGACCAAGTGAGGATAGTTGTTTTTTAATCACCCACATCTTGTCGAAGTGCTCACAGATGTTACCCTTTTTGGGACACTTCTGGTCCTGCAGCTTCCACAATAGCTTGACAGACACAACTCGAGAATGCTTCTCCAAGTGGATTTCCCCTGCTGTCACCCAGTTCTTAACTTGTATAAACAGGGAATCAGGGATTATGCTATCGATTTGCTGCTTCATGATAGCTTTGCCCATGTGCCATTCCTTCAATGTGACCTTATAGGCTGCGAGCTCTCTAATTTCATCTGATGTGGTCAGTACTCACAATGCTCCTCTTCCTGACAACGTCAAGGGATCAACTGGTTTCTTCTCGGTCCCTTTAAGGTGACCAAGAAACCCACGAGCATCTACAGACCATGACAACCTATCCTTATAGGTCATCCAATTTTCTCTGTCCACAGTGAGTTTTAGGACATGTAGAAAATCTTCTCCAAGTTTAGTGCTTGAGCTAGACATGGCAGGCTTGCTTTCATGTACTGTAGTTTAGTTTTAATTAACAAGCGCAGGGCTCATAACCTGCAGCAAGTACACAAGCTCAGTAGACTTAATGGAAGTCACTGAGGAAGCTCTGCTATGAGTGTGAAGGAAATTTGTAAGAACTTATATAAAATGAGCTAGGACAGATATAGCAAAGGTTAGAATGTACAACACTCTAGCATACTGTACTAATGCAATCAATTTGACAGTGTAGTGTGACCGTGACATATTACTGCATTGATCTGACATCTCAACACTTAGGTTTGTGACATGTGACAGACCCATATTTTCAACAACATACTTATATCAATCAGAATTTAACTATTAACTCTGTTACAATGAGAAAACAAACAAAGAATGTTGTATCTTGCAGGAAAACCCAGAACAACTCAGCCAAACTTTAAACTCAAATGCTACTCCCAGAAATCTGCCAAAAAAGGCAATGATTCATCAAACAATATCAAAAGTTAAAACATACCTTTTGATCTCAACAATCTACTTGAATCAAGTCAACATGAACAACACCAAAAACCTGAGGTACCCTCACCCACTCCTAGAACCTCCAAAGGAAGCTTTCACCATCCTTCTACCCCATGAAAAACTCTCTGTACTTGATTTCCTTGCCTTCAAACTGCCCACACAAACACGTTGTACTCACACCAATTGTGGCACCACCACAACAATGGAGAGTAAGTAACCATACATTTCTATACATTGTTTGTGTATTACAGCGCTTTGCAAATATGATGACAGTTGTACACTTTTAGAGAAAGAGAAAGAAATAAAAATGACGGTGTTCAAATTAGACCAAACAACGCGCATCGCAAATCTGTGGCACGTCTGTTAATATCTTGTATCTTATGCCCCTACCATACAGCAGTATATTCTTTAATACATTCTCTGATGATAGTATCATTAAAATTATGAGCTCTCCTATGAGCTCTCTGATGAGCTCCCCTCTGAGTCAGCGCGAACAATCTGTGTCTGTTGAATCCACTGTCCTCCCTTCGCGGAGCCCATCACCTCAGGCTGAACCAGAAAAGACACAGAAGAGAGACTGTCCTCCCAAGGAACAGCCAGAAAAAGGTTCGTCATACTCTCGGATGACTTAGAGCAGAGCCAGCTCATAGTGACACCATAGTACTCAGCCAACACTGCACCAATCAGCCTTATATTAGCTATATATCCCCAGGATGAGATGAAGAAGCCTGACAAAAGACGAAAAGATGTAGCAGCACTCCTCAAAATTGCACAAGGCCTGGATTGGGATGAAGTGAAGGTCAAGATTACTGAGAAGCTCGCTGAACGTCTCAAGCTTAAGAAACCTGATCTCTCAGACTACAAACTCACATTCTCGGTACCTCAGCATCAAACATCTCCAATCCCACTTGTGAATGAAGATGACTTCGACAACCTATGTGAAGTAGCCATCAAGTGCAAGGACCCTCAAGCGAAGGTTATTATCGAGGCTATTCTCAAGAAGGCACGTCAGATGAGCGCATATATGCAGTGTTAGATGACAATACCTTGATCAAGAAAGGGACGGGGAAAGAAAACAATGTTGGCAGTGACAATGAAGATGATGGGACCGACGACGACAGTGCCAACAGGCCAAAGAAGAAGAAGAAAGGCAAGGTGAGCATGAAGAATAGGTAACAAGACAAGCATGCTGACGTGAATGTTAGAAAACCCCAGATGAACTTCCATTGAACATCAAGGTTGCTGCACACATGAAGACACTGCAGAACTGGTGGGTCTGTAACAAGGCAGGGTGCCCATCAAGTGGCCAATGCTACATTCCTCCTGACAACAGAGAACATTTTCTGCTTAGCCACAACCACTTTCAGATTTGGGCTGCTGCAATGGTCATCTAAGATTTTTCTCGCTCTTATAATTAGCCACTCATGGTTTTATAGGTGAAGAATCCACCCCTGTGACTGTAAAACAACCTCCAAACCATCGTGCTTTTGATGGTTTGCATGACAACCAAATGGCTGTGAAATCACCTCTCCTTCAGCAACATTTATCCGATCGTGACAAGAACACATCCAGTGCTCCAACCATCAACTTCAACATACCACCTGAGCTCCTTGGGTTCCTTCGTCCCCCAGCACCTGAGAATGCGGCCAACATGGTAGCACTGCCACACAGAGACCGAGAGTTGATGCCCCTCCTACCTCCAACAATGCAGCCTGGTCTCGATCTCACACTTATTGATTTCTGCACTAAGTTTTCACTTGCAAATGCAATCCTGACCAAGTTACACAATAACAGCTACACAGGAACACATACCATCAAGTACATTGTGGTCTCCGAGCTGAAAGAAATGGGGTTCATGAATGGCAAGATCGCGGCGATGAAGGATGCTGTCGAACAATGGTCTCGTCAAGGTTAGGTTCAAGTTTGCTGCTGGTTCCACCATGAATGTACTGTTACAGGGACCCTCAGGCCCCTATCGTCTCCGCCAAACATCGCTGTCACAACCGCGTTACAACACGTGACAGATGACATCACCGGCACGTGACTAAACTGCAGAGCACAGCATGACAGCTGTTGGAGCAGGACAGCTCTGGAATCGACCTAGACCGGGATCAATAGAAGCCGCGCGCTTCTCCCTTATCGCCCCTACTGATACACTGGTACTGACTATTGTTTATCCTATCGCTTATCATGACAGATAGTGTTATCTGACTTGGACACCTACCGCTGTGCCGGTACCATACCCTGGACCCTTACCGTTGAACCGGTACTCTTATCTTTGAGTCCTTATGACTCACATAGACGATTACCTAGTTGGGATACTTTCTGGCTACCCAAGCCTACCCTGAACCCATAGGACGATACCTATATATACCCCAGTAGTTAGACCATGTATTTCTCTAACTTGATCTTCACTTGTGATATACGACTCTAGCTTCTTCTTTGAACCTTTAGTCAGTCATTCTGGATGGACAGCCTCCATTCAGTCTTCCATCGTCCTGGTGCTCCATGAAGCGGACACGGGATCGACCCTATCAAGTGCACTGTTGGTTAAGCCGGGCTTAACCGTAACATGTACTACTATTGCTTTCACTGTGCTGCGGACGAACATTATTCCTGTACACTAGAAGTACCCTGCATGTATAAAGTACGAGATTGCATCAGAGTCTGTGATGATTGTCATGGCTTCATATGCATCAAAAATAATGCTATCCGAGCCCACAAAATAGTCCTCATGATGACAAATGAAAGCCTTGATCTTCGAGAAAGCTTCCTCGATAGGGATCAAGTCTGGAGAGTATGGCGGAAGATATTCAAGTTGTACACCTAGAAAACGTAGTCAGATTTAGATTAGCAATTGAGAGCAAGACCAACCATGCAATGCAATCATTTCTGCAACTGGTGGTGAATGATTCTTCAATAACTGCTGAGGCAATCATTCTATCAATTGTGAGCAGACCGAGTGCAGACACCCGCGATCCTCTGACAAAAGGCTGCTGACTTTCTGCACATTTCCCACACTTCAAACAGCCCCAAGCCCTCCCCGGAGTATGTTCGTCCTTTGAAGTTTCATCCAGAAACCCAATTTCTTCTGGCTGGTATTGTGCCATGCGAGCAACAAACTCCGCACGACACAGCTCATTCCTCTCTTTGGCAATGTGCCGCAACTTTTTGTAGGAAACCCCAGCACGCTCCAGTGTCCGATGAACAGTGACATAATGAATGGAAATGAACCAGTTACTGTCGAGCATTTCGGCAAGCTCATCCAGGAACCACGTAGGACAGTGTTCAATGAGTTGGACAAGGTAATCAACATTGTTGTAGTATAGAAGATGGGGGCGACCACGAGTAGTGCACAACAGAGTGATGACATCACTCGTCTCCCTCCATAGCTTGAGTGTGCGCCAGAAGGTGCTTTCAGAGAAGCCAACACAGTTTATAATAGTGTTTTAAAGTCAGGTTTGGTCCGGTTTTTTTTGCCTTTTTTGGCACAACCGGACCCAAACTGGTCCTAGTTTTTAGCGGCACTAACACAAGACCGGACCAAACTCTCAAAGACCGGTTAACTTCAGTTGCAGGACCATATGACAGTCAGTTGCAACCAGTCTTCATAAAGCGGTCCCAGACCAGGTTGAACCAGTCTAGACCAAGTACATAGTGAGTCATGTAGGAACGTGGTATACACAATGCTGTAGCATATAAGAAAATACTGGTGCAACTACTAGTGCTACTAGAGCCTTCTGTTTGAATCCCCCCCTCCACTACATTGAACTTAGTATCTCTCTGCTATGTCAGGTGGCAAGTCTACATGCGCATGATGACCAACTGAAAAAGCCGCTGCCATGATGGTATCTGACAAAGCAAAGTGCTCACGGCCACCAAAGTCAAAGCCTTCATCGCCAAAGGCAAAGAGTCGGAAAAGGAAAGCTGTGACTAGCGAGAGCGAGTTAGAAACCAGTGAGGGTGAGGCCAAACGCAGAGAAACTTCGAAAAAAAAGGCTCCAGCACCGTCGAAGCCGAAATGTGCTCATTGAAAGTCCATTGAGGAGGTTGAATTGGAGGGTGAGGACGACGAGGTTGAAGTCGAGCCTGTAGATGATACCGATAACAAAGATGAAGTGGTGATTACAATTTGTTTCATTGTAGCCTGTTGATTGGATGTTAGCTGAATGTATTTGATGGCAGGACAGCAATTGCCTGCAAGAAATACATCATGCAATTGTACCTGATGCACGGAAAACAAAAAAGTGCAGTGCAGATGATGTACTTACAGTGTTCTCAGATCGTTGTACAGTCAAGTTTTGCGAAACGAGTGGAAATATCGAAACAGTGAAGGGACGCTGGTGCAATATATGCAAGTGAGTAGATAAATTCAATTAAATAAATCACAATGACTTACTAGTATGTTGTGCCCACAGAAACGATCAGAAATTTGTTGCAAAAAATGGGAAGCATAAGATGTTTCATGTTGGAAGTAACTCATCTTGTCGGCAGCACATCCGGAGTCATTATGAGGTGTACAAGAGCAAGTGCGAAGAACTGGGTTTGCAAGAGCATCACCATGCGATACCATGCAACATAGTGAAGAGAAGGCAGGAAGTGAAGAAACTGGGAAATCAGAGCCTTGATGGAATGTTTCAGAAGAAGCAGAAGTCAAAGGAGTATTCAAGAGATAATATCTTGCATGCGGTTGCCAAGTTTGTCGTCTGTGATGATCAGGTGAGTGATTATCATACATTGCTGCAAGTCGATAGTGTTGAAATCAGCGCTGTTGTATATTAGAGTCTTGCGGTGGCTGACAAACACTCATTTAGAAATTGCCTGGTGGCAATGCGGCCAGGCACTTTGCCAGTGGACATACCCTCAGCCCATGATGTGTCATCTTATATTCACAACTCTTTCATCAATTTCATTGGGGGGCTCAAGGCCAAAATGCAGGTGAGTCATCCCTACTACTAGTTGCTCCTCTATCTCAGGCTAACATGTCTCAGGCTGCCACAACTGGCCATATTTCAACAAAAACTGACTTGTGGTCTGTTGATCAAACCAAGGTTGCATTTTTAGGCCTTACCGCACACTGGATTGAGGCTAGCAAAACTTCATGGACGCTATTTTCACAGGTTATTGCATTTAGAGGTATATCTGGGGCACACAGTGGGCACAACCTGGCACGGTATCTTGTGGGTCTGTGTGAGCATGCTGGAATTATCACAGTGCACTCAAGTAAGGTACATATTTCTACTGGTCTGTCATCTGAGACGCTAATGCAGGCCTCCACTAGCTGTTCTGTCTTACTGCAGACAATACCAGCAACAATGACACGACTTGCGATAACATCGAGACACTACTGCACCGCCGTCATATCTACAACTTTGATGCTACTCAACACCGCCTTCCCTGTCTTGCCCATGTCCTTAATCTTGCCATCACTGATGTTATGTCAGTCATCACACGCATTGCCAATGTTGAGACTACCATGGCTATATGGGAGTTTGACCCATCACTGCCTAACAACCGCGTTCTTGGAGACTCACTTGATGTCGTTGCCGCAATATGTACATTGGCCATCAAGGTATGTTCTCATTATTTCTGGCAAGTTATTTTATCTAACGGCTTGAAGATTCAGTGCTCAGGACAGCGCATTGAGTATTTCGAGATGCTGCAAGGCAAGTGTGGCATCAAAAGACCGCTCAAGATCCCTCTTCATAGTAATGTGCGCTGGGGGACTGCTGATGGGATGCTTGGTCGTGCCTATCACCTACAGCAGGTACACTAACAATTTTATGTGGTTCGTCGATGCTGACCTTCTATTTAGGCTATCAATCTCTTTGTGAATTCAGCTGATGAGCTTTTTGGACCAATCACATCCATCCGGCATCACAGACGTGTCACAAAGCATATCCCATGGACCGTGTTTAGCCTTAAGTCATCAGACTGGGAGCGCATGAATGATACTCGAGTTATGATATCAGTAAGTCACAAACAGCATCTAAGCAACACCCACTAACATTTTCTTGGGACGCCAATGACATCCAACAATACTTCTCTTCTGAACACCTGCCAACACTATGGCGTGCAATACCTGCTATGGAGGAACTGCAAATGGCTTGGGAATCAAAGTGTGGACTTATACAATTCACGTTGTACAAGGAAGCCCTTCAACATGGTCTCACAAAGATCACAAAGTATTACAACAAGTTGGATGATAAGCCGGTCTATGTTCTTGCCCTTGGTACGTTTGCTATATCATAATTCAACGCGACTGTCAATTGACTGATTATATATACAGTGCTGCACCCATACTACAAACTCGCATATATCAAGATGGCGTGGGGAGGTCCTGAAGAACAAGCCAGAGAGCATGCTGCAGGAAATCAAAACGCCAAAGACTGGCATGATGAAGCGCTCAAGGTAGTTGAAAAGATGATGGAGGAGTATTGGGACTTGCACCAACCACTTCCCACAAGCTTGGGAACTGGTGATACTACTAATGCTGATGGTGACTCGACCGTTGAGTCTGAGTATGACCAACATCGCCACATGTTAGTTCAGCAGGCCATCTATGAGCACAATGCTGGATGGGCAGCCGAGCTTCGCCATTACCTCAAAGACATGCCAGAGGATGTTACGAAGGATACCGACATCATTCAGTGGTGGTCGGTGAGTTTATTTAGTATGTTTACTATTCTTTTTTAATGTCACATAGAACCATTCATCTATCTACCCTACCCTTGCAAGAATTGCAATGGATGTTTGCGCAGTTCTGGCATCTTCTGTCCCATGCGAGCGGCTATTCTCAGCAGGCACAGAAATTGCAACCGATCGTCACTCACATCTTGGTTCTGATAAATTCGAGCAACTACAGGTCCTCAAGCATGCATGGTGGGATACCATCATTGATATGGCTGCTACAAACGCATCAATCATCAAGCAAGTCACATTGCAGGAATATGTGGAGCTTATGTTGGACAAGAATGACATGGTCAAGTGGGATCAGGACGAGGGCGAGTTAGTCACCGTGTAGTTACTTTCATTACATGTCTCATGGTATAGTTCTTGTGTCAATGTGCAACCGGTTTGACTTGTGACCAGTCGCAACCTGGTTTTCCAGCAGTCCTGGGAATTTAACTAATGTCAGGCAACCGACAACCGGGGTTAGCAAAATAGAGTGCAACCACAACCGAGGTCCAGTTGCAACCGTTCATGGTCCAGTTGGGTTGCCGGTCTTTTTTCGGTCCAGTAACTGGACTTTAAAACACTAGTTTATAATGTCGTCTTTGGACATATGAGCATCTTTGTAGAGTTTTATTACAGCAATTTTGACGTCACGGCTGATTTTGCGGAACATGGTAGTAGAGAATAACACAGATACATATTGACTGTGGTTATGTGTTTTATTTATTTTTCTCTTTCTCTGAAAGCATACAACTGTCATCATATTCGCAAAGTGCTGTAATTAAAAAAATCCATTGTCTCGGTTAATCAGGAGGTAGCGGAGGCACATTTTGCTTCCACTCATAACATTTGTGATGGTTTCGACAAACCTCAATGTGACCTGTGACTATGACTTATTTTCGACACCGACACCAGCTGGTGTGATACGTGACTGTCGAATTGATTGCATTAGTACAGTATCTCTAGGAATATCTACTGTATCTACAACAATACCAGCACCTAGTAGTTGCAGGTTATAATATATTGTTGGGTTCCTGGATATGTGTGCAGACGAAGCAAACGAAGCGACGTGGTGCAATTACCCCAGATACTAATCAATTGTATGATTAAATATTGATATGTATCAATTTAGAAACAATCATAATCAATATTAATTTAGCGCAGCTGGTAATTAAATAGTAACCGCGAGCATAGTATTCCAGACTCAAGATATCAGCCGGTTGATACCCAGTGTCCAGAACGTTGTCAAAACGCTGGCGGAGAGGCAGAAAAATAGCCACCTCTCCAATGTCGGAACCTTTCAGCGGAAATCTGGCGGAGAAACAAGGCCTAGGTTCCACCTTTTTTGGTTCGGACCCGGACCGGACCGAACCCTGAACCGTTTACACCATCATTATATTTTCGATTTTGTCTACGTACCTGGTCTGCATGCATTGGCGTGGTGGTGGCCGCCTTGGACTTACCACTAGCCCACACCCGTTGTGCCTTCGGCACATGTCTACATATTACATTTACAAAATACTATATACTTTTATTTTAGTTCTGAGGACAGAGGACACGGGAGAATTTTTTGGGAAGGGCAAGAGTCAACAGCAAGACACAAACAGTGAGACTGAAGTTTACCTGGGACACTGGCTTGCAATCCCGTGGCCTCGTACCTCGGCCAGCAGGATGCAAGCCAGTGTCCCTAAACTTCAGTCTCACTGTTTGTGTCTTGCTGTTGACTCTTGCCCTT